GCCGCGTCGCCGGCGGCCGCGCGGCGCGGCGCGGCGTCGACGGGCGAAGCTGGAGCGCCGCGGCCGAGGCGAGGCACAGCGCCGCGGCGACGGCGCGCACGGACCGGTGGCGCGAGCTCGGGCGGCGACGAGCCATGTCTCTCGCTCGAGCCAAAGACTTGCGCGCCGCCGGCGTGGTTTCGCGCTCGACCAGTCGACGCGACTCGACGAGCTGGAATTCACGACCGTGGGTTCCGAGGGCTCGAGCGCGCCGAGACGCTGCGTGGTGGCAGCAGCAGACCGTGGTGGCAGCAGCCAGACGTCAAGCGAAGCCAGCACTTCGCGTCAGGTCGCCTCGGGCGCCTCCTTACGCCGCGCCGCGGTCGCCCGGCGGGGCGTGCTTCGCGAGGAAGTCGCGCTTCGCGGCCCCCGCGGCGGCGGCGAGGTCCGGGACGCGGGCGGCGAGCGCGTCGAGGCACGCGGCGACGGCCGCCGGGTCGTCGCCGGCGACGACGACGCGGCTGCCGCCGCCCGCCGCCGCGTCCGAGTCGACGTCGACGTCGACGGCCGGGTGGGCGCCGCGGAGCGCCGCGAGGGCCGCGCCGCGCTTGCCGATGACGCGGCCGACGAGCCGCGCGGGCGCGTCGACGGCCGCGCGGGGCCGCCGCGGCGCGGCGGCCGCGCGCGGCGCGAACGACGGCCCCGCGTCGAGGCCCGCCGCGCAGCGCAGGAGGTCGTGGAGGGCGACGACGAGCGTCGCGGCGACGTCGGCGCCCGCGTCGTGGGCCGGGCCCTCGGCGCGCGCGCCGAGGCCCGCGGCGGCGCGCGCCGCGCCGCCCTCGGGCACGTCGGCGAGGAGCGCCCGCAGCCCCGGCGCGGCGGCCCGCGGCGCCCAGTGGAGGAGCACCGTGTCGATGGAGCGGCGCCGGAGCGCGCCGCCGCGCACGCGGAGCGCGCGGAGGTCCGCGGAGAGCTTGTGGCCGACGAGGAACGTCGTGTCGTCCCACGCGGCCGCGAGCCTGGGCAGGACAAGAGAGATTCAACGTCGCTTCAACGTGAGTGTTCCGCGCGCGCGCGTCCCGGAAAACACATCCACGCTTCGAGACCGTTCCAAGAGATGATCGCTCGTCCAAAAATCAGCCAAAACGAGTGGAAAACGGCCGAGATAGGAGCCTTTGAAGTTGGGAATTTCGCTCTCTTGTCCCACGCGGCCGCGAGCGCGCGCTGCACGTCGCCGAGCCCGAGGAGCGCCGGCGCGGCGACGTGGTCCGCCCAGGCCAGGCCGTGGACCTCGTCCTTCCAGGCCAGGCGGTCGCCGTAGTCCGGCGACCGCCAGCCGAGCGCCTCGCCGCAGTCCGGGTCGACGAGGCCCTCGACGACGGTCCGCGCGGCCGCGGCGACGCCGCCGGCCGCCGCCTCCCAGGTCAGCGCGACGGCGCAGACGGCCAGCGGGAACCGCGCGCCGTCGGAACGGCGCTCGCACATCTCGACGTCGACGCAGAGCCACGTGACGCGGTCGCCTCCCGGCCGCGGCGCCGCGGCGAGCTCGAGCCACGGCGCGCCGGCGGCCCCGGCGTCCGCGGCGCCGAGGAGCGGGCCGTAGAGCTCGGCCGACGCGAAGCGCGGGTGCCGCGACGTCGCCGCCGCCAGGGACCCCACGTCCGCCGCGACGCGCGCGAGGCTCACGCCGCGCTGGCGCAGCGACGGCGGCGCCGCCGGCGTCGCCGGCGTCGCCGCCGCCGCCTCGCGCCGCTGGCGCTTCGACGGCGTGTGCTGCGACGCGTCCGTCTCCCAGGCGCACCGCGTTGGAGATTCGCTCATGCTCAAAAGCCAAAAGGAGACTCGCTCATGCTCGGCCTCCCGAACACCGCTTCACCAAGGTGCCTTTTTCTTTCATTCTTTTCATATTTGACAGAACGATTTTAGGCGCGTGGGGAGACTTCGGACAGATAAACTTGCGAGACAACATGACGACTGCCGTCGACTTTTGCTTCGTCGACGCTGAAGACGAGCCGGTGGAGCTGGAACGCTTCTACTTTACGATCTTCGACGTCGACCAGCAGCGAAAGGAGAACCGCCATTCGGAGCTTCTATGCGTCGACTCGGACCAGTACGACTCCTACGTCCTCGCCGGCGCGACGTCGCTCGACATCGAGGAGCGCGACGTCGCCTGCGACGGCTCGCCCGGCGCGTCGACGACCTTCGCGTCGACGTCCGCGGGCTTTGAGTGCGACAACCCCACCGATGCCCAAAATCTGGGCGAGGTCTCGTGCTGCGCAGTGTGGATTCCAACCACTGGTTTGGGGGGTCCCCACCAAACTTCAGCACTCTCTAGCTCCGTCAAATCGAAGTCGATTCGGCTGATTTTTGGACGAATCGATTGCTTTCGTCGAGTTCTCGAAGCCCAGCGAAAGAGTCTGGTCCAAACCGTTCGATTACGCGCACATTGAAGTCGGGTTGAAGATTTGGAATATACACAGGTGCGCCGATTGTGCCCAATGCGCGGAGAACGAGGCTCTCGCGGAATACTTCCCAATCGACCAAAGCGCGCGTTCGGTCATGTTCGTCTTCAAGCAGCCGCGGGACTGCTTCCGACTGGTTTATGACGTTCCCTGCGACGATTGCTTCCTCGACGTACGCGCGGCGTCCCTTTTTTGACGAGGGGAAATGGCGCGAGCGACTCCATCGTAGGCAACAACGGGCTTCAACGGCGGCCGCAATTTCATCTTCGGCGGGTCCTCGAGCCTCTGCGACTGGCCGACGCGCGCGCCAACGCACGCGCCGACGACGGGCCGGCCCACGGAGTCGCACGCGCCGTCGGCCACGGCGGCGCCCTCCGTCGCGCCGACGGCGTCCGCGCCGCCCTCGGCGACGCCCGCGCCGTCGGGCACGGCGTCGCCCACGGCCGCGCCAACGACGGCCGCCCCGAGCTACACGCCGGCGCCGACGGCGACGGCGTCGCCGACCGTCGAGCCGTCGTCGCCCCTGCCGAGCGCGTCGCCCGCGCCGTCGGCGCCGACGGCCGCGCCGTCGACGCTGTGGAACATCTGTGACGGGCCGGAGTACGAGCTCTACATCGAAGGCTCGATCTTAAAAGCGAACAACCTCGGCGGCGTCGGGCCCGGCGACGACTCGGACGAGGTCCTTCGCTACTCGGAGGTCACAGAAAAGGACGGAAGGCCCGTCGACCTCGTGGTGAGCGTGCAGGACGGCCACGAATACGAAGTGGCTGATAATTACGCGGTGCGTTCCCTAGCGCCGACCTTTCGTGCATAAACCCACCCACCCGCGCAGGACTATCAAGGCGTCTGGGAGATGTTCGGCCAGATAAACGTGCGCGACGATTCGACGGCGCACTTACGCTTCAGTTTCGTGGACAGCGAGACCGACGAGCCCGTCGTCTTGAGACGCTTCTACGTGACCGTATTCGACATCGACCAGCAGCGTTCGGAGAACCGCCACACCCAGCGTCCTGTGGCCGTGACGATGTTCGAGAGATTTTGGGTGGGGAAAAGATGAAAATTCGTTACCGACACATTTGCAGGCCACACCGAACGGCTATGCTTGAACGACGATCAGTTCGACGAATACGTGCTGAGAGACTCGACGTCGCTCAACGTCGAGACCCACGACACCGCGTGCGATGGCTCCGAGGGCTCGTCGGTCACCTTCGCGTCGACGGCCGCGGGATTCATCTGTGACAATCCAACGGATCCCCAGCAACTCGGGCAAATTTTCTGTGCGGACCAGCGTCCCGCGGCCCGACTTCGAGAGATTTTGACTACAGACACGACAGGCGAGGAGTGCGACCAATGCGTGGACCAGGGCTTCGACGAGTACTTCCCCATCGACCAGGCTGAACGAAGCGTCATGTTCGTCTTCCGGGCGCCGCGGTCGAGCTTCGACCTGTCCTACACGCTGCCCTGCGTGGACTGTTTCCTCGATGCGACGACGGGCTTCAACGGCGGGCGGAACTTTCTCTTCGGCGGGTCGTCGTCGCTCTGCATCTGGCCGACGCCCACGCCGACGGTGGCGACGACCGAGTATTGGGGCATCTGCGACGGGCCGGAGTACGAGCCAGCGTCATGTGGCCGTGACGATTTTCAAGAGATTTGGGGTGGGAAATCGTTACCGTCATGCTTGGTAGGTACGAGCTCTCCATCGACGCCACGGAGATCACGATGAACAACCTCGGCGGCGTCGGGCCGAACGCCGACGACGACCCTGTCCTGCGCTACGCGCACGTCACCGAAAAAGATGAAAGGCCCGTGGACCTCGTCGTCAGCGTGCGGGACGGCCATGAATATCTCACGGCAGATAACTTTGCCGAATACCAGGGCGCCTGGGAGATGTTCGGCCAGATCAACGTTCGCGACGATTCGACGGCGCACCTCACGTTCTCCTTCGTCGACAGCGAGACGTCCGCGCCGGTCGTGCTGGAACGGTTCTACGTCACTGTCTTCGACATCGACCAGCAACGTTCGGAGAACCGTCACACGGAGCGTCTATGCGTGGACAACGACCAGTACGACGAGTACGTCCTCCGCGAGTCCGCGTCGCTAGTGTTCGAGGCGCAGGACACCGCGTGCGACGGCTCCGAGGGCTCGTCGGTGACGTTTCAGTCCACGGAGGCAGGCTTTATCTGTTTTTGTCGGTGTCATTGCTTTTCAAGCCGGAAAGCTTTGATCGTCACGCATAACAGGTGATAATCCCACCGATCCTCAAAAGCTCGGCAGAGTCTTCTGCGCGGGACCAGCGTAGCGCGGCCGTGACGATTTTCGAGAGATTTTGACTGCAGAAACGATATAGGCGAGGACTGCGACCAATGCATCGACCAAGGCTTCGACGAGTACTTCCCCATCGACCAGGCCGAACGAAGCGTCATGTTCGTCTTCCGCGCGCCGCGGTCGTCCTTCGACCTGTCCTACACGCTGCCCTGCGTGGATTGCTTCCTCGACGCGACGACGGGCTTCAACGGTGGGCGGAACTTCCTCTTCGGCGGTTCCTCGTCGCTCTGCGTCTGGCCGACGCCCGCGCCGACGTCGCGGCCGTCCGACGCGCCGACGCGCGTGCCCGCGACGCCGACGGCCGTCCCGACGTCGAGCGCGCCGACGACCGACGACTTCTACTGGCACACCTGCGAGGATCCCTTCCACGACTTCTCGCTGGAGAACGACGTCGCGGGCGCCGGCGAGCTCCTGCGCTTCGCCGCCGCGACGACGCTCGACGGCGCCGCCGTGGACCTCGTCGTCGCCGCGGCCGACGGCGCGGCCGGCGACGGCGTCTCCGGCGCCACGCGGGACAAGTTCGGCTTCGTCGGCGTCCCCGACGACGCGCGGGTCGACCTCGAGCTCGCCTTCGAGGACGCCGGCGGGGACGCCGTCGCGCTCCGGCGCTTCTACGTGTCCGTCGTCGACATCGACGTCGAGGCCGGCCGCCGCGAGGAGCTCTGCGTCGACGACGGCGAGTACGACGAGTACGTTTTGGGCAAGAACAGCTCGCTCTCCGTCGAGGCGCGCGACGCGGCGTGCGACGGCGGGCCCGGCGCGTCCACGGTCTTCGCGGCGACGGAGGCGGGCTTTTCCTGCGACGATCCCACGAACCCCATGCGCCTGAACACGGTCTTCTGCGAGGAGTGCCGCGAGTGCCTCGACGACGGCCTCGAGCTCGTCTCAGCGTCCTGTGGCCGTGACGATTTTCGAGAGATTTTGGATGGGAAAACAGTGAGAAATCGTCACCGTCATGCTTGGTAGGCTCGCCTTCCCCGTGGTCCACACGGAGCGCGGCGTCATGTTCGTGCTCCGCGAGAAGCGGAGCGCCATGCGGCTGTCCTACGCGGTCGCCTGCGACGGCTGCGAGGCCGGGGGCGCGTCGGGGATGCTCTTCGCCGGGGCCTCGTCGCTCTGCACCTTCGAGTCCGAGGCCTGGGAGACGTGCAACGACGGCGACGCGACGCTCCAGCTCGAGGGCGCGGAGCTCGTCTCCAACAATTTGGGCGGCGCGGGGCCCGTCTTCTCGGACCCCGAAGTGCTCCGCTACGCCGGCGTCGTCGAGCGGACGGACGACAGCCCCGTGGACCTCGTCGTGAGCGCCGTTGACGGCGCCTACAGGACGGCGGACAACTACGCTTTGTACCAGGGCCTCTGGAACCAGTACGGCCAGATCAACGTCCGCGACAACAGCACCGCGCGCCTGCGCTTCTCGTTCGTCGACGCGGCGACGGACCTGGCCGTGGGGCTCGAGCGCTTCTACGTGACGATCTTCGACATCGACCAGCAGCGGAAGCCGAACCGGCACCGGGAGATGCTCTGCATCGACGACGACCAGTACGAGGACTACGTCCTCGGCGGGGACCCGACGCTCGACGTGTCGTCGTCGCCGCGGCGCTGCGACGGGTCGGCCGGGTCGACGTCGACGTCCTTCCTCTCGACGGCCGCGGGCTTCATCTGCGACAACCCGAGCGGCGCGGCGTCCTGCGGCCGAACCAATGTTCGAGAGATTTCGACGGGGGACGAGAACAATCGTCACCGACGCGTTTCGTAGGAGCGACCCGCTGGACCTCGGCACCGTCGTCTGCGCCGAGTGCGACCAGTGCGTGGCCCAGGGCTTCGACGCCTACTTCCCGATCAACCAGGCGGACCGGAGCGTCATGTTCACCTTCGAGAAGGAGCGCATGTCCTTCGACCTCTCCTACACGCTGCCCTGCGAGGACTGCTTCCTCGAGGAGCTCACGGGCTTCAACGGCGGGCGCAACTTCCTCTTCGGCGGCGAGTCGAGCCTCTGCGCCTGGCCCACCATGGCCCCGACGGCGCCGGCGTGGGTCACGTGCTCCGGGTCCGACGTCGCGCTCGAGATCGAGGGCGCGGAGCTCGTCGCGAACAACCTCGGCGGCGCGGGGCCCGCGTTCGGCGACGAGCCCGTGCTCCGCTACGCGGACGTCTGGCGCGGCGACGGGAGCCCCGTCGACCTCGTCGTGAGCGTCCAGGAGGGCACGGACTACGCCGTCGCCGACGACTACGCCAACTACCAGGGCCTCTGGAACCAGTACGGCCAGATCAACGTCCGCGACAATTCGACGGCGCACCTCGTCTTCTCCTTCGTGGACTCGGCGACGGAGCGGCCCGTCGGCCTCGAGCGCTTCTATTTCACGATCTTCGACATCGACCAGCAGCGCAACGAGAACCGGCACCGCGAGATGCTCTGCGCCGCTTCGGCGTCGACGAAGCGTGGCGCTCCGATGCTTACTTTGGACCGCGCAGGTATCGACGACGACCAGTACGACGACTACGTGCTCGGCGGCGACCCGACGCTCGAGATCTCGCGGCGCGCCACGCGCTGCGACGGCTCGGCCGGGGCGTCGACGACGTTCCTCTCGACGGCCGCGGGCTTCGAGTGCGACAACCCCCAGGTCCGCGACGCGGCGTCCTTTTTGAAACTGTACCGCGCAACAAAATCACTCCCAGAAAAATTAGGACCCCCAGTTCCTGGGCACCGTGGCGTGCGAGGACTGCGCGCAGTGCGTGGACCAGGGCTTCGACGAGTACTTCCCCATCGACCAGGCGGACCGCAGCGTCATGTTCACGTTCCGCGAAGCGCGCGACTCGTTCACCCTCTCCTACACGCTGCCCTGCGCGGACTGCTTCCTCGACGCGACGACGGGCTTCAACGGCGGGCGCAACTTCCTCTTCGGCGGCGAGTCGAGCCTCTGCGCCTGGCCGACGCCCGCGCCGACGGCGCCCGCGGACGCGTGGCCCGCGTGCGACGGCGCGGCGTACGACTTCGACCTGAGCGCCGCGACGCTCGCCGCGAACGACCTCGGCGGCGCCGGGCCGGACGCGGGCGACGCGCCCGTCATCCGCTACGCCGGCGCCACGGTGAAGGACGCCCGTCCCGTGGACCTCGAGGTCTCCGCCGTCGGCGAGTACCTCCCCGCGGACGACCTCGCGGGCCAGGGCCTCGACGGCGCCGTCGGCCGCGTCTCCGTGCGCGACAACAGCACGGCGCGCCTGAGATTCGCGTTCAAGGACGGCTACGACGGCGGCAGCGTGGACCTCGCGGAGTTCTACGTGACGTTTCTCGACTTGGACGGCGACGCGGACCCCCGGCGCCACCGCGAGACGCTCTGCGTCGACGACGACGCCTTCGACGACTACGTCGTGTCCGAAAATTCCGAGCTCGCCGTGGCGGCGCGGGAGCGCCGGTGCGACGGGTCCCGCGGGTCGTCCGTGACGTTTTCGTCGACGGCCGCCGGCTTCGACTGCGACGACGCGGCGGCGCCGGACGACCTCGAGCTCGTCACCTGCGCGCGCTGCGACGAGTGCGCCGCCGAGGGCTTGGACGCGTTCTTCCCCGTGGACCAGAGGGACCGGGCCGTCATGCTCGTCTTCCGCGAGCCGCGCGCGTCCTTCGAGGTCTCCTACGGCGTCCCGTGCCTCGACTGCCTCACGCCGGACCTCGTGGGCTTCCACGGCGGGCGCCACGCGTCCTTCGCCGGCGCCTCGAGCCTCTGCAGCTGGCCGACGTCCGCGCCGACGCTGAGCCCGAAGCCGTCGACCCGCCCCACGGTGACGAATGTTACCGGCGCGCCCTCGACGAGCCCCGCGCCTTCTCTGAGCCCCGCGCCGACGGCGAGCGTCGCGCCGAGTGCGGCGGCCCCCGACGTGCTCGTGCTGTCCCAGGACAGCGCTAGCTCCGAGGCCCAGGAGGTCACGGTGCTCGTCGCCGGCGCCGAGGTGCGCGCCTGCCCGCTGTCCATGGTGCTCCTGAGCGGCCTCGCGGCGACGGCGGCCGTCGGCGCCGTGCGCGCGCGCGTGCCCATGGTCGACAAGGTGCCCACGGGCCCGGAGACGACGGCGGCCCTGCTCGGGGGCATCGCCGACGCGGGCATGGACGCGGCCTTCATGTGCGAGCAGTACCACCGCGAGAACAACCGGGCCTTCTTCTGGGCGTCGCTCCTCGCCGCGCTCGCGCACTCGACGCTGGGGTCCGCGCTGCTCCTGCGGCTCGTGCGCCACGCGCGGCGCCGCGACCTCCTCGACGGCGCGCTCATGGGCGAGCACCGCAGCCTCTTCGCGGCCGTGCTCGTCTTCGCGACGACGCACAAGGCCGACCTGGGCAAGCTGCTGCCCTGGCGGCGGTCCGCGGGCGCGGAGCTCTACGACGTCGAGCACCGCGACGGCACGGTCGAGCGCCGCGTCGGCGAGGAGCTCCTCCGGCAGCGCGAGAAAATGGCGGCGGCCGTCGTCGGCGGCGGGCCCGCGGCGGCGGACGCCGTCGAGGTGTCGAGCGACGACGAGCCGCCCGCGGACGACGGCCGGCCGCTCAAGCGCGGCGCGCGCGTCGAGGCGCGCTACGCGGGCGGCGACGACCTCTACTTCCGCGGCCGCGTCGTCGCCGTGTCCCCCGCGGGCGACCTCTTCGACGTCAGATACGACCACGGCGAGACGGAGGCCTGCGTGCACCGGAGCCGGCTCCGCCGCGTCTCGGGCTTCGAGGCGGGCGCCGTCGTCGACTACCAGGCGCCCGAGGGGTCCTGGCGCCGGTGCAAGGTCGTCAAGGCGCGGGGGCGCCGCGGCTCCGCCGCGGAGAAGTTCGGCTACCCGTCGTCGGCGCTCTTCGCGGCCGCGACGGCGTCGACGGTCATCGGCTGCGCCGCGCAGCTCGCGGTCAAGGTCGCGGCCGTCGCCTACGGCCGCCGCGACGCCGTCACCGTCATCAACCTGAGCTCCAACGCCTGCACCATGCTCTACGCGCTCCTCAGCGTGCTCCGCCTCGCGCGGTCGCGGCTCTACCGGCGCCGCGGCCGCAAGGCGACGGCGCACGACACGGGCGTCGAGATCTGGCGCCTCGTCGAGGCGCTCGTCGTCGAAGACGACGACGACGACAAGAAGCCCGCCGTGCGCGACGCCGTGGAGCTGCCAGCCATCGAGAAGAAGATGCTCGAGGACGCGCGCGACCCCTTCGAGGAGATCGAGGACGCGGAGGCGATCCGCATCGACTTCGAGGCCGAGTCGCCCGCGAAGAACGATTTGACGTGCGGCTGCGGGCCCGCGGCTATGTAGGTCGGTCTTTAAGATTACCGCGACGTCGCGACGAGCGGTCCCGGCGGCGCGGGCGGCGGATCCTTGCGGTTCGTCTCGAAGACGAACTCGAGGAGCTCCCGCCCTGCGGTGGCGATGTTGCGGGAAGTGCGCGGCGTCGCGCCGTGCTTCGCCGCGATCGCGTAGTACTCGTCGTAGAGCGCCGGGAGCCGCGACTGCGCGATGGACGGCAGCGCGTGGTGGAGGCTCTGCGCGTTCAGCCCCGCGGTGAGCGCGGAGACGACCGCGTTCTCGAGTTCGTCGTGCACCGAGTAGTCGTAGCTATGCGCGATCTGCCGCGCCGTCCAGCAGGCGTCGTCGGGCAGGTCCTCGTGGCAGGCCTCCTGGACGTGGGACGTCTGCGTCATCGTCGTCCAGATGATCGACGCGCCGACGTAGGGCCACAGCGCGGCCGTCAGCGCCTGGCTCCAGTCGCCGTCGAGCAGGCCGAAGGCGACGAGGGGGTAGAGCAAAACGAAGACGGACGGCGCCATGGACAGGGCCAGCACCTCCTTGGCCACGACCTCGGGCACGGGCGTGATGTTCTCGTCGAAGTTCGGCGTCGCCGACTCCAGGAGCGTGCGCGCGGGCTGGAGGAGCGTCGTGCCGAGCGTCGACAGGCACCCCTTGATCACGAAGGTCCAGCCCGCGTTCACCTCCGAGTCGCCGCCGTAGTCCGTGTCCGGGCTTAATTTGGCCGGCGCGAAGTGGTGCAGGTCGACGTCGAAGTCCTCGTCGTTCGTGTACTGGTGGTGGGGCTCAGCAGGTGCTGCGGGATCCAGACGAAGACGTTGAAGAAGAGCGGGTGCGCCGTGAACTGGAGCCAGAAGTTGACGCGGGCGTCCGTGCTCAGCGAGCCGTGCGTCGCGTCGTGGGCCGTGTGCGCCGTCAGCAGCCAACTCGCGAGCGGCAGGAGCGCCGTCGCCGCGCCGTCGCCCTGGAACCAGCCGACCCAGCAGCTCGCCGTCAACGCGAAGAACACCCCGATGCGCGCCCGCTGGCCCGGCGTCGCCTTCGTCGCCTCCAGGGAGGACCCGAAGCGCCGCCGGACCATGGCCTTGAGCTCGGCCCGCAGCGGCGAGTCCATGGCGACGTCCTCGGGCTCGTCCGCGAGCGCGAAGTGGTGCGGGGCCGCCGGCGCGTCGCGCGTGTCGATGCGAGGCATGGCCTCGAGCGCCTTGGCCGCGCGCGCCTCGTTCTGCGAGTGCGCGGCCCGGAAGAGGTAGGTCACGTCGCGGCCGCGGCTGTACTCCATGAGCCACTGGCCGCCGACGTGCTGCGTCGCCGCGTAGTCCGCCGCGTCGTACCACTGGCCGTCGATGCGCAGCGGCAGCGGCTGCCGCGCCCGCTGCGCCTCGGTCAGCGCGGGCCGCGGCAGGTGCAAAGCCGACGACGCGGCGGCGAGCGCTGCAACGAGCGCATGGAGGCGCATTGCTGTGTGATTTACTGCAGCAGTCGCGAGGTTGGCGCTAGGCTGGTTGCGAGCACGGTCGATTGTTGCGAGCGCTACTGCTGCAGTCGCGTGATGGCGCTCGGCTGGTCGCGAGCACGGCCGATTGTTGCAAGCGCTGTTGCAGCAGATGGCGCTCGGCTGGTCGCGAGCACGGCTGATTGCAGGGCCGATTGCGAGCGGCAGCAGCAGTCGCAGACGAGCTGAGGTGGAGAGATGGAAGCTCGCGCAAGGCACGCGCGCAACTTGATGTTGGCAGTGCTTAAAGCGCGGTCGAACTTGCACTCGGCGCCCGATGATGCTCTCCCTTCGGGCGGCAGCCTCCATGCTAGCACGATGATCCTGCCCGCACGTGCCGTTTAAAGAAGTCGAGCATGGCCGCCTACGCCCAGCAGCCGCGGCGGCGCGTGCTGCGGCCGTCGGTGGTCGTCGATGCGACGCATGCCCACACGCACACGGTGATCATGCTGCACGGCATGGCCTTCGACTCGAGCATGTTCGAGGAGCTGCCGGCCATGCTGGGCGCGCGCGCGTCGACGGTGCGCTGGGTCTTCCCGAACGCGCCGGTGCGCACGATCGACTGGCCGCGCGGGCCCGCGCCGGCGTCCCGCGGCCGCGGCGAGCTTCGAGAGATCGCGAAACAATCTCGTCGACCGGGAACCCACGGTAGGCCCGAGCCGGGCGTCGAGGCCTGGTACAACTACTTTAGCAGCAACGGCGGCACGCTCCAGCACGACGCCATCGACCTGGAGCACCTCGCCGCCGTCGCCGCGGACGTCCACGCGATCATGGACGCGGAGATCGCGCGCCTCGGCGGCGCCGCGCGCCGCGTCGCGCTCGGCGGCAACTCGCAGGGGGGCACGGTCGCGCTGCACGCGGCGCTGACGCACGCGCGGGGCCTCGACCTCGCGTGCCTCGTCCTCGGCTGCACGCTCCTGCTCGACGCGACGCCGGCGCCCCGGGAGCCGCCGGAGGACCCGCCGCCGCTCTTCATCTTTAGCGCGGAGCGCGACATGGAGTACCTGCCGGCGTTCCAGCGCCTCGCGTTCGGCCGCCTCGCGGCGGTCGGCTTCGACGTCGAGAGCCACGTCGAGCCGGGCCTCGACCACTACTCCGTGAGCCGCGCGGAGCTCTTCCACACGGCGGCCTGGCTCCGGCGGGCCCTGTTCGGCGACGCCGTCGTGCCCGAGTACCGCGACCGGCCGAACGCGCCGCCGGCGAAGTTCGACGACGTCATGGACGCGCCGCTGCCCGCGTGGTGGCTCCAGGCGCTCCTGCACGGCCACCGGCAGCCCCACAAGCTCCACGACGAGGAGGTCGCGCTGATGCCGGACGCCTGGCGGCCCGTGTTCTTCGCGGACGGGTAAGGACTAGTAACTTGAACTGCACGTTGAATCATGTTGCCTAGATGTTGCCTTTCTGAGCGCAATGATGTGGCCCGACCGAAAAAGCCAATGAACACGGCGGCATGATGTGGCCCGACCGAAAAAGCCAATGAACGCGGCGGCATGACGGAGACTCCCGAGCCGCTCGACGTCGTCGAGATCGTCGGCAAGAAGGGCGCGCTCTGCCGCGCGGCAGCCGCGCTGTCGTCCGACGCCGTCGGCGTGCTGCGCCGGGGCACGGTCGTCGAGGTGCTCGAGCGCGCCGCCGTCGGCGGCACGGAGCGCCTCCGGCTGCGCGTCGCCGGCGCGTCGGCCTGGTGCAGCGCGAAGCTCGCGCGGCCCGCGGCGGCGCCGAGCCACGGCTGGGAGGTGCGCACGGACGGCGGCTGGTCCGCGTTCGACGTCGACGACGCCGGCGACGACGTCGACGCGATGCTCGAGGCGAGCCTGGCGCGCATGGACGAGGCGCCCGTGGCCTTTACGAAGAACCGCATGCGCTACGAGGTGAGCGTCTTAGGGCTCGAGCAGCGGAACACGCGCTTCGGCACGTGCCGGAAGGTGCGGCGCCGCGCGCGGCGGCGGCCGCGCGCGCCGCGGCTCGGCGGCCCGGCGGCGGCGACGCGCGTCTTCGCGGTGAGCGACGTCCACGCCGACTACGAGGAGAACTGGGCCTGGCTCGAGGGCCTGCCCGTCGGGCCCTACCGGGGCGACGTGCTCCTCGTCGCCGGCGATCTCGGCCACACGCTGCCGTTGCTCGCCGCGGCGTTCCTCAAGCTCACGGCCGTCTTCGGCGAGGTCTGCTTCGTACCCGGGAACCACGAGCTCTGGGTCGGCGACTTCGACGAGGACGCGCGGTCCGCGAAGGGGTTTTCCTCCAAGGCGCAGCCGCGCGTCCTCGAGAAGCTCGACCCGTCGTTCGTCGCGCGCGCGCGGGCGCTGGCGACGGCGGCCTGCGCGGCCGTGCCGCGGCGCGGGCCCGCGCTCGACTCCGTCGTCAAGTTCGAGCGCATCGTCGCGCTCTGCGACGCGCTGGGCGTGCGCACGAAGCCCCTCCGGGTCGCCGTCGGCGACGGCGACGACCTCTGGGTCTGCCCCATCGCCGCGTGGTACGTCCACGGCTTCGGCACGCCGTCGCCGCATCCCGACGCCGTCGCCCGGGCGCGGTCCGAGTTCACGGACTTCACGCTGTGCGCGTGGCCCGACGACGTCGACGCCGCCCCTTCGCGCTTCGACGGCGACGCGGGGCCCGCGGCCTACTTCGCGGCGCGGAACCCGCCGCTGCCGGAGCCGTCGACGCGCGTCATCACGTTCTCGCACTTCCTGCCGCGGCCCGAGCTCATGCCCGCGAAGCGGCCGCCGTCCGCCGCGCGCCTCGACCTCGTCGCGGGCGACCGGCGCGTCGACGCGGCGCTCCGGGCCCGCGGGAGCCGGCTCCACGTCTTCGGGCACACGCACGTCAACTGGGACGCCTGCGCCGACGGCGTCCACTACGTCCAGAACGCGCTCCGCTACCCCAACGAGCGCCGCATGTGGACGTCGCGCGTCGACAGCGTCCACCGCTGCGGCGGCGCGCCGCGGCGGTCGTCAAATGCGTGCGTCCCCGTCGACCCGGAGAAGCGCGCGGCGGACGCCCTCGACGCGCTCCGGATCTGGTCGTCGGAGGACCCCGACGACTTCTGCATCCTGCCGAACCGGTGCTCGGCCTGCAAGTTCGCGGACCCGCCGCAGTCGGACTAGTTTTATCGTCGGTAGTAGTCGTCCTGGGGCAGGCCCCAGTCGCCGCCGGGCGCCGCGTAGCCGTCCTGCTGGGGCGGCGGCGGCGGCGGCCGCCGCCGGTCGTAGGCCGGCGGCGGCGGCGGCCTCCGGTCGCCGCCCTCGGCCGGCGGCGCCTGCTGCGCGCTCGCGGCCTGGTCCACGGCCTTGGACACCAACCCGCCCACGGTCTTGGAGATGCCGAAGCGCCGGTCGAAGGCGTTGAGCCGGAGCCCGCCGAGCCGCGCGGCGACCATCGACTTTTTGCCCAGCTCCGCGTCGCCCGCGGCGGCGAGGACGGCGGCGACGGACGCGACGAAGCGCGCGCAGACGCAGCGCGCGGCGTCGCCCCGGGCGTCGTTCAGTGTCACGGCGAAGAGCGCGCAGCCCGCCGCGAGCGCCGCGACGAGCGACGAGGGGAACATGTTCAGGAACGGCACGCAGTTCGCCGACAGTCCGCCGACGGCGACGGCGGCGACGAGCGTGCGCGCCATGCTAAAGTCCGGGTCCTCGCGGCTCGCCTTCGCGTAGCGCCAGGGGTTCGGCGCGCCCGGCGGCCAGACCTCGCGCGGCACGAGGCCGAGGCCCGCCTTGAACTGGCGAAAGACCGGGTAGCGGCCGTCCGCGAGCGCGCGCGACCGCTTCGCGGACCCGACGGCCGTGGCGCCCAGAGCCACGGCGGCGTCGCCGAAGCGCCCGCCGCAGAGGCCCGCGGCGACGCAGGCGGCCGCGCCCGCGCCGGCCCACCGCGGCGACAGGTCGCCGGTCACCGCTTTGCCCAAACCCGCGCCGACGAGGCCGCCGCTCGCGGCGCTCGCGACGCGCACGACGACGCCGTCGCGCGGCGGGGATTTGAGGTCCGCCGCCTCCGCCGCCTCGTAGGCCGCCTGCGACGCGCCGGCGTCGCCGTAGGGCTGCGGTGCATGGGGCGGCGGCGGCTGGGCGTAGGCGGGATCGTAGTAGGCCTGCTGCGGCGGCGGCGGCGGCGGCGGTTGCGGCGCGTTGTAAAAGTCGTCGCCCCAGTCCGACGCGCGGGCCGCGGCGCATAGGAGGACACCGAGGCACGTCGGGCGACGCTGGAACATCGCGGCCGCCGACGTTGGTGATCGGTTGCTCGCGCAGGCTTGGTGCCGGCACGTTGCTGGCTCGACGATTGCCACAAGGCCATCAAGGCCTGCCACGCCAGACGCGTCGTCGGCGCCCACACCGCCGGAACGCAGCGCAACGACACAGTCAAACACACACCAAATGCATAAAGCAGTCCTCGTAACGCTCGCGGCGCTCGCGACGCTGACGAACGCGCTGCGCGTGAATCGCCGGAGCGCGCTCTGCCTGCCCTGCGCCGCGGTCGCGGCGCCCGGCGTCGCCGCGGCCAAGGACCGCGTCGAGGGCTACGCCGTGCAGAAGTCGCCCCAGGAGTGGCAGCGCGCCCTGAGCGCGCCCCAGTACTTCGTGCTGCGCAACGGCGGCACGGAGCCGCCGAACTCGAGCCCGCTCGTCAAGGAGAAGCGGTCGGGCGTCTTCGGGTGCGCGGCGTGCGACGCGGACCTCTTCGCGAGCGGCGCCAAGTTCGAGAGCGGCACGGGCTGGCCGAGCTTCGCGACGGGCCTGCCCAACGTCGAGGTCGAGGCCACGCCCATCGAGTTCCTCTCCGGCGCGGAGCTCCGCTGCGCGCGGTGCGGCGGCCACCTCGGCGACCGCTTCCTCGACGGCGCGCTCTTCCCGGGCACGCCGGCCTTCGCGAGCGGCAAGCGCTACTGCATCGACGGCAGCGCCCTCGTCTTCTACCCGGCCGACGGCGGCAAGCCCGTCCTCGGCGAGTTCGACCCGGGAGCGCCGCGCGAGCTGCCCGCGTGGGCGCAGCCCCCGGGCATTAAAGTGAACTGAGACTCTGCACAAAAGGACGGGGTTATTCGGGGGGGGGCGGCGCCTACGCCGTGCGGGCCTTCTTGGCGGCGGCTTTGGCCCAAACGATGGCGCCGTAGAGCGCGTCCGAGATCGCGTGGCGCAACTCGAACTCCTCACCAGTTTTGTCCCAGATGGGTGCGACGCGCCCGCGCAGCTCCGGTGGGACGGATGCGATATCTTTGACCCACTCGACAACGATGCCGAGCCCCGCGGCCTCGGCATCGTCGAGGCCCGAGAGCAGGCCGCAGCCGCAGTGCTCGGCGACGTGCGAGGCCTCCCAGGGGTAGCCACACCACGAGGCGAGCGACGGTCGGTGAATCTCGGAGAGGTCGCATTTGTCCCAGGGGACGCCGCGGAGGTACGCCGCCCAGCGGCGTCGCAGCCGGCTGATGTCCGTCAGTTTCGCCAGTCCGCGCGCGACGACGGCGTCGACGAGGAACGGAACGGCCTTATCCATGGTGCCGCCCCCGACGCCTCGCAGCGGCGAGATGAGGTCGACCTCCCCGCAGACATCGTCGCCCACGGACGCCAAGAGTCGCGCGTCGTCGGCGTAGGGCTGTCCTCGAGTCTCGAAGTCGGGAAAGAGGAGGATGACGGCGCAAGCCGATTTGCGGAGGTAAGAACTGGGGATGAAGAGCGCCGCGCTCGACACTTTCATGCAGCAGTCGCCGCGCTTCAAGTTCTCGACGACCGCCGCGACGCTCGACAGAATGTCGTCGAGGACTTCTTCGTCGCTCATGCAGACGCGCCGCCCGGCGACGACCGCGTCCGCGGCGGCCTCCTCGTATAACTGAACGCGGCCGAGGTAGCGCTCCACGGCATCGTCGTCGTCGCAGTCCAGGGGCCGCCGCGGCCGCGCCCGCTTCTTGCTTTGCGCCTCCTTGGGCGCCGCGGCCTTGTTCGGCGCCGCGGCCTTGTTCTGGGCGGCGCCGAAGCAGCCCACGGGCGCGCGCCGCACCGCCGTCGGCGCGCGCAGCTCCTCGGCCGTCGCCGGTGCGGCATGCTCCGGCGCGCCGCCCTCCTTGGACTGGAAGAGGCCCATGCTGCGACGGGCTGCCCCGATCCAAACCGTGAAAACGTCGCCGGGGGTCTCGCGATCTACACAGAGCTTAGGGGGGGGGGCTTGGGCGACCGTCAGCCTGACATGGCGGCCTCGAGGAGGATGTCGAGGGACGCGGCGCTCGAGCTCGGGCTCGAGAGCGGCGAGGGCGGCGCGGGCGCGGCGCCGCGCGGCGTCTCGACGGCGGGCTCGTCGGCCGCGTCGTCCGAGTCCGCGGGCCAGTAGGGGAGGCCGCGGTCCGAGGCGTCCTGGGGCTGGGCCGCGCGGGCCCGGGGCGACGTCGACGCGCGCTTGACCGCGCGGCGCGGGAGGAACTTGAGGTCCTCGACGGTGGCGACGTCGCGGTCGTCGTTGCGGTAGATCGGGAGCGTCTGCGTGCCGCGGAAGATCTTGGAGAAGCCGTAGTAGTTGAGCTGGCGCTGGAAGGTGATGATGTTGTTGCTCTTGAAGTAGTGGGGGAGGATGTCGGCCGAGAGCCGGTTCTCGTCCATGACCTCGAGCTCGCGCGTGTCGTAGTTCCAGCGGATGACGTCGTGGTTCGCGGCGTCGGTGACCATCTCGCAGAGCTTGAGGCTGAAGGGGTAGATCTTCGCCGGCGCCGCCCGCTTCTTGCCCGCGGCGGCCGCCGCCGCGGCCGCGCGCCGCGGGCCCGACCGCGTCCGCCGCGCGGGCGGCGCGGCGGCGTCGTCGAGCGGCGGCGGCGGCGGCGGCGGCGCGGGCGGCTTCGCGGGCGCGACCGTCGGCGACACGATGGCGACGGCGGCGTCGTTGCCGAGCGCCGCGAGGGGCGGCCGGTCGCCGTCGGACGCCGCCGCGGCCGCGCCCCGGAGCCGGTCCGCGGCCGCCGCCGGCAGCGGCTTCGCCGTCGCGCCCGGCGGCGCGCCGCTCCGCCGCGGCCGCGGCCGCTCGAGGGCGGCGGGCGGCGGCGCGTCCGGCGCGCCGCAGGCCGCCGCGAGGCTCTTGGGGAAGACGAGCTGGCTCGCGAGGAGCTCCGCGGCGTCGCGGTCCGAGAGCGACCGCTCCGCGCGCGGCGGCGGCGCGAGGAGGCCCGCGACCTCGTCGTCCTCGGTCTCGGAGCCCACCGTGCCCTGGGAGTCGACGGAGCTCGCGGGCGAGTCCGCGCGCTCCGGCGACGCCTCGCGCGCGAAGAGCGCCGTCGGCGTCACCGCGGCGCCCTCGGCGCGGAGGCCCGCGGCGCGGAGCAGCACGGTCGCCGGGTACTGGCTCGCGAGGTGCGTCGCGAGGATCTTGCCCGGCGAGAAGTCCGTCGACGACGACGGCGTGGCGTGCTCGACGACCGCGGCCGCGGGGCCGCCGCCGCCGCGTTCGAACGACGCCTCGACGACGCGGTCGTAGACCGCGCCGCGCGAGGAAGCGGCGTGGGGCGACGCCACGGGCGACAGGAGGCCCGGCCCGTCCGTCGACACGCGCGTCGCGATATCCGTGGCCATACGGGTGGCGTTCTTGTGGGACCTACTCGGTTCAAATCGTCGAGACTCGTTTGAATGGTTTCGCGATCGATTCGATCGGCGCCAATTGCTGGGCGGGGTCCCGGGGGGATGGGAGGGGCGATGGGCAAGCGTTGAGGCATTGGATCGCACCTTGCTTTGCGTTTGGGGGCGCGGAATTCGTAAAAGCGGTTATCCAAAGTCCGATTCCGCTCGTCGAAGTTTAATTTTGCCGCTTCCGCTAGGACTTAAAATACGCTAGCCTGAAGCGTGCTCTGAGAAACCGCCCAGGCTTCTCTGCTCGTGATGTCGAACTCCCTCGCGTGTCCTGACGTGCCACTTGGGGAGCGTCACCGGGTTTTAAGGGTAAGTAGCACTGGTGACACCGAGGTGACGCGCAGCGCGAGCCGACAGGCCACCGCCCCACGTACGGACATGACAGATCAAAGCAGCCACAGCCTTGTGCCCCCCCCCGAATGCACGCGCGAGTCCTTCCGGATGTTCGTCGAACGACGTCTTCCAGTTCAGACCGCAGGGCCCGGGCCACGCGCCGCGTTCGAGCAGGAGCTTGACGATGTCTGGTGGCCCTCTGCGAGGTCGACGAGGTCGGGACGCCGAACGGCATCGCCGGCATCGCGGGCCGCACCGGCTTCGCCGGGAGGCTGCTCCGGGCCTTCGAGCTCGTGTTGTCGCACGCGACGGCCAAATTGATCATGGTCACGCGGCGGCCGATCTACGTGTCGGCCGTCGAGCTGCGCGCGGCCGCGATGCGGGCAGGCGCCACGCGCCAGCCTTCGCTGCCGCTGCACAGCGCGCGACAGCGTCGCGCCGCCACACGCAGTGAACCGTAGCAGGCGCCTAGTTAGGAGCCACGCATACCTCGGCGGCATGCCGCGGCGCGCGCGGCACGATCCACCTCGCTCGGTAGCTTGCAGTAGCAGATCATCGTCATCGCGGAGAGAAGCAAAGTATGGGAGGATCGGCTTTCAAGCTCTGCCTCGCGGCCGCGGCCGTCGGCGCCGGCGCCTTCACGGCGCCGGCGACGTCGCTCCGCCAGCCCACGTCCCTCGGTGCGTCGGGCCACGCGGTCATCGTGCAGAACAAGGGCGGCGGCCACGGCGAGATCGGCTACCACCTCGCCAAGGCCCTCGCGGCCAAGGACCTGGACGTGACCATCGTCCAGGACGCGTCGGCGACGAAGGAGGCGCTGCCCTTCAAGCTCTACGACGAGCTCAGCGCGACCGTGGCCTGGTGCGACATGGGCGACGCGGCCGCCGTCGAGAAAGCGTGCGCTGTCGACGGCCTCACGCACGTCTACGACAACTTCGCCAAGTCGCCCGCCGACGCCGCGCCCATGATGGCCGCGGCCAAGTCCAGCGACGCCTTCTACGCCTTCGTCTCCAGCGCGGGCATGTACACGGCGAAGGGCATCCTCAAGGAAGAGAAGAAGGTCAAGGACCCGCCGACGGGGCAGCGCGAGGTCGAGCTGGCCCTCGAGGCCGAGCTCGCGGGCAAGTGGTGCGCCTTCCGGCCCCAGTACATCTACGGGCCCTACACGAACAAGCGCGACTACCTCGACTGGTTCCTGAACCGCGCCGCGCGCGACATCCCCATGGCCGTGCCCGCGGACGCGCAGCAGCCCGTGTCGTTGACGCACTGCGAGGACGTCGCGGCGCTCATGGCGTCCGTCGTCGGCAAGGAGGGCGCCGCCGCGGACCAGATCTTCAACTGCGGCACGAACAAGATGTGCTCCTACGACGACGTCTGCATCGCCGCCGCCAAGGCGCTCGGCAAGTCCGAGGCCCTGGTCGTCGCGCTGCCCCCGGACACGAAGTCGTCCTTCCCCTTCCGCCCCAACGCCGAGGGCTTCGCCGTGCGCGTCCGCAAGGCCATGGACGTCCTCGAGTGGCCGGGCGCGACGCACGACGTCCTCGCCGACCTCGCGGGCTTCTACACGGAGGACTTCCTCGCCCTGGGCCTCGACAAGGGCGACCTCGACACGTCCAAGGACATGCTCGACCTCTGCGAGAACATGGTCCAGGACTACGGCGAGCGCGGCGTCCACGTCTGAGCGCGCCCCGCGGTAACGGCGAAGGCGGTAGTGCGGGAACACCCGCGCCTTAGTCGCGCCGCTTGCCGCGATACTGGGCGAGCGCGTGGCGCGCGAAGAGCGCCGCGAAGAGGAAGTCCCCGACGCCGAAGAGCGCGTGGAAGAGCGCGTTGATGACGTCGGGCGCGCCGCCCGTCGCGCGCGCCGCCGCGACGATGGCCCGCGCGTCGTGGCCCGCGAGCCACCGCAGCCAGCCGAGGACGTAGGCCAGCTTCTCGACGACGAAGACGCACCTGCGCGGGCGCGTCGGTCGTCGAGAGAGAGGCGACGCGGCTCGACGCCGCGCGCGGACCACACCGGCGGCGCGGCCTTCGAGGCGCCCGCGGCGAGGAAGGCCGCGCCCCAGACGAGCACCATGACCTGGCCGAAGGGCGAAAACATGTCCGGGTTCAGCGACGCGACCTGGCGCGTGCGCGTGAAGCCCATGTTCACGAGGAGCATGCCGCCGTTGAACGCGGCGGCGGCGCAGCCCAGGCGCAGCGCCGGATGCATCATCATCGCGCTGCTGTCTTCGTGTTTGTGCCGGCGACCTCGTGTGCTTGCCGACGACGCTGGCGGTCTCGTTCTTGCAGCCGACGGCGTCGATGCTCTCGCACACCACCACCCGCGTCGCTGGCAGCAACCGCGCGCCGCACCGCCCACGGCCACCGCACACCGGTTCGCAGCATTTGCACGATGCCCAAGGTCGCGCTCGAGGCCCTCTGCGCCTCCAAGGAGGCATTCCTCGCGACGCTCGCGCCCATCTACGAGAAGTCGCCCTGGGTCGCCGAGCGCGCCTACGCGTCGGCGCCCTTCGCGTCGGTCACGGCCCTCGCCGCGGCCATGAGGGACGTCGTCGCCGCCGCGACGGACGCCGAGGTCGTCGCGCTGCTGCGGGCGCACCCGGACCTCGCGGGCCGGGCCGCGCTCGCGGGCGAGCTCACGGCCGAGTCGACCGTCGAGCAGCAGCGGGCGGGCCTGGGGAGCCTGACGCCCGGCGAGCTCGCCGAGTTCCGGCGGCTCAACGCGGCCTACCGCGAGGCCTTTGGGTGGCCCTTCATCCTCGCGGTGCGCAACGCGTCGAAGCGCGCGGTCCTCGGCGCGTTCGCGCGGCGCGTCGGCGCGACGGCGGCGGGCGAGCGCGCCGAGTGCGTCGCGCAGGTGCACAAGATCGCCTGGATGCGGCTCCTCGACGCCGTGGCCCACACGCCCGCGGGCTTCCTCACGTGCCACGTCCTCGACACCGCGCGCGGGTGCCCCGCGGCGGGCATGGCCGTGAGCCTCCGGCGCGTCGGCGACCACGGCGACCTGCCGGCCGAGTACGCCTTCGTGACCAACGCCGACGGCCGCCTCGACGGGCCCGCGCTCAAGGGCGACGCCTTCGCCGCGGGCGCCTACGAGTGGACCTTCCGCGTCGGCGAGTACTTCGCGGCCGCGGGCGTGCCCGTCGCGGCGACGCCCTTCCTCGGCGACGTGCCCATCCGCTTCGGCATCGACAACCCCGAGGAGCACTACCACGTGCCCCTCCTCTGCTCGCCCTGGACCTTTTCCACGTACCGCGGCTCCTGAGGCGCGCCGTAGCTCGACCTTCCTTCGCGTCGCGCCCGGGATCTCTCTTTTCTTAGTCGAGCTGCGTGAGGCGCGCGACGAGGCCCGTGAGCTGCGTGAGCGTCGCGCAGCCGTCGATGACGCGCGTGTGCGCGAAGCCGATCTCCTTGATGAACTTGAGCTGGTCGGCCTCGGGCATGGGGTGCATCTTGATGACCTTGAAGAGCGTCGCGACGATGTCGACGGCGGCGTAGCCCGTCGCGTGGAGGCCCGCGATGCCCGCGACGGCCGCGTCGAGGTCGCGCTTCGCGCAGTCGTCGAGGATCTTCCGCGCGACGTGGGGGTGGGGCTGGTCGCAGACCTTGAAGACGCTCTGCTCGTCGACGGCGCCGAAGCCGCTGTGCGTCGACTGGAGGTTGTTGAGCGCGTTGCGCATGTCGCCCTCGGCCGTGAAGATGAGCGCCTCGAGGCCGCCGTCCGTCGCCGCGACGCCCTCGGCGCCGCAGACGTGGGTCAGGCGCTTCAGCAACTCCTTGTCGCTGAGGCGCGTGAAGCGCAGGATCGCGCAGCGGCTCTGGATGGGCTCGGAGATCTTCGAGGACGTGTTGCACGCGAGCGCGAACCGCGTCGTGCCCGAGAAGAGCTCCATGGTGCGGCGCATGGCCTGCTGCGCCGCCGCCGTCATGGAGTCGGCCTCGTCGAGGATGACGAGCTTGTGGGCCCCCGGTGGCAGGTTCACCTTCTTCTTCGCGAACATCTTGATCTTGTCGCGGACGACCATGATCCCGCGCTCGTCCGACGCGTTCATCTCGAGCACGGCCTCCTTGTAGTTGGCGCCGAGCATCTCCCGCGCGAGGCACAGCATGCTCGTCGTCTTCCCCGTGCCCGGCGGGCCGCTCAGGATGATGTTCGGCATGTTCCCGCCGGCGACGACGGCCCGCAGCTTCGAGATCGTCTCCTCGTTGCCGACGACGTCGGACCTGCGCGCGGGCGGGTCTCATGCGGCGGCGCGCCGCGGCGGCGCGCGGGCGCCGGGCGCGCGCAGGACCTGCGGCCGGTACTTCTCGACCCACGGAGCCTCCGCCGAGGGCGCCATGCTTCGAATCGCGAGCTCGACCTGCGACGGCGCCGTCGTCGACCGCGGGAACGGTGCGGTCGCGCGCGCGCGGCGCGTCGCGCGCGTCGGACGACCGCGAGGTGCTCGAAGGCGCGCGCGGCGACGGCGCGCGCAGGGACGCTGGGACCATGCCTCGATTTCAAAGTCAGCGAGCTGATTCTTGAATGCCTTCTTGAGCCTGTCTTACCCGCGTTGCGCTTGATGTTAGCGGCGGCGCGACGTGCGACGCGGACGCCGTGGCGCTGGTGCTGGGCCACGGGCCCGCGCCGCACCTCCGATGAAAGTCAACAACAGGTTACTCGAGGCGCCAGACCTTGGGCGCGACGTCCTCCGTGGCGACGACGAGCGCGGCCCAGGCGGCGGGCGCGGACGCGGGCGTCCGCCCGACGCGCAGGACGACGCCGCGGCCGCCGCCGCGGCGCGGCGGCAGCGACGTGACGACGCGCTGGGGCGGCGCGTCGATGGAAAACGACTTGGAGCCGAGGGCCGCGACGATGGCGAAGGATTCCCGCCCCGGGCCGACGATCTCGCCGACCGTGCTCTCCCAGGTCGGCTCGTCGTTGCGCAGCTCGGCCTCGCCGAAGGCGTCGCCGTCGGCCGCGAACGCGCCGCCGCGGCACTCGAAGAGCGCCTCGAGCTCGCCGAGCGACGCCGCGGCGCGCGCCCGCTCGAGCGCGGGCTCGGCCCACGCGTCGTCCGCCGCGACGGCGATGGGCTTCTTCGACGAGTAGTCCGCGCCGGACGCGGCGCCCTCGACGCGGCTCTCGTCGAAGGCGTATTTGCCGCCGTGCTGGTTGCCGACGAGGTCGCTGACGGACCGCTTGGCGTCGCTCAGGACGACGGCGCTTCGATGAGCAACGATCCCAGGTTTTGCAAATCCGGCAGCGGTGCCGAACAGCGCGAGGTGGAGGCTCCATCGGAACGGCATAGCTGCCATGCTGCACGGCGGCTACAAGGAGAGCACTTCACCATCAGATCACCATCGGCCAGAGCTCTGCAGAGTGTGGCGAGAGCATGGGCCGTGGTCGAGGGGTGTCGAATGACGACGCTCGTGGCTGATGCCAATCTGCAGAGCTGACAGATGACGACGCAAAAACGCTGGCGGGAGGCCTGCGCATCCGTGGCCGCGTACCTCGACGCCGACGTCGACGGCGAGCCCTGGTGGCCGCTCGTGGCGGCGCTGGACCCGGAGAAGCCGCGGCCGACCGTCGTGGTGCTCAACGCCGGCGAGGGCGCCTTCGGCGCGTGCCTCGCCGTGTTCCTCGGCGGGCGCGCGGCCGCGGTCGCGATCCTCGACGAGCGCTACTTCCGGCCGCGGGGCGTCGACCTCTCGCGCCTCGAGGCCTTCGCCGCGACGTTCCCGGCGGCGGCGCGCCTCGTCGCGCGGCGCGACGCGGCGTCCGGCGGCCAGGCCGCCAAGGTCCTGCGCGGCCTCCTCGACGCGCCGGGCTGCGCCGTCGTCGCCGTCGAGGCCGGGGGCCTCGCGGCGCTCCGCGCCGCGCGGCTCTTCGCGCGCGGGTCCGTCGAGCGGCTCGTCGTCGGGTCGGCGCCGCCGCCGCCGCTGGACGCGCTCCGCGTGCACGCCCGGGCGCGCGCGCTCTACGCGCCGACGCGCGCGGGCGCCTTCGCGGCCAAGGACGCGCGCGACGACGCGGCCGCGTGGCTGCGGGGCCTGCGAGGCGCGTGCGCCGGCGCCGGCGGCGCCGCGGCGCCGGGCCCCGCCGCGCTGGCCTTCGCCAAGGACGGCGGGGCGCCGCCCGACGCCGCGACGCCGCTCGTGCTCTTCCTCCCGGACCAGCTCGACGCGCTCCGGGCCGACGTCGAGGCCCGCGTCGCGCGGTTTCCCAAACTCGCGCTCGACGACGGCGCGGCGGCCGCGCTCGTCGCGTCGGCGCCGGAGCGCTACGGCGCGGGGGGCTACGCGGCGGCCCACTACGTCAAGGCGGACCCCGGCGCGCGCGAGCCCTGCTTCGAGTTGGAGGTCGGCGGCGCGCGGCTCGGCTTCGTCTCCGTCGGCTTCTCCGAGTTCGGCGCGGCCGCGGCGCCGGGCGCGGCCTGGCCCTTCCGCGACGTCACCCGGCCCTACAACGTCGCCACGGTGTCGCGCCTCGTCGTCCTCGACGGCGCGCGGGGCCGAGGCGCGGCGACGGCGCTCCTCTCGGCCTGCGCCGCGTTCCACGATTTGGGCGTCCCGTGCCGCGTCGCGACGCGCAAGCGCGCGGTCGCGGAGAAGGTCCTCGCGCGCCTGGGCGTCCTCGCCGCGGACGACGCCAAGGCCGCGGCCGCGCATCGGGCGACGCGCGCGGACGACGCGGCGCGCGCGGTCGTCCTCTTCGACCCCGCGCTCGCGGGCGTCGCGCGCCGCGACACGACGCCCCTCGCGCCCAAGGAGCGCGGCAAGAACCTGACCTGGAACTTCTGGTACACGGGCGCGCCGCTCCTCCACCCGACGACGCGCGCGCCCTACGCCTTCGTCGGCGGCAGGGCGCGCTTCGCGCCCGCGGATGGGCCGCCGGAGCCGCCGTAGTAATATATATTACTCTTCCTCGCGCGCGTCAATCTGCGCGCGAAGGGCCCGCGTCTCCGCCTCCCACGCCGCGTTCCGTGCCACCGTCGCCGCCTCTCTTCTGGATCGAAAGGCCCGGTCCTCCTCGTCCATTCTGCCCTGGACCCAGTCGGCCTCCTCCTCGGCTTGCGCCTCCCCTCGGAGGTCCGTCGCTCGAAGGCTCGCCGACTGGGGCTGTCCCCACGCGGCCGTGTCGGCCTGCACCAGCCAGCCTGCCCCGGCGACCTCCTCCGCTCCCATTCCCTCCGCGCTCTGCAGCGTGACCTCGACGGCGATGGTCGCCACGGCGGCGGAGACGGCTCCCCACGTCGTCGCGTCCAGCCGGCCGAGCGCCGCGCGCGCCGCGGCTTCCTCCGCGCCGAGCCGCTCGCACGCGCCCGCTTCGCCACGCTCGCAGCCCTCCCGCAGCGTTCGCAGCGCCGCCGCGTCGCCCGCGACCTCGACGAGCGTCGCCGCCCCCGCGGCCCAGCTCGACGCGTCGAGGCGCGCGAGCCACGCTCGCTTCGCCTCGCGCGACTCCCGGCCACTCGGCTCTGGCTCATCGACGCGCGCCGCCACCGCCGCCACGGCCGCGGCGACGGCGCACCACGTCGTCGCGTCGAGGCGAGCGAGCCAAGCGTGCTTGGCCTCGCCCGTAGCCGCGGTGGACATGACCTGCGCCGAGACGGTCGTGACGACCTCGGTCCAAACCTGGTCATCGAGCTTGGCGCACCACGCCTGCTTCGACACCTCCGCCGAGACCTCAGGTGCCAGCTTGGCATGCCATGCTTGTTCGACGAGCTCCTGCGCGGTCGCCAGCACAATTGGAGACGAACGTCGAATTGGCCCGCGCTGCCGGCCGACTACTAGCGCGAAGGCTAGATTCGGCAGCAGCAGCAGCAACAGGGCGGACGCAATACGCCGCTGCGGCCGAGACATCATAGAGACATCAGATAGAGACATTCAAGTTGAAGTACAACAGCACCAGACTCGACCAAACGGGATCAAAACGGGGGGCATGGCGCGGGCAGCCCCCGCGCCGCCGAACTGGGGCGCGCGCGCGGCGCTGCGGCAGCGCTACGCGCTCATCTGGGCGTCGACGTTCGCCGTCGTGCTGTCCTACTTTGGCAGCCTCGTCGTCGTGCGCGCCATCGACGACGGCGGCGTCGACTGCCGGGACACGTGCCGCGACGCGCCCGACAACGAGACGGGCACGGTGCTGCTCATCGGCGATTCGATCCTCAAGGGCTACTACCCCATCGTCGAGAGCATCCTGGACCCCGGCGCGAAATGCATGGAGGACGGCACGGTGCGCCGCGGCGTTTTGGCGAAGCTCGTCTACGGCCGCTTCGGCAGCGGCAACGGCTACTGCGGCACGTCCTACGGCGTCAACTTCTGCCTCGACCGCTACCTCGCGACGACGAAGAACAACTTCTCCGTGATCCACTTCGCCTGGGGCGCGGCCGCGGCGCCCCCGCGCGCCGCCCCCGGGGACCCGCCCCCGCGCAGGCCTCCACGACATCTGCGAGAACATCTACTCGCCCGTGTCCTTCGACGAGTACGAGGCGAACATGGAGGCCATGTACCGCAAGCTCAGGGGCGCGCTCGCGCCCAACGGCACGATGATCTTCGGCACGACGACGCCCGTGCCGCCGTCCTACGACTCGAACAAGCGCGTCAACGCCGACGTCCTCGAGCTCAACGTCCGCGCGCGCGCGCTCTTCGGCCCGGCGGGCAAGTACCCGGACGTGCGGCTCAACGACCTCTACGGCCGCGTCGTCGACGCCTGCAAACGCGACCCGGCGACGGCGTGCTACCCGGAGACGTGCGACTGCCCGCTCATGCAGAACAACGGCGTCCACTTCTCGCCCGCGGGCCAGCGGCTCAACGCCGTCGACGTCGCCTGGTGGATCGCGCCCTTCGCGGGCGCGCCCGCGGACGCGGGCGAGCGCGCGCCGGAGATCGAGAAGCACAACGGCGAGTACCGCCTCGAGCACTGGAAGGTCGCCCTCGTCGCCCAGGCCTTCCTGCTCTCCGCGCTGGGCCTCGTCGCGACCTGCGTCGTCTACGGCCGCGCGCGCGCGCGGCGGCGGGGCGACGCGGCGCCCATGGTCGCCATGACGACGCGCCGCGTCCCGGACCCGGAGGACGACGGCCGCGCCCTCGACCGGGCCGGCGACACGGAGATGCTGTGACGTAACATATCCCGCCGGCGCGCGGGGCGGGCGTCGTAAGATGTGTGTGCTGTTGTGGGAGGGCGTGTGCGGGGGAGGTGTGTGCTTGTCGCCGGGCGATTCTGAGTGTCACAACGAGGCCTCGCGAGAGAATGGATCGAGTCGAGAGAAGTCGGGCTTGTGGTGAGGCCCGCGCCGCGCCGGCCGCGGGTAAATTTTGAGCGATTTAGCCATTTCGCGAGTCCAAGAGCTTGTGGCGACGCCCCCGGTCAAGCACGCGCGCCGAGTCATGTCGTGGCGGGAGAAGAAGTTGGAGTATGAGAATCGCATGGCCCGAGCGAGGGGCAAAAAACTCGACACTCTCAAGACCTGCACGATCTGCGGCGCCGACAAGGCCAAGGCGTGCCGTGGGTGCGGCACGACGGCCTACTGTTCGACGGACTGCCAACGCATCGACTGGCGCGATCGGGGCCACCGGAAGGTCTGCAAGAAGATCCAGGCCGCGGAGGCGGCGCGGGCGGAGGCGCCGACGCCCCCGCCGTCGCCGCCGCGGGACGTCTTCTACGGCCCCGCGCCTCGGTCGCACGCCGACGAGGTCCGCGCGCGCATCGCGGCGGAGCACGAAGCCGCTCGAGCGTTGCGCGAGGCGAACCCGGAGCGGGAGCCGCTCTCGGCGCGGTACGGGTCGCGGTGCCCGATCTGTCTCGAGGAGTGGTCCCAGGACGTGAATGCTCAGCGCGTGTTTCGAAACTGCTGCTGCCGGCTGGTCTGCAAGTCGTGCCAGGACAAGGTCGGCTTCGGCGCGTGTCCCCTCTGTCGTGTACCGTGCGCGAAGAGCGACGCAGAAAACCTCGCGCGTGTTCGTCGCCACGTGGAGAACGAGGTGCCGGAAGCGATTATGCATTTGGGAACTGCGTACCGCTATGGTTACTACGGCCTCGTGAAATCCGATAAGAAAGCCGCAAAAATTTGGAAGCGCGCCGTGGAGCTCGGGGACGTGGAGGCGATGAATAACCTTGGCAGATTGTACAGGACCGGGAGTGGCGTCAAGCTGGACAATAAGAAGGCGGAGCGGCTGTATCGCGCGGCCGCGGACCGGGGCGACGCAGACGCGCAAAACAATTTAGCAGTTTTACTTTACTCTGAGGGGAAATTTGAAGAAGCGTTCCGGTACCTCGCGCTCGCGGCGAATCGAGGCTTTACCGGTGCGGAGAGCAACCTTGGCGTTTGTTACAGGGACGGAGACGGCACGGAAGTCGACGTCGACAAAGCCAGATACTGGTTCGAGCGCGCAGCTGCCAAGGGCTACGAGGATGCCATAAAGTCCCTCGCGCTCCTCGACGCGCGAGTATAGCCTAAGTCTTCACGCCGCGTCGTCGCCCGAGCCCGAGATGCTGCGCTTGCGCGCCGCGCGCGACCGCGGCGAGGCGGAAGGACTCCGCGGCCTCGTCGACGGCGCCGCGCCGCGCCTGGAGCGCGCCGAGCTGGGCGTGGACGTCCGGGTCCGCCGCCCCCGCGGCGGCGACGCGCGCATAAAAACGGGAGCGCGATTAAAATGCCGACAGTGTAGCACCTCGGTACTGTCGGTGCCGGTCACGGCGATGCTGTGACTTACGCGCAAAATTGGGTCCGGGATCAGCAGTCGGCGAGGAGCGTCGTCGACGCGACGGCGACGGTCGCGGCGAGCGTCGCGCCGCGGCCCGGCTGCGAGCCGCCGACGGAGAGGACGAGCGCGCCCTGTTCGACGGCGCGGCGCTCGACGTAGACGCTGTCCGCGACGGGGTAGACGACGGCGTGGCTTTCAGGAGCGACGACGAGCTCCACGGTCGCCGTCGCGCCCGGCGCGATCGCGCGGACGCGGTCGAAGGCGACGAGGCGGATCGCCGGAGCGGGCACCGTCGCGTCCGGGACGCGGGCGTAGACCTGCACGACCTCGTCGCTCGCCACGGACCCCGTATTCGTCACGGCGACGCGGAGGCGGATGGCGCCGCAGGCGTCCACCGTCGTCGGCGGCGCCGCGGCCCAGGCGTAGGAAAAGGACGCGTAGGAGAGCCCGTCGCCGAACGCGTAGGTCGGCGCGGGCCCCGCGTAGTAGCGGTAGGTCGTCCCGTTGGAGCTTTCGCCGGCGTACTCGTCGAAGACGCCCATGGGCGGCAGGTCCGACGTCGCCGCGTACATGGTGATCGGCGACCGGCCCGCGGGCGAGTAGTCGCCGAAGAGCACGTCCGCGAGAGCCGCGCCGCCCATCTGGCCGGGCACCCAGAGGTCCAAAACGGCGTCGCAGTCGTCCGCGGCGGCGCCGAGCGCGACGGCGCCGCCGTGGACGAGCACGCAGACGAGGCGGGAGCTCGCGGCCCTGAGTGCCGCGACGAGCGCGACCTGCTCGCCGGGGAGCTCGATCGTCGCGCGGTCGTGGGACTCGCTCTCGCAGCCGTCGTCGCGCGTGCCCCGGCAGAGGGGCCAGCCGTCCGTCGCGCCGAAGGAGTCGCCGAGGACGACGACCGTCGCGTCCGCGGCCGCGGCGAGGCGTTTGGCGCCGTCGACGTCGACGAGGGCCGCGCAGGCGACGGAGTCGCAGCCGGCGGCGACGGACACGTTCGCGACGGCCTCGAGGCCCTTTTGGATGGTCACGGGCGCGACGTCCGGGCCGTCCTCGAAGGCGTAGTTCACGGCGCCCAAAAGCACGCGCCAGTCGTCGACCTGCGGCCCGACGAGCGCGATCCGCGCGCCCTTGGCGAGCGGCAGGGCGCCGCCCGCGTTCTTGAAGAGCACGATGCCCTCGCGCGCGGCCTCGCGCGCGAGCGCGAGCTTCGCGGCCGTCTCGCACTGGTAGTCGCACTGGTAGGCCTCGCCGTAGACCGCGGTCGACGCCGGCGGGTCGAACATGCCGAGGCGCAGGCGCACGCGCATGAGCCGCTCGAAGCTCCGCCGCACCGTCGCCGCTGCGACGGTGCCGTTGCGCACGGCATCCGGCAGCGCGTCGACGGGCGAGTAGTCCCCGAAGCCGCCCTCCTGGTCCATGCCCGCGTTGATGCCCGCCGCCGCGGCCTCCTCCCACGTCGACACGTACTTGTGCGTCGTCACGAGGTTGCTCCAGGCGTCGTAGTCGGAGACCACGAAGCCGTCGAAGCCCCAGCTCTCCCGCAGGACGTCGTTGAGCAGCTCCGGGTGCGCGCAGGTCGGCTTCCCGTTGACCTGCGACGCGCGGGCTCTTTTTCCGGCGCGGACGGGCGGAGGACGCGGCGGTCCGCGCGGCGTTGTAGGAGCACATGACGTGCGTGGCCTTGGCGCGGACGACGCAGGCCTTCATGACGGGCAGGTACGTCTCCCAGAGGTCGCGGCTCGACACGTTCGCGTCGAGGACCATGCGGTCCGCCGGGAGGTCCTCGTTCTGGTAGACGGCGAAGTGCCTACCAAGCACGTCGGTGACGACTTTTCATCGCTTTCCCGGTCAAAATCTCTCGAAAGTCGCCACGGCCGCGGGACGCTGCGAAGTGCTTGCAGCAGGCGCCCGTGACGAGGGGCCCGCCGCCGGGCCCCGACGTCGACCCCTCGGCGTTGCCCTGGAGGCCCGTGACCATGCCCACGGCGAGCTCGGCCGTCAGGTGGGGGTCCTCGCCGTAGACCTCCTCCGCGCGGCCCCAGCGCGGGTCGCGGACGAGGTTGACGTTCGGCGCGTAGAGCGTGATGCCGCAGCCGTTGGCGACGACCTCGCCCGTCGACGTCGACCCGCAGGCGTTGCCCGACTTGTCCGCGAGGCCGTTGTGCGTCGCGCGCGACTCGTTGCCGATCGCCGCGCCGACGCGCCACGCGAGGTCGACGGACCACGACGCGCCGAGGGACGCGCCCATGGGGTAGACCGTCGCGTGGGCCGTGCCCTTGACGCCGTGCTCGTTGTCGTTGAGCCAGTTGTAGGCCGGCAGGTCCACGGCGTCGACGGCGGGCGCGGCGTTCACGAGCTGGCCGATCATGTCCTCGAGCGGCACGTTGTCCGCGAGCCACGCGAGCCGGTCGGCCTCGGGCAGCGACGCGTCGAGGTAGGTGCCGTCGAGGCCGGGGCAGCTCTCGTAGGCCGCGAGGCCGGCGACGCAGGCCGTGGCGGAGAGCGGGCAGGCGTAGGCGCCGGGCGCGCAGCGGCCGCAGGAGCGGTTCGTCAGCGCGCAGCTCCCGTCGGCGCAGAGCGAGAACTCGCCGCCGCAGGACGCGGCGAAGGCGGCGGCGGGGAGACTGAGGAGGAGGAGGAGCTTCATGCGGCTTGCAACTGCGGGCTGTCTTGTCGTCGTCCTAGCCGAAGAATTGCCTCAAGAAGACAACCCCCGAGCAGGGGATCTTGAAGATCCCCTTGCCCCGATTAGCAGCGCTAGATTGCCGGAAAGTCCGACCACTTGAAGTTTCAAGGAGTTTCGAGCCGCGCTGATGAGCGTGCTCTCCTTGTGAGGGCTGCCCCTGCTCGCTTGCTGCCCCTGAGAGCAGCTTAAACCATGGAAACGGTCGCGCTGCGCGCCAGCACGAAGACGGGCCGGCGGAAGCTGACCTGCTCCATCAGCGAGGGGTCGCTGCGCACCTTCTCCCGGGGCTCGTCGTCCTGCCGGCGCGTCGTGCCCTGCGGGCCGGCGCGGCGGCCGGCGTCGGCGCCCGCCGCGTCGTCCGTGGCGAGCGGCGCGTCGACGGTCGAGGTCGCGCGGCCGTCGCCGTCGAAGCGGTCGGCCGCGTCCTGGGCGTCGCGGCGGTCCGCGTCGTCGTGGGCGACGACGGCGTCGCCCGGGGGCAAGAGCGTGCACCGGACCGTCGCGCCGCCGCCGCGGAAGGCCGCCGTGCCGTCGCAGAAGCGGAAGGCGCCGCGGCGCGCGTCCGTCGCGACGCCCGCGACCACGGCCGCCCACCGGCGGCGCGAGCTCCTCGCGCTCCTCGAGGGCGTCGGCGGCGCGCCGGCGCTGCCCGCCGCGCTCGCGAGGGCCGCGCGGACGACCCCGGACGAGGCCCGGCGGCTCGCGGGGCGGCTCGCGGCCGCCGCCGCGCCGGCGGCCGACGACGGCGTCGACGGCGTCGCGCGCGCGCGGCGCCGCGACGAGGCGCTCGCGGCCGCGGCCGCCGCGGTCCAAGACGTCGTCGAGGAGCGCGACGCGTTCGCCGCCGTCGCCGTCGAGGCCGAGGCGCGGCTCCTGGCGCTGCTCGCCGCGGCGCGGGCCGAGGCGGCGCGGCGCGAGGCCCTCGCCACGGACCCGTCCGTCCTCGTGGCGAAGATCGGCGACCTCCGCGCGGAGCGCGACCGGCTCCGCGGCGACGTCGAGCGCCTCGAGGTCGACCTCGCGGGCGCGCACGCGGGCCGCGCGGAGCGCGAGCGCGTCCACTACGCCCTACCCCTGCGCGGCGCCGCGTCTCGTCGACTTCGAGAGATTCCGGCCGGGGAGACGACGACGTCGGTAGGCGCGGCACGGTCAAGTGGGCGCCGCCGCACGCGCGCGCGAACTACGCCTACGACTGCGCGCTCGAGGAGACGCCCTGGGTCGCGCCCGACAAGGTCTTCGACGCGCCCGAGCCGTCGCTCAGGCGGACGCGCGACGTCGCGACGTCGACGGAGACGTCCGTGGGCGACGCGGCGCTGCGGCGGTCCCTGAGCGTCGTCGCCGCGCACGCGCGCGAGCGCAACGTCTGGGCCAGCGCGCGCGACCGCGACGCGCTGCTCATGGGCGCGAGCCACGGCGTCGAGCCGCGCGCGCGCGCCATCGCCGTCGACGGCCTCCTGTCGCTGGCGACCTACGAGGCGAACAAGGTCCCGCTCTGGGGCCACGCGCGCGGGCGGTCCGCGCTCTACGGCACGGCCTTCGGGGGTTTAGCGCCGCCGCTGCGCGAGTCCGCGCGGCGGCGCCTCGCGGCGCTCCTCGCGGGCGACGACGTGCTCGCGCGGCTCGGCGCGCTGACGGGGCCCTGCGTCGAGGAGACGGCGTCGGGCGACGCGCTCCGCGACGCGCTGGACCTCGTCGCCATGGGCGGCCTCGTCGGCCGCGACGCGCGGTGCCGCGGCGGCGCCGTCGACGCGCTCTGCGCGCTCGCGCGGGGCCCCGCGGCCCTCCGGCGGCGCTGCTGGCTCCACGCGGGCGTGCGCGCCGTGCTCGTTTTAGCCGTCGACGCGCCCGCGGGGGGCACGCGGTCCGCGGCGCTCGGCGCCATCCAGCGTCCCGTGGCCGGGACGATTTTCGAGAGATTTCGGGTGGGGAAACAATGAGACATCGTCACCGTCATGCTTGGTAGGCGCCATCGCGCTGCTCCTCACGCACCCGCGGAACCAGCTCGAGATCTACCGCCAGGAGGACTTCGTCCGCGTCCTCGCGTCCGACGACGTCTTCTCCGTCTTCGCGCCGCCGCCGAAGCCGCGGCCCTGGCAGCTCGTCGTCCGCGACGGCCTCCGCGGCCTCGAGGACGACGCGCGCGACCGCGACGCGCGCGCCGCGGCGGCCGAGGCCGCGCGCCGGGCCGACGCGCGCGCGGCGGCGCTCGCGGCCGCGGAGGCCATGCGGGCCCTGCGGCGCCGCGAGGGCCGCCGCGCGGGGCTGGCGCCGGACCCGGCGGCGGCGGCCGCCGCCGCGACGACCGCCGAGGCCCGCGCGGCCGCGGCGCTCGACGCCGCGCGCGCCGCGGAGCGGCGCGCGGACGAGCTCGACGCCGACGCCGCGCGCCGCGCGGCCGACGACGCGCGCGCGCTCCTCATGCACCTCGCGCGCAAGGGCCGGCCGATCGACCCCGTCCTCCGCGACGGCCGCGCCGCGCGGATCGAGGCGAGCGCCGGCGACCTCAAGCGCGCGCGCGCCCAGGCCGGGAAGCTCGTCCGCCGCCGCGAACGGGCCGCCGCGCGCAAGGCCCTCGCCGCCGCGCGGCCGCCGGACGCCGACGCGCCGCGCTACCTCCCGCCGCGGGACTAAGAGTCGAGATCAAAGTCTTGTGGTAATTTTGGCTAATTTTGGCGAGCCGAAGCGAGTTCATTGCCTCTCCGCGGCGTCACTCGCGCCCACCCGCAAGCAAGCAATGGAATTTTGGGACATCGACGCGGCCCGGCTCCGGCGCCGCGTCGGCGCGCTCGTGGTCTGCCGCAAGCGGACCGGAGGCGCCGAAGTCGTCGGGAAAGTGACGAACTACGAGGGCTCGAAGGAGAATGGTTTTCAGCCGCTGTACACGGTCGAGTTCGAGGACGGCGAGGTGGAGGAGCGCCTGGGCCCGGATCTGGATAGCCGGCGGCGGGAGGGCCACGCGAAGCTCGGCCTCCGCGTCCGCCTCCGCGACGCGCGCGCGCGGCGTCCCGACGAATCGCTTCCGCGCCGCGCGACCCGACGACGCGTCGGTTCGCCGACGTACCCCGCTCCCCCTGGATAATTCCCCCCCCCGTCGCAGGGCGTCCTCGGCACCATCGTCGGCTGGCTCCGCGGCGACGGCGCGGAGTCGCTCGAGATCGAGTACGACCGGGGCGGGCGCGAGGACCTTTCCCCCGCGGACCTCGAGGGAAGCCACTGGGGCGACGACGAGTGGCTCCCGTCGGGCTCGCCGTGGATCGGCCGGCGCGTCGTGCGCCTCGTGGCCCCGCCGCTCGCCGAGGGCTCGAAGCGGCGCCCGTCGTCGCTCCTGAAGAAGGGGAAGCCCCCGACGGAGACGGTCGCGACGTGCGTGGGCTTCTCGCGCGGCGTCGACGAGGCCTCGGGCGAGCCGCTGTACCGGCTGCGCTACGACTCGGGCCGCCTCGCGGGCACGCACCTCCACGTTTTGGGCGCGGACATCGCCGCGCGCGCGTGGCCCGCGGACGCGCCGCCCGCGCCGCCGCTTCCGTCGGTCCGCCGCGGCGACGTGCTCGCGGCGCTCCGTTCCGTGGACCTGCGGCCCGCGGGCTCCCCCACGGGCGGCGACATCGCCGCGCTCCAGGCGGGCGCGACGCTCCGCCTCGGCCTCGGCGGGGCGAGCCTCGGGGCGCGCGCGAACCTCACGATCCTGCTCGCGTCGTACGTCGCGCGCGCGCTTCCGCGCGTGCCCTTTTCGTCGCTCGTCGTCGAGGCGAAACGCGTCGAGGCGTCGACGTGCCCGCTGACCTTCGGGCCGCACCCCGGCGACGCCGTCGGCTACACGATCCGGCTGCGCGACGACCCCGTCGACGACGAGAGCGCCGCGGCGGCGCTCGCGGCGCTCGGCTTCGACGCGCTCCCGCGCGTGGCGGCGCCGGCGCCCGCGGCGCCGGCGCCCGGCGCGGCGTCGTCGCCCGCGGCGGACGCCGGCCGGCCGCGGCGGACGCCGTCCTGGCTCTCCATGGAGCGGCTTCTCGCGGACGTCGCGGGCCTCCTCGCCGACAAGCCGCTGTGCCTCGCGCGGACGACGGCGTGCGTCGGCACGCTCCGGGCCTGCGGCGAGCGCAAACTGCTGCCGTCCTTCGACGACGCCGTCGTCGCGGCCATCCCCGCGATCTGCGGCCTCGACGTCTGGTGCGGCGCCGTGGAGCTCCAGCGCGCGGCGGCGGCGGCGCCGTCGGTCGCGAAGAAAAAGAAGCGCAAGCGCAAGCGGCCCCGGGAGGAGGCCGCCCCGGCGCCCGCGCCGCCGCCCGCGCCCGCGCCGCCGCCCGCGCCCGCGCCGCCGCCCGCGCCGCCGACGCCCGCGGCCACGCCGAAGGCGGCGGCGGCGGCGCCGCGGCCCGCCGCGCCCGCGGCGGGCGCGTCGCCCGCGCCGCCCGCGGAGACGCCGCCCGAGGCGCGCGAGGCGCCGTCGGCCGGCGACCTCGCGTCGCTCAAGCGGCGCATCGAGGCCGAGCTCGCGACGCCGCGGTCGTCGCCGGCCAAGGCGCCGGCCGCGACGCCGGCCAAGGCCCGCGACGCGGCCCCGGGCCCCTACGCCCTGCGCCTCGACGACGAGAGCTTCCGGCGCGTGCGCCTCGACCCCTTCCTCTACCGCGACGGCGGCGACGCGCTCGTCTGCGGCCTCCGCGTCGTCCGCGTCGAGGCCGGCCCGCCGCTCGCCGTCGCCGTCGGCGACGTCCTCGTGTCCCTCGGCGGCGTCGACGTCCTGCGGCTGCCGTCGCCCATGGACGCCGCCGCGGGCGCCTTCGCCGGCGCCGCGGCGCCGCGCGACGCGCGCTTCGCGCGGCCGGCCCACGGCGCGACGCCCGGCGACGCCGCGCGCGCCGCGGCGCGCGGCGCGCGCAAGTCCTGCCTCAGGGGACCCGTCGGCGACCGCGCGGGGCTCCTCGCGGCCCTCGCGGCGGACGGCTGGCGCGCCGTCGGCGGCGGCGACGTCGTCGCGCGGACGGCGACGCGGACGCTCGCAGACGCGCTCGAGGACTACCCGGAGTTCCGCGCGCGGAAGAAGAAGCGCGTCACCTGGTCGCTCGACGCGCCGCGCATCGAGTGCAAGCCCGTGCACAAGTCCCTGCACCGCGCGCGCCGCGCGCGAGCGAACTCGGCGCCCGCGCGCCGCCTCGAGCCGCCGCCGCCGCCGCCGCCGCCGCCCGTCGTCGACGTGCCCGCCGCCGCCGCGCGGAAGCGGCGGGCCTTCGAACTCGCGCCGTCGCCGGCCTGCGACCTCCCGGGGTCGCCGCCGCCGTCGCCGGCCGACGACGGCAGCGACACGGAGGACGAGTCCGACGGGCCGGCCCGGGACGAGACCGCGCGGCTCCTCTCGCGCATCGACGGCGCGACGCAGCTCCGCATCTTCGAGGACGTCGTCGCCAGCCTGCCCCCGGGCGTCAAGGCCGACTTCTGCGACCTCCACCACGACCTCGACGACCGGAAGCGCCGCGGCGAGATCGGCTCCGTCTCCCACGAGCTCTTCCGCCTCGGGCCCAAGCTCACGGGCCTCCAGGTCTGGCGCGACGCGCTCCGCCGCCACGTCAAGCACGTCACGCCGCCGCCCTCGCCCGGCCGCGGCTGAGAGTCTGAGTGCCCTCCCCCAAAGTTTACACTACAAATTACGAGTTCACGGGGGGACGGGCGTCCGGCGACGAACGCGGGCGGTGGCCCGCGCCGCAAGAATTCAGGAGGTGCACGCGCGACTCTGCGCGCCGCCCGTCTCTCGCAGGCGTCTGCGCGCCGCCCGTGTCTCGCAGGCGTCTGCGCGCCGCCCGCGCGGGATTTCGAACGGCGCGAAGGTACCGGTCGGCGGCGTTTTTACGCTCGCGACGGGCGCCTTGAGCGCGTCGTCTCTTCGATCATCATCCGTCGGTGCCGTAGAGCTTGAGGCACTCCCGAGAGCTCGACTTTTTGGCCTCGGTGAGCGGTTGCGACGGCTCGGATGGCGTTTCCTTCGGTTCGTCCTGCGAGGTCTCATCCGGACTGCGGACATACCGTGCCACGGGCTCATTCGGTTCGTCCTTCTCGAGGCTTCGAAGGTCGCCCCACGAGTCTGTACCGGGCATCATCGTCACTTTGGGGGGCTTTTGACGGGTGCGAGACGGCGTGCGAAGGCCGCAAATCGAGCGGAGGGCGAGAGCAAACACGGCCGAGCGTGGTTCAACCCTATTCAACACCAACCTTCTCGGCGCATGTGTACACTGATGGCTGCCGCTCGCAGCCCCGCTACATAGATCAGATGACGCGGACGGAGACCTACGAGGTCGTGGCGCCCAAGGGCGCGATCCTGCGCGCCAAGGCCGACAAGTCGTCGGAGATGCTCGGCGTGCTGGCGGCGGGGAGCCTCGTGGACGTGGACCGGACCATGAAGCTGCAGATCTGCGGCACGCGGCGCGCGCGCGTCGTCGCGCCGCTCGCCGGCGTGCCGCACGCCTGGGTGTCCCTGAAGATCCTCGCGCGGCGCAAGGGCGCGGCCGCGGGCGCCGCGGCCGCGGACGGCGACGCCGAGGCCGCGGCGGCCGCGGCGGCCGCGGCGGCCTGCGAGGCCGCGGCGCGGGCCTGCCGGGCCCGCGACGCCGGCGGCGCCGCTGCCGCCGACGCGGCCCTCGAGGCGTCGGGCTTCGGGCTCTCGGGCTCCGGGCGGACCGTCGCGCTCGGCGCGGTCGCGTTCGCCGGCGGCGCGGGCGGCGACGCCGCGCGGCGCGCCGTCGCGGCCTGCCTCGCGGCGCGCGCCGTGGCGACGGCGCGCGACGGCCCGCGGCGCGCGCCCGCGACGCACGAGGCCGCGCTCCGCGACTGCCGCGCTGGCCTCGACGTCATATCGCGGAACGCGGGCGACGACGCGCTCAAGGCGGCGCTCCTCGCCGGCGGCGCCGGCGCGCTCCACGCGCTCGGCCGCTTCGTCGAGGCGGGCAACTGGTGGCGGCGGAGCGGGCAGCGGAAGCGGAGCCCGAAGGCGACGTCCGGCGCCGCGCACGCGAAGCGCCTCGAGGACGTCCTCGACCGCGCGGCCATGGACCTGCGCCAGGCCGAGGCCCACGCGCACCTGCTCGACCCGACGGACTGGGTGCTCAACGCCTGCGAGGCGCTCGAGGACCTCGCGCGCGAGGCGCCCGCGTGCGTCGGCGCGCTGCGGCAGTGCGTGCTCGCGCACGCCGCGCTCCGGCGCTGGGACGGCCTCGTGGCCTTCGCCAAGGCCCAGCTCGGCGGCGGCGGGCCGGCCTTCTACGACGGCGACGGCGACGACGCGGCGCTCGCGCGCGGCGCGTACCTCGCGGGCCTCGCGCGCGCGGGCGACTTCGACGGCGCGCTCGCGCTCCTCGAGGGCGAGGCGCCCGAGGAGGACCCCGTGGACCCCTTCGGGCGGACGGCGCTGCTCCGCCGGCGGCGGAGCGCGCTGCTGGCCGCGCGCGACGGCGCGGCGCTCGGCGCCGCGCGCGCGGCGGCCGGCGACGCCGCGGGCGCCGAGGCCGCCTACGCGGCGGCCCTCGGCGGCGACGGGGACCACCCCCTGCTCCTCTTCGGGCGCGGCGCGGCCCTCGAGGCGCTCGGCCGCTGGCCCGAGGCCGCGGCGGCGTTCGCGGCGGCCGCGCGCGCGCGGTTCCGCTTCCGCGCGGCGGAGCTCCGCGCGGGCCGCGCGCTCGCGCGGTGCGGCCGGCCGGGCGACGCCGCGCCCCACTTCGCCGCCTACCTCCGGGGCGGCCACGACCCGGCCGTCGCCGAGGAGCTCCGCGCGGCCGCGCGCGCCGCGGCCGGCGGCGGCGGCGGCGGCGCCGCCGCCGCGCCGCCGCTCGCGGGGCCCGCGGCCCCGGGCACCCACTACGCCGCCCTCGGCGCGGCCTACGACGACACCGCCGACGCGCTCAAGCGCAAGTACCGCGCCGTCGCCCTCCGCTGCCACCCGGACAAGACGAAGGCGCCCGGCGCGGAGGACGAGTTCAAGCGCGCGAACGCGGCCTACGAGGTCCTCTCCGACCCGGCGAAGCGCCGCGAGTACGACGAGCGGCTCCGGCGCGGGCGGTGATATAGGCGGTGGGTGGCGTAGGCGGGTCGAGCGGCGCGGGCGCGGCGGAGCCTCGGCGGCTGCGGCAGGCCTGCGGCGGGAACGGCGCTCGGTCATCGACTCGCGAGGAGGCTCACCGGTAGGCCGATTTCCAAAAAGAGGTGCGCGCGCGTGGCCGCCGCGACCCCGCCGCCGCCGCATCCTACGCCGTCCGCCGCGCGCGCGGGGCGCGCGGACCTCGCGCGGCGCCGCGCGCGCCCTCGGTCACGCGCGTTCGCAACGCAGGCTCGACGATGATCAGCGTGAACGTCAAGTGGGGCAAGGAGGTCGTCGTCGCCGAGGTGGCCCCCGGGGACAGCCCGGCCAAGTTCATGGAGCAGCTCGAGGCGAAGACGGGCGTGCCCGTGGCGCGCATGAAGCTCATGGCGCGCGGCGCGTGGCGCGGCGTGCTCAAGGCGGACATGTCGCTCGCCGCGCTCAAGGAAGGGCAGAACGTGACGCTCATGGGCACGGCGGAGACGCTGGTGGCCCCCGCCGTCGCGACGAAGTTCCTCGAGGACATGGGCGAGGCCGAGGCCGCGGCGACGGGCCTCGTGCTCCCCGCGGGCTTCGCGAATTTGGGCAACACGTGCTACATGAACTCGACGCTCCAGTGCCTCAAGGCCGTGCCCGAGCTCCGCGCGGGCCTCGACGCCCTCGCGGCGAAGCGCCCCGGCGCCGGCGACGTGCCCGGCGCGCTCGCGGAGACGTACCGCGCGCTCGACGCGTCGACGAAGCCCGTCGAGCCCGCGCGCTTCGTCGCGACGCTCCGCGCGGCGTTCCCCCAGTTCGCGCAGCGGGGCCGCGGCGGCGGCTTCGCGCAGCAGGACGCCGAGGAACTCTACAGCACGCTCCTCGCGAACCTCGCGGCCGCGCTCACGGACGCGCCGCCGCGCGGCGCGGCCAACGTCGTCGACGGCCTCTTTGGCCTCGAGCTCGAGGAGACGCTCACGTGCGCGGAGAGCGACGCGGAGCCGCCCGTGACGCGGTCCGACGTCGCGCGCAAGCTCGTCTGCAACATCCAGGGCGGCACCGCGGGCGCGAACGTCAACCACCTCGCCGAGGGCCTCAAGCTCGCGCTCGCCGGCTCGCTCGACAAGCGGAGCGACGCGCTCGGCCGCGACGCGACGTGGGCCAAGACGTCGCGCGTGTCCAAGCTCAGCCCCTACCTCTGCGTCCAGTTCATGCGCTTCTACTGGAAGGCGACGCCCGACTCCGCGGACCACGCGGGCGTCAAGTGCAAGATCATGCGACCCGTGTCCTTCAACCTCGCGCTCGACGTCTTCGACTTCTGCGCGCCGCCGCTCCAGGCCGCGATCAAGGCGAACCGCGACAAGTACGGCGCCAAGGTCGACGCGGCCGCGCTCGCGGCGGCCGACGCGGCCGCGCGCGGCGAGGCGGCCGCCGCGCCCGCGACCGACGCCATGGACGAGGGCGGCGACGACGACGACGACCTCAAGGCCGCGCTCGCGCTCTCCGTCGAGGCGCCCGACGGCGGCGGGCCCGACGGCGCCGCGCTCCTCGCGCGGTCCGGCCTGCCGCCGGACTTCCAGGGCGTCTACGAGCTCTTCGCCGTCGTCACACACAAGGGCCGCTCCGCCGACGGCGGCCACTACATGGGCTGGGTCAAGCAGGACGGCGACAAGTGGCTCGTCTTCGACGACGACCTCGTCTCCGAGTCCGACGCGGAGTTCGTCAAGAACCTCAAGGGCGGCGGCGACGAGCACATGTCCTACCTCCAGTTCTACCGCGCCAAGTCCGGCGGCAACTAGGAGGGGGGGGCGCCCCGCGCGCGGCGACCTAACGGGAGGCCGCGCGGAGGCTCTCGAGACTACCCCGGGCCCGACTCGCTCCCGCACCTCCTTCTTCGTCGAATCTTACGCCTTCCCCCCCTTCTTCCCGTCGCAGCGGTCGTAGCAGTCCAGGAGGCCGCCGAAGGCCTTGGCCCAGGTCCGGTTCCGGGCGACGGCGACGGCGCGGTCCGCGATGCTCCGGCGGTAGGTCGCGTCGACGAGGAGGCGGAAGAGGCCGTCGGCGAAGGCGGCGGCGTCGGCGTGCTCGTCGACGAGGAGGCCGCTGCCCTCGGGGACGAGCGCGCGGTTGACGGAGTAGGCCGGCGCGAGGACCGCGAGGCCCGACGCCTGCGCCTCGAGGAGCGTGTTCGGGAACGCCTCCGTGTGGCTGGGGAAGAAGTAGACGTCGGAGCTCGCGTAGGTCGCGCGGAGCTCGTCGCCGCTGAGGTGGCCCGGGAACGTCGTGCGGCCCGACGGGAGCGCGCGCTCCATCGCGTCGCGCTCGGGCCCGGAGCCGACGACGACGAAGCGGAGCGACGCGAGCGCGGCGCCGTGGCGCTCGCGGAGCGTCGCGTTGTTGAGGAGGTGCGCGACGGCGTCGGCGAAGACCTCGGAGCCCTTCTCCTTGACGAGGCGCGCGGCCCAGAGCACGACGACGTCGCCGTCGCGCGCGCCGAGGTGCGACGCGCGGAACGCCGACGACCGCCGGCCCGGGTGGTACTCCGTCGCGTTGACGCCCCGCGGGAAGGAGCAGAGGCTCGACCGGGGGATGCCCATCTTCGCGACGAGCTTGTCGCCGATGGCGTCGTTGGGCACGGCGACGAGGTCGCAGCCGCCGTAGAAGGCGCCGAAGAGGCGCTGCACCGCGAGGCGCGGCTTGAGCTTGTCGAGGAGGCCGTGCTTCGTCGCGTAGAAGCGGATGTAGCGGTCGAGCTGCGTGTGGTACGTGCAGACGGCGCAGACGCCCTCGGCCTTCGCGAAGGCCTGCGCGGAGAAGCCGAGCACGTCCGGGCTCACGAGGTGGTAGATGTCCGGGTCGTAGGCGCGCAGCGCCGACCGCTCGGCCTCGCCGAGGGGCGCGCCCATGACGTAGTCGGACCGGCCGACCAGGGCGAAGACGGGCACGGAGCTCGACCCGAGCTTCGGGATGCCCTCGAGGCCGCCGACGACGGGCGCGGGCACGTTCGGGTCGTGGGGCGTGAGCACGAGCACGTCCTCCTCCTCGCGGCCGTCGAGGAAGCGCGCGATGCGGTTCATGGTGAGCGACACGCCGTCGACGTGCTCGTCCCAGACGGACGTGACGATGGCGACGCGGCGCCGCGGCGCCGGGTCCGCGTGCGCGCACGCGAGCTCGCCGCAGGACACGCAGACGCGGCCGCGGTGCGCGTCGAGGTGGGACACGACGGCCGCGGACTCGTAGGACCAGAGCATGCCGCACTTCTCGTAGACGCGGACGCGGCGATCGAGGTACGGCGCGAGGCCCGCGATCCACTTGTAGTGCTGGGAGACGAGGGCGGCGCCGCCCGGCGGCGGCGCGGCGCCGCCGGCGAGGTGCGCCTCGCCCGCGTAGGCCGCGGGCCAGCCCGCGCCGCGCCGCGGGCCGCCGCCGCGGCCGAGCCCGACCGCGCGGAGCGCCGCGTCCCCGTAGGACCGCCACGCGACCTTGTGCGCGGAGCGGTGGACCGTGAGGTAGGCCTTGTTCGCGACGACCTTGGTCGCCTCGGCCTTGGGCAGCCACGCGGCCGCGCCCGCGTCGGGCGTCGTCCACTCGGCCATGCGGCACCGGAGCGGAAACTGGCGCTCGAGCGCGGTGCCCGCGTCGCCGCCGTCGAGGGGCTCGACGTGGCTCAGGGCGCCGCCCTCGGCGACGCGGTCCTCCCAGGCCGCGAGCACGTAGTTCGCGCCCGCGGCCTCGGCGCGCGCGAGGTACGCGGCGATGGGCGACGCGCCGCCCGCGGGCGTCGCGGCCGCGGCCTCGCCCGCGTGGCTCGGCAGGCCGGGGAACTGGTGGAGCTCGTCGACGTCGGCGACGACGAGCCAGTCGTCGGGCGCGAGGTGCGCCGCGACGAGCGCGTCGCGGTGCCACGCCTTGGTCGTCGACGTGAACGTGCCGAGCCAGACGTCGTAGTGGACGCCGAACTCGACCATGAGCGCCTCGAGGGTCGCCGTGTGGGGGTTGTCGGGCGCCGCGGACTGGATCGTGCAGTGCGCGCGGCCCGGCGGCACGCCGCCGCGGCGGACGTAGAAGTCGAGGAAGTGGCGCGCCATCGTCGCCGCCTCCGCCGTCGACGCGACGACGGCGAAGAGGAAGACGCGCGTCTCGCCGGAGGCGTCGGGCGGGCCCACGGCCCAGGGGCCCCGGGGCTCGCGGATCTCGCCGGACTCGCCCGTCCACCGCGGGCACTCGATGGGGTTTTCATGCGACTTCGTCGGGTCGCCGCGCTCCGCGAAGATCTCGTTGTCGCGCCCGTAGCGCGTCCACCGCTCGCTCTGGACGGCGTGCGGCAGCACGACGACGCGCGTCGCCACGGCGACGACGACGAAGGCGACGAAGAACCGCGCGAGGGCGCCGCGCTGGCGCAGGCGCCGCAGGACGGACCCGCAGCAGCCGCCGCCGTCGCGGGCGCCGCCCGACGCCGCGGCGCGCCGGGACAGCGGCATGAGGCTCGACGGCTCCCGCGCCGCGTGCCGCAGCATCGTCAGGTTGGCACGGAGCGGTCGGACGCACCGAGCCCAGGCAACTGCGGACGCGGCTCAACGAGGCCGCGGTCGCGGAGTCCTCCTCAACCAAGCACCAGCAACATCAAGTTGAAGATACGTTCATGTCCTGAAGAGCCCAATCGAGTACGCCACACGGGCTGGTGGGGGCTGCCGCCGCGTCGGGGATGGCCGCGTCGACGGCCGCGCCCCTCGTGGCGCGCGACGCCGCTGCGTCGGCGGCGCCGCCGCGACGACGCCTGCGACCCGTCGCCCTGCTCTGCGGCGCCGTCGCCGGCGCCTGCGCCGTCGCCGCGACGCGCGGCGCGCACGCGACCGCGTCGACGACCCTCGCCGCGACGTCGACGATGGACGGCGCGACGTCGACGGCGGACGACATCCCGTCGCTGAGCGGGTCCCTGCGCGTCGTCGCGTCGAACGAGGAGTACGGGCGGAACAACGTCACGCAGTACCCGTTCCTCTTCCGCAAGGACGCGGCGGTCGCGGAGCCGCACCGGCTGACGACGTTCTCCGCGGAGCCCGCGGCGGGCGCCGGGTCCGAGTTCGTCTGGTACCTCGACGACGAGGAGCTGGGCCACGGCGGCGCGGTGACGACCGTCTTCACCGCGACGGGGACGCGCGCGCTGAAGGTCGAGTACGTGTCCAACGGGAAGATCGCCGGCGAGCTCGTCGTCGACGTCTACGTCAAGTACGTGCGCCGCGAGCTGCGCACGCTCTCCGCCGAGGACCGGCGGCGCTGGCTCCGGGCCGCGGCGACGCTCTGGCGCGTCGACACGCTCGACGGGCGGGCCGCGTACGGGCCCCGGTACGTCGACATCCACCACCTCGCGATCATCCACAACGATCTGGCGGGGAACAACTACTGCGACTTCATCCACGGCGCCACGGGCTACGCCTTCGTGAACGCGCACGCGGCCCTGGGAGCGATGCTCGAGCAGGCGATGCAGACCGTCGAGCCCGCGGTCGCGCTGCCCTACTGGGACTACACGCTCGACGAGTGGCTCTACGCGGACCGGGGCCGGGGCGGCGTCAAGCTCGCCAATAGCAAGGACCTCCTGGACCTCTGGAAGTCGCCGCTCTGGTCCCACGAGTTCTTCGGCGCGTCCGACGCGTTTTCGGGCGAGATCCTCGACGGCGCGTGGAGCGGCTACCGCGTGCCCGTGCTCTCGGAGTTTCTCTACGCGCGGGCGGGGCTCGCGGGCCACTTCTCGAACCACTCCTACGCGTCCTGCTACGGCCAGTCCGCGGGCGTGTGCCCGGAGCAGACGATCTCGGGCCTGCGGGCCGACGGCGACAGTCAGCGGCACATGGGCAACAGCTTTGGGTTGCTGCGGTCCCCCTGGAACATGCGCGCGGCGCCGACGATCACGCGGAGCCGCAAGATGTGCGGCTCCGCGAACAACGCGCAGTTCCCCGACTGCACGTCGTACATGACGCAGCAGGCGGCCTACGGTGACTTTGCCGACTACGTCGTCAACCTCCAGGTGTCGCCCCACGGCACGGTCCACGTCTGGAGCGGCGGCGCCTTCGGCACGTGCTCCGCGGCCTACGACGCGCTCGAGCCCGTCGTCGTCGACGGCGACTACCTCGCGCAGATCAAGTCCAAGTCGTCGGACCTGCAGAAGAATTTGTGGATGGACTCGCTCAAGACCTGCCCGGCGCGCGGCGATTGCCTGGGCCTGAGCCAGGACGCGTGCGTGTGCTCCTGCGGGGCCTACCTCGACGACCTCGCGGGCGCCGCGGAGGCGAACGTGACGTCCTCGCTGCTCTGGACCATGTTCCTCGAGATCGTCTTCGACGGCTCGTCCTTCGAGGACGCGGCGAAGCAGTCCTTCAACGACATGAACAGCGACGACAAGCTGCGCATCCTGGCGACGGCGTGCGACAACGACGTGCTCACGGGCGACATGCTCGGCTCGAACTCGCCCCTCGACGTGTCCTTCTTCGCGACGCACGCGGAGGTCGAGCGCGTCTGGCAGCGCTACGCGCTGAGCGGGAACATGACCAACGCGACCTGGCCCGTGCCGGGCCTCGACTCGTCCGTGTGCCCGGGCCAGCACCCGGACTACCGGCTCGCGTGGTTCCGCTACGACCTCGACGACGGGTCGCCGTCCTACGACCTCACGAACGTCATGTGGCGGGACCTGCTCAACCCGGCGAACCCGTCCTACCCGACCCACATCCCCTACGTCTTCGACAACTTCGACTGGACCCACTGCTACGACCACTACACGAACTCGAACATGCCCACGATCGACGCGAGCCTCATGCGGCCCGCGGACTGGGTCTGGTTCAAGGACGGCACCTTCGACGACTACGAGTAACGCTTTTTTGTGCTAGGCGGCCGCGAGGGGCGACGCGATCGTGAACGCGTCGGCCTTCGAGCCGCCGTTGTAGAGGTGCGTCGGCGTCCGCGGGCGCGCGCCGTCGCCGAAGAGCAGCTTGGGCCGCTCGGCGCCGTAGGCGACCGCGGCGCCGCCGCCGAGGGGCCGGCTCGTGCCGTAGGCCGCCGCGACGTCCGACCAGACCGAGCCGTCGAGCGAGTACGCGTGGCCGCCCGGGTCGCCGCCGAGCGCGTGGTAGAGCGCGTGCCAGTGGCCCCGCGCGTCGACCCAGAGGAAGGGGTCCTCGGCGTGCTTCACGGACCCGCGCCACGTCGAAGAAGTGGACGACGCGACGACGGAGTACGGGCCGCGCCAGGAATCCGCGGCGACGATCGCCTCGCCGTCGAAGGCCGTCGGCGACGTGTGGGCCATGAGGAAGACGCGGCCCGTGTCCGGGTGCACCATGGGCGCCGGGTTCCAGTTCCCGACGGCGCCGTAGTCCCAGTTCGACGGCCAGTCGAGGATCGACGCGACGTGTTCGCGCCACGGGCCCGTCGGGTGGCGCGCGTAGTGGATCGTGAAGTTGGCCATGCTGAGGTTCCGCGGCGCGCCGGCGGCCGCGGCGCGCCGGCGGCCGCCGCAGTCCCTCTCGGGCGCGAGCGGCACGCCGTCGCCGAGCGCGTAGAGCGCGTAGACGAGACCGCCGTCGCCGTCGGGCGCGGCGACGACCTGCGGGTTGTGGGCCCAGGGCGCGACGACGTCCATGACGTAGTCGAAGGGCCCGAGGGGGTCGTCCGACGCCGCGAGGACGACCTGCGAGTTCGTGCGCCACGCGCCGAGGTCGCAGCCGCGCGTCATCTCCGCGACGAACATGTAGTACGTGCCGTTCGCCTCGACGACGCTCCCGCCCCAGGACGTCGTGTCGTTGCCGTGGCCGTGGTAGGCGCAGAGCTTGCCGCAGGCCGTCTCCTTGCCCGGGGCGAAGCGCAGCGTCTCACAGGCGGCGCCGCCCCAGGGCGCGTCGCAGGCGCAGGTCCCGGCGTCGCAGACGCCGTTGAGCGAGCAGGCCAGGGGGTCGCCGACGCTGCAGTTGGTCGTCGCGCGCGCCGTCCCGAGGAGGACGACGAGCAGCCCTCGTCGGGTCGGAGGGCAGCCCGCGTTCCGACGGGCCATCGTGCGAACACGGACTGGCTTATTGCAGGGTTGTGTTTTTTTGCCACCGGGGGGGGCTGTGGGGGGGGTTTGACGGGGGTGGGGGGGGTCGACTTTCGCCCGGCCCGGACGCGAGAACCTCCTGAAAACAGCGCCCCAGTACGCGTTCAGGCCGCCGGGGGGCCGCGGGACGGGGGGTGGGGGGGTCGCTGAGGGCCCGTAAACCACCCCCACAGCCCGGGGGTGGGGCTAAAAAACGCAACCCAGAACGAAAAACGTCAAGAAGCGCGTGCAAGAAAAGAGGCGAGCGCATGGTGCTCGACGCGGTGGCGCGGCGCCTCGACGAGTCCATGCCTCTGGCCGTGTCGTCGGGCAGCGCGATCGTGGACCACGCCATGATCTACGTCACGGTCCTGGGCCTCGTGGTCATGAGCGGCCTCTTCAGCGGCCTGACGCTGGGGCTGCTGGGCCTGGACGTCACGGAGCTCGAGATCGTGCGCGGCGGGGGCACGCCGAAGGAGCAGGAGCGCGCGCGGAAGATCATGGAGGTGCGGTCCGACGGGAACCGGCTGCTCTGCACGCTGCTCCTCGGCAACGTCGCCGTCAACAGCCTGCTGTCCATCTTCCTGAGCGGCATCGCGAGCGGCCTCGTGGGCTTCGCGGTGTCGACGGCGCTCATCGTCGTCTTCGGCGAGATCCTGCCCCAGGCCGTCTGCGCGCGCCACGCCCTGCACGTCGGCGAGCTGTCGCTGCCCGTGATCCGCTTCGTGCTCTGCGCGCTCGCGCCCGTGGCGTACCCGCTCAAGCTCGTCGTCGACGGCCTCCTGGGCGAGACGGCGGGCACGCACCACACGAAGGCGGAGATGCTCGAGTACATGCGCGTCCAGCAGGCCGCGGGCATGCTCGACGACGACGCGAACCTCGTGATGAAGGGCGCGCTCGACATGAAGCACAAGGTCGTGAGCCAGGTCATGACGCCCCTCGAGGACGTCTACATGCTCTCGGAGGACCGCACGTTGGATTTTGCCGCCGTGCGCGAGATCTTCGAGCAGGGCTTCTCGCGCGTGCCCATCTTCCAGGGCTCGCGGGGGCAGATCGTCGGGTTGCTCTTCGTGAAGGACCTCATCTTCGTGGACCCGGAGGAGGCGACGCCCGTCGCCGAGTACCTCCACATCTTCGACCGGGACATCCAGTTCGTCGACGACGGGGCGAACCTCGACGACGTGCTCCGGGTCTTCAAGCGGGGGCGGGGCCACCTCGCGTTCGTCCTCGGAGGCGCGGGCGACGCGGGCGAGGTCGGCCGGCCCGTGGGCATCGTCACGCTCGAGGACATCGTCGAGGAGATTTTAGGCGACGAGATCATCGACGAGTCCGACGTCTACGTCGACGTGGACAACCGGGTGAGAGTGGCGGGCCGCGGCGACTTCGACTTCACGAAGCTCCGGCGGTTGGATTCGAATTTCGTGGACTCGAAGCTCGCGGACGCCGAGGTCGACGCCATCGCGTCCCACCTCGTGGCCCAGGTCGGCGCCGTCGCCGACGGCTGGACGCCGCCGTCCCAGGAGACGATGGCGCGCTACGTGCGCCGCGCGATGGTCGTCGACTACAAGCGCGCGACGCCGCGCCACGCGGACTCGGACGCGCCGCCGGCGGCCGCGGACGTCGTCTACGCGCGGGGCCACGCGGCCAACTTCGCGACGCTCGTGCTCAGCGGCAAGCTCCACATCCGCGCGGGCCGCGACGGCTTCCGCGCCGAGGCGGGGCCCTGGACGCTCCTCGGGGCCCAGACGCTGCTGCTCGGCGCGCCGGGCGGCCACACCTTCGTCCCGGACTTCGCGGCCCACGTCGCGACGGACAGCGTGCGCTGCGTCCACGTCTCCTGCGAGGAGAAGATCAAGGGCGCGCCCCGCGGCCGCGGCATCTCCGAGGAGCTCGTCAACGACCCGACCGTGTCCCGCAAGGACCGCCTCACGGCGCGCGTCCAGGGCCGCCGCAAGGACCTCCTCCGGGCGACGGCCACGGGGGCGGCGGTCGTCTAGGTCCGTGTAAAGTTGTTGTGTGTGACGAGGCGTCATGCCCCACGTGTGCCTAACCATTACCGGGAGGCGACGCGGTGGGAGGAGTTCGTCGCGGACCCCGGGGTGCCGAAGACGTGCTCGAGCACGCGGCGCCGCTCGTCGTCCTCGTCGTCGACGGGCTCCGCCGCGGCCTTGCGGAGCGGCAGGTGCGGCGTCGCGGGCGCCGTTCCGGGCGCCGTTCCGGGCGCGGCCGGCGTCGGCGCGGCCGGCTTCGGCGGCTCCCGCGCGGCGGCGGCCGAGGCCGACGCGGCGAGCGCGGCCGCCGCGGGCGGCGCGGCCGCGGCGGGCGCCGCGTCCGCGGCCTCCGCCGTCCCCCCGGCGACGAGCGCGTTGACGCGCGCGTCGAGCGCCGTGACGCGCTCCTGGGCCAGGGGCCGGCGCACGGCGTCGTCGAGGAGCGCGACGGAGCCGACGAGCACTAGGAGCCTCTTCGCGCGCGACACGGCCGTGTAGAGGAGCGCGCGGCGGAGCATGGGGTAGTGGTCGCGCACCAAGGGCATGATGACCACGGGGTACTCGGCGCCCTGGGCCTTGTGCACCGTCAGCGCGTAGGCGAGGGCCACGGAGTCGCCGACGTCGGACGGCGCGTACATGACGCGCGCGTACGTGCCCCCCCGGCCGCCGCCGCCGACGGCGAAGCGCGCCACAAAGGACCCGTTGCGCATGACCTCGTCGACCAGGCCCACGTCGCCGTTGAAGACGCCGGCGTCGTAGTCGTTCGTGAGCTGCATGACGCGGTCCTTGACGCGCGGCGTCGTTCCCGCGGACGCTTCCGTCGCGTCGCCGTCGCCGCGCCGTTTCGCGGGATTCAACAGATCCTGGAGCGCGCCGTTGAGGGCCTCCGTGCCCGCGGGCCCGCGCTTCATGGGCGCCAGGACCTGGACGTCCGCGAGGGCGTCGTAGCCCGCGGCCTCCAAATCTCGGACGCACCGCACGATCGCCGCGTTGACCGCCGCGCCGTCGTCCGGGTCCGCGTCGACCAAGGCGACGCCGTCGCGCGCGGCCCCGTCGACCACCAAACCCCGCCGGTACTCGGCGACGGGCTCGCCGGCGTTGATGCGCCGCGCGTCGCGCGCGATGTCGGAAGCTTCCGACGCGCCCGCGCCCGTCCGGAAGATGCGCTCCAACGTGACGCGCGGCACGGATTCCGCCGCCAGCAAGTCCCGCAATAACGCGCCGGGCCCGACGGGCGGCAGCTGGTCCGGGTCCCCCACGAGCAGGAGCTGGCAGTGGGGCGGCAGCGCCGCGAAGAGCCGCGCGGCGAGCGGCGCCTCGAGCATCGACAGCTCGTCGACGACCAGCGCGTCGATCTCGAGCGGGTTCCGCGCGTTCCGCGCGAAGTCGCCGAGGCGCGGGCTCCACTCGAGCAGGCGGTGGATCGTCGTCGCCTTCGAACCGATGGCCGCGCCGAGCGCCGCGGCGCCCCGCGCCGTCGGCGCCGCGAGCGCGACCTTCTTCGCGCCGCGCGACCGCCACGCGGCGACGACGCGCGCGGCCGCGTAGGTCTTGCCCGTGCCCGGCCCGCCCGCGAGCACCAAGAGAGGGGCTTTTGCACCGATCGCCACGGCCTCGCGCTGCTCCGGGGAGAGGGACGCGTCGCCAGAGGACGGGTCGACGTCGTCCACGGGCACGCGCGACCGGTAGGCCACGCCTCTCGCGATCGTCTCCTCCGCGTAGTCGAGCCAGGGCGTGAAGCAGAGTTTCTCACCATCGACCTCGAAGGTCCGCAGCTTGCCCGACGCGAGGCACCGGTCCAGGGCCGCGTCGAGCGCGTCGCGCGAGGGGGAGAAGACTCTCGGCACGTGGAGCGCGCCGTGGTCGCGATGCGCTAAATCGACGAGCGCGGCCGCCTCGCAGGCGCAGTGGCCCTGGGTCGCGAACTCGGCGAGGGCGTGGACGAGGCCGAACTCCAACCGCGCGGGGTTCGCCGCGCCGCCGTCCGCGTGCGGCAGGCACGCCGCGTCCGCTCTTGTAAAGCCCCAGCCCTTCACGGCCAGCAGGGCCGCGTAGGGCTCCTTGGCGAAGAGCGCCGCGCAGGTTTGGCCGTGGGTCCGCTCGAGGGCGACGGCGGCGTCGACGGGCAGGCCCCGCTCGAGGAGCGCGAGGATCGACTGGCGGCTCTTCGAGTGGCGCGAGATCTCGGCCGCGAGCTCCTCGGCGAAGCCGCGGCCGATGGCCGGCCGGTCGTCGCTCCACCCGAACGCCGCCGCGAGCTTCCCTTCCGCGTCCTCGTCGACGGTCTGCCGCTCCAGCGAGCTCGCGAAGCGCAGGAGGAGCGACTCCGCGTCGTCGCCGAGGAGCTCGACGATTTTGGCCGCCGTCTTCTCGCCGACGCCCGCGACGACGCCGGAGCCGAGCCAGGCGGCGAAGGACGCGCCCTTGGACCGCGGGCCCGCGACGGGGCCCGCCTCCAGGGCCACGGCCTCCGCGACGTCCGCCTCGAACTGCTTGCCGAAGCGCGCGTGCGTCGTCCATCGGCCCCGCAGGGTCACGGCGTCGCCGACGCGCGCGGTCGCCAGGCAGCCGTCGGCGCGCACGCCGAAGGTCTTCAGGGGCTTACGGCGCGCCTCCTCGTCGTCGTCGCCGTCGTTGTCGAGCATCTCCTCGTCGAAGGGCGCGACGCGCGCGACGGTGAAGCCCGTGTCGCCGCGGAAGACGACGCGCGAGATCGTGCCGTTGACGGCCTCCAGGGCCGCCAGCGCCGCGCCGCTCGCGCCCCGCGCCTGCTGGGCGCCGTCGCCGGCGACGCGCGCCGCGTCGGCCCACGCAAAGTGCTCGCAGGGGATCTCGTTGCCGCACGCGAAATACTCGCGGCCCTTGTTCGCGCCCCGGAGCACCTGGCGCCGCACGACGGGCTGGCCGTGCTCCGCGCAGCAGGGCGGCGTGTCGGGCGTCGCCGCCGGCTCGTTGTAGGACGGCAGGCGCGCCGGCGGCTTCTTCAGGCCGTGCTTGGGCGCGTGGGACAGGGGTACCGCGACGTTGGCGGCGAAGGCGAGCAGGAGGGCGGCGAGGCGCATGGTTTCGGAGGTCGGGGCGACGAGCGACTACTGGTGCCCTCGGCGACGTCCGCGGAGACCGCGCACGGCGTAGGCAACTTCAGAAGCACCAGACTTCGCGCCCAGGCCCGGCTCAAGCCGCCGCCAAAGCTGCTCGTGTTGTTCAACATCCGGCACGATCCAAAGTTGAAGGCGCGCCGATTTTGAGCGCCTCGCACCTCGCCGCCTGATTTTGAGCGCCTCGCCTCACGGCTTTGCGCTGTCGCCGCGTTGCCAAGTGCTCTTTGCAAGACACCATGATGCGCTCCTCTCTCGCGCGCGTGTCGCGCCAGCTGTCGTCGCGCCAGCTCTCCACCAAGGTCGGCTTCGTGGGCCTCGGCGCCATGGGCCGCCACATGGCTGCCAACATCGCGGCCTCGGGCACCCCCACCACGGTCTGGGACATGTCGGGCGACGCCGTCGACTTCGCCGTGGGCAAGGGCTGCGCCGGCGCGGCCGACGCCGCCGGCGCCGTCGCCGGCGCCGACGTCGTCTTCACGTCGCTGCCGCGGAGCGTCGACGTCGAGGCGCTCGCGGACGCGCTCGTCGCCGCGGGCGCGCTCCCGAAGAACTGCGTCTGGGTCGACACGACGAGCGGCGTGCCCGACGTGTCGCAGCGCATCTACGCCAAGGTCGCCGACGCCTGCGGCGCCAAGTTCCTCGACTGCGGCGTCGCGGGCGGCCCCAAGGGCGCGGAAGCGGGCGCGCTCGCGGCGATGGTCGGCGGCGACGCGGACGCGCTCGAGACGGCGTCCCCCGTCATGGCCCACGTCATGGGCAAGGTCGTCCACGTGGGCCCCTCGGGCGCGGGCCACGCCGTCAAGTCCGTGAACAACACGCTCCTCGCGGCGCACATCTGGGTCGCCTACGAGGGCCTCCTCACGCTGGCGAAGCTCGGCGTGCCCATGGAGACGGCCCTCGCGGCCATCAACGCGGCGTCGGGCCGGTCCCTCGTCACGGAGGAGCGCATCCCGAACCACGTGCTCTCCCGCGAGTTCGACTTTGGGTTCGCGCTCGACCTCATGCGCAAGGACATCGGCATCACCATGGACACGCTCGACGCCATCGACATGCCCGCGCCGGCGCTCCGCGTCGTCAACGAGATGTTCTGCATGGGCGAGGCGAAGCTCGGGCCCAAGGCCGAGCACATGGAGGTCGTCAAGGTCCTCGAGGACATGTGCGGCGCGCAGATCAAGAAGGCCGACTGAGTAGCCTGCTAAGTCGTACGATTCGGAGATTACCCCGACGTGAGTCGGACGATGCGCGCGCCTTCGGGGATGGCGGCGCCGTTGCCGCTGGCCCGCGCCGCGTCGGCCCGCGCGGGCCGCCGGAGCTCCCCCGAACTCGCCGGGTCGTCGGACCGCAGGGCCGCGACGGCGAGGACCTCCTCGGCGAGGAAGAGCGCGCGCCGCGCGTCGTCCCGCGCGACGGCCGCGTCGAGGTCCGCGTCGAGCGCCGCCCGCACGGCCTCGAGCTCCGGCTCCAAAGCGGCCGGGAACGCGTCGCGCGCGCCGAGCACGAGGCCGTGGGCGACGCAGCGGTGGAGCAGCTCCCGGAGCCGCGGGTGGAACGGCGCGCGGCACGCGAAGGGCGCCGACGCCTCGCTCGCCGCGCCCGTGACGAGCGCGCACGCCGGCGGCGCCGGCTCGCGCGCGTCGTCGTCCGGGCCGTCCGGCGCGAAGACGGCGTCGCTTTGGCCCGGCCGCTCGACGACGACGGCGACGTCTCCGTGGCCGCGGCCGCCGTAGGCCACCAAAACGCCGCGCGCGCACAGATCGCGCGCGATGGCGTCGAACTTCGGAAGCGCGAGTTGCGCGGCGACGTCCACCTGGGCAGGAACAGAGAGATTCAACGTCGCTTCAACGTGAGTGTTCCGCGTGCGCGCGTTCCGGAAAAAGCATCCACGCTTCGAGACCGTTCCAAGAGATGATCGCTCGTCCAAAAATCAGCCGAAACGAGTGGAAAACGGCCGAGAGAGGAGCCTTTGAAGTTGGGAATTTCGCACTCTTTTCCTGCCCCGACGTCCACTGCCCCCGCGCAGCACGCGCGCGACGAGCCCGGGTCGCGGTCGCCGACGTAGTCCGCGAAGTCGCGGCGCGCGACCCAGGGCCGCACCTCGACGGCGCCGTCGGCGGCGACCTCGCCCGCGCGGCTCGCGGCCGCGCAGGCCTCGAAGACGTGCGACGCGAGCAGCCGCGCGCCGGGCGCGAGGCCCGCGCCGTCGTCGGACGCGCGCGACGCGCCGGCCAGGAGCGACAGCAGGACGGAGAAGAGGCCCTCGACGTCGAGGCGGCTGCCGCCCGGCCCGTGGCCCGCGCGGACGACGTTCGCGGTCCGGCACCGTTCGACGACGTCGCCGAGGGACGCGCGGAGCGCCGCCGCGCGGCCCCGGAGCCGGCCGTCGCGCCGGAAGCGCCGGAGGATCGCGGCCTTGGCCTCGTCGTCGGACTCGTCGCCGTCCGACGCCGACTCGGGCTCGGCGTCGTCGTCGGCGCCGCGCGACGCGTAGAGCGTCACGGTCGCGTCGTTGAGGCTCCGCACCCAGCCGAGGCGCGCGCGCAGCGCGGCGACGGCGGCGGCGTCGTCGAGGCGCCGCGCGTCGGCGAAGTAGGCGACGCCGTCGGCCCGGGCGAGCGCCGCGCGCGACTTCTCGAGCGCCGCGAGGAGCAGCGACGACGCGGCCGGCGGCGGGCCGTTGACGAGCGCCTCGAGGTGGTCGCCGCCGAGCTCGACGAAGCGCAGCGCGACGTAGGACGCGTCGGCGACGGACGCGAGCAAATCCGGGAGCCCGAAGTCGTTGCAGAAGAACGCGAAATCCTCGATGGTCAGCACCGCCGTCGCGCACGCGACGTCCGTGTCGATGTAGGGCGCCTCGGCGAGCGGCGCGCCGCCGGGCACGCAGGGGCCCACGGTGCCGTAGCGCGCGTTGCGGAAGGAGCCGCTGATGGCCGGGAGCACGGACGTGACCTTGAGCCAGTCGCGGTCGCGCTCGTTGACGAACGCGTGGAGGAACGTCGACTTGCCCGCGTTGCGGTCGCCGACGATGGCCACGGACACGACGGCCGTGCCCGCCGGCGCGAACTCGGCCAGCGGGCCGCCGTCGACTTCCACCGTCAGGTCCTCGTGCAGGTCCGGCTGCGCGTAGTTCGTCGCCTGCATCCAGACGCCCTCCATGGCGTTGCGCTCCACGGGCAGCTCGAGGCGCCCGCCCAGCATCGCCGCCATGGACGTCGTCGGCGCGTCGTCGAGCACCATCGCCGCCGACGACGACGGCTCGTCGCCGACGTCGAGCATGGAGGCCATCGTCTCGTCTTGCAGGGGCAAGGTCAGTGCAAGATCAGTGCACTTGCCGCTCGCTAAATAATAACCACAGCTCCCGCCGCTGCAGAAGACGGCGCGTCGCACTTAAGATGCGCGCGCTCGGCCTCATACTTCCGCTCATCGCGCGAGACGGGCTGCCCTACGTCGAGGACCGAGGCAGCTATTTGCTCGTCGACAGCGGCTCGTCCATGAGCTACGTCGCGCGGCGGCTCCTCCAGAGCGACGCGAGCGCGGCGGGCGCGCTGGCGCGCTCCGTCGACGCGGCCGCCGTCGAGGACGTCGGGCTGCAGCTGCCGGCGGGCGTGCACGGCATCCTCGGCTTCGACGCGCTCTGCGCCGGGGGCTCCTTCGAGGTCGACGTCGACGGCGGCGCGCTCCGCCTCGACGAGCCGCCCGCCTTCGACGGGGCGCATTTGGCGACGATGCGCGCGGCGACGCTGGGCTCGAGCCGGCGGCCCTACCCGCTCGTCGACGTCGAGGTCTTCGGCGCCGGCGCCGCGCGCTGCAGAGGCCTCGTCGACACGGGCTCTCCCGTCACGATCGCGAACGGCGCGCTCGCGGCGGCGGCGGGGCTGCTGGACGCGCTCGAGGACGACGCCGCGGCGACGCGCGGCGCCACGGGCGCGACGACGGCGCTGCGGCCCTGCACGGCCGCGGGCGTCGTCTTCGGCAGCGCGCGGCGGCCGGCCCGCAAGATCCTCGTCGGCGACCTGCCGCAATGGGCCGCGCTGGACCTGCGAGAGACGCCGGCGGTGCTGCTGGGCCTCGACCTGCTGGGCCGGCGGCTCCGGGGCGCGCGCGCGGCGCCGCCGCGGAAGGAGTCCCGCGGGGACGAGCCGGCCCGGAGGAGGAAGTCCCGGGGCGCGGCGGTCCCCGCGGCCGGGGACGCGTGGGAGCTGACGGTGCCCGCGTAAGTGTGGACCATCCGATCCGGCGGGGCTTAAAATCCCGGACTCGGAGCAACATTATCCGAGCGCCCGCAGTTCGCGCATGAGCGCCGCGACGCTCGGCCGCTCGGCGACGTCGAAGGTCATCGCGCGCCGGACGACGGCGGCGAGCGCGTCGGAGAACTGGACGCCCGCGTGCTCGCGGCGCGGCGGGAAGTCGACGGCCCGGCCCCGCCGCGGCGGCGCGCCGAAGGCCGTCGCGAAGGCGAGCGCCCCGAAGGCGTAGACGTCCGCGCGCGCGTCGACGACGGCGCCCTCGCGGACGGGCCCGCGGCACTCGGGCGCGACGCAGCCGCGGTCCACGTCCGCCAAACTGGACGCGAGGAAGACGCGGTCCTCGTTCGTCGCCGTGGGCGCCTTCGCCGGCGACCGCGCGTGCTTGAGGTGGATGAGCAGCGGCGCGCCGTCGCGGCCCAGGGCGACGGCGTGGGGGCACAAGTCGCCGTGGGCGACGTCCGCGGCGTGCATGTGGCCGAGCCCCCGCGCGACGCCCACCAAGAGCCGCGCGAGCCGCGGCTCCGTCCACGGGTTCCGGAGGTCGCCGCCGTGGCCCCGCCGCAGCGCGGGCGTCTCCAGCTGTCTTCGCCGCGCGGCCCCGAAGGCCTCGAGCGTGTCGGCGACGGTCTGCGCGTAGGGCGGCTGCAGCACCGCGACCTCGAGCCGCGCCCCTCCCTCGAGGCTCCCGTCGGCCGCGGACGCGGACCGGTGGAGCACGGACTGCGCGAGCAAGGGCGCGACGTTGCGGCAGCCCCCGAGTTTCTGCAGGAGCTCCACCTCGCGCTTCACGGCGCGCAGCGCGACCTTGTCGCCGCACGCGTGGACCAAGAGCGAGAACTCGGCGCCCTCGTCGACGTCGCGGACCGCGTACGTCGTCCGCCGGCCGCCGTCGGCGACGCGCAGCGCCTTGCCGAGCCAGAGCCGCCGGTCGCCGCAGCGCACGGCGCTGCCCATGGCGCCGCTCGAGATCGCCGCGTCGGCCAAGCCGTCGACGGCGCGCGCGGCCGCCGCGGCCGTCGTCTTCGCCGCGGACAGGCCCCGCGCGAGGAGGCTCGACAGCGGCGCGTCGCCGGGCGACCTCGCGGCGGGCGTCCGCGCCGCGGGCGCCCCGGGCGGCGCCGCGCGGGACGGCCGCGCGCCCGCCGCGGGCGGCCGCGGCGCGGCCGGCGGCGCCGCGGCGCGCGGCGCCGCGGCGACGGCCGTGAGCACGAGCCGCACGACGCCGTCGCGCGGCGCGTCGACCGCGTCGTTCCCGCCGAGGAAGCGGCCGCCGGCGAGGGACAGGAACCAGTCGCAGGCCGGCGGCGGCGCCGGGAGGTGCGCCAGCAGGTCGGCCACGGCGACGCGCGGGCCCGGCGCCGGGATCTCGACGCAGTTCAGGCCCTCGTCCTCCTCGCCCGTGATGACGTAGACGACGGGCAGGCGCGCGGCGCCCATCGCGCACGGCTCGGAAGCGACGCAGGTGACGAGGCCCACCTTGCTTGCCTTGTGGCAATTCACGTACAACCAAGGCTTCAACGAGAGTTCAACGAGACCTCCTTCCCTAGTGGGGCAGCTTATAGCCGCAGTCGGCGATGGTCCCCCGGCCGCCGAGGCCGTCGCTCATGCCGTAGCCGAGGAAGCAGGTGCAGATGCCCGTGACGCGGTCGCAGGTGCCCCGGTTCGAGCACGGCGCGTTTTCGGTGTCGCCCGCGCGCGACGCGAACGTCGGGCAGTCGCCCGACGGGCAGCCGTCGAAGCTGTAGGACGACCCGTCGGCGTAGACGACGACCTTGGCGCCCGCGCCGCGCCGCGAGTTGACGAGGCGCGCCTTGTTCGCTTTGAGCCTGGGCACGTCGCCGTGCTCCGTCTCGAATTGCACCTCGACGAAGACGTCGTGGTCGTAGGCCGCGCAGACGCGCCCGCCCTGGTCGTCGACGGACGCGCCGCCCTCGAGGCCGGCCCGGTCCAGGTTCCCCGCCACCGCGGCGACGGTCGCGGTGCCGACGGTCGGCAGCGCTTCCAGCGCGGCCTCGACGTCCGCGGCCGTCGCGTTCGCCGGGATGGGCACCGTGGTCGCCTCCCGGAATTCGAGGGTGAAGGACCCCTCCGTGGCCGTGCAGGAGAAGTACTGGACCTCGTTGGCCTGGCCCCAGGTGTTGGGGTCGTCGCCCGTCGGGCATTCGCGGTCGCCGCAGTCGAAGGCGCCGTAGCCCGCGTCGCAGAGGCAGCCGTAGACGCGGTCCGCGTCCCAGGTCAGGCCCGAGTTCGCGTAGGAGCCGTAGACCCAGGCGTCGGCCTCGCCGTTGACCTCCGCGTGCGTCGCGAGCTCGCGCATGGACATGCAGCGGCCGACGGCGTTGCAGGGCGCCGTCTTGCCGTCGTCGGCCGCGGGGCACTGGGTCCGCTCGCAGGCGGCGCCGCTGAGGTGCGGCGGGCAGGCGCACTCGCCCGTCTGGCGGTCGCAGGCGCCCATGCCCGAGCACTCGAGCAGGCCGTCGTGCGCCGCGTCGTCGCCGGACGGGTACGCGAACCAGGACGGCCCCCGCGGGCAGAGCTTCTCGGAGCAGTCGCCGCCGCGCCACGTGGCCTTGCAGGCGCAGGCGTAGGGCTTCTCGGCCTGCCAGGTCGCGTCGGGCGCGGACGGCGACGGGAACGGCGTCGCGTCGTCGTCGTAGAGATCCAGCGCGGAGCCGCAGAGGCCGTCGCCGTTGCCGTCGCGGCAGCCGCCGCGGCAGACGCCGTTGTCCGTGCACTCGCTGTCGCCGGCGCCGGGGCACATGGTGATGTCCGTGAGCGGGTACCCGCAGTCGCCCGCCAGGCCCGGCCCGCCGTACAAATTCGACGACGCGTAGAGCTCGAAGTTCGACGAGAAGCACTCGCAGTCGCCCTCGTCGGCGCCGCAGATGCCCCGGCCGGCGCAGGGCTCGTACTCCTTCGTGCTCTCCACGGCGTAGGCGTACTCCGTGGACGACGCGCGGAGGTAGGCCGCGTCGCCGTCCGTGGACACCGCGCGCGTGTTCACGTTGCCCTCGAAGCGCGACGCGTCCTCGTCGTAGGCGAGGGGCGGCACGTCACCAAAACGCGTGCGGAATTCGATCAGGGCGACGTTCATGAGCTCCGCGCCGTCCGTGCCGAGGTAGCAGAGCCGGTCGCGCCCGGCCTCGTAGACGACGTCGTCGCACGTCGTCACGGTCGAGGGGTAGCCCGCGCAGGGGCAGTCGGCGAACCAGCCCGTGGAGACGTCCGCGTTCTGCGTGCCGCAGCCCTCCGTCGCGCACCAGCCGAGGCCCCCGCCCGTGACGTCCGCGCAGCCGGCGAACTCCATGCGGCGCATGCCCTGGGGGTCGTAGGTGTAGGTCCCGGTGACGCAGGGGCAGTCCGGGTCGAGGGGGCGCAGCGCGTTGACCTCGTAGGGGAAGCCGTAGCGCTCCTGGAACGTCGCGGACGCGAGGCGCGGGTCGAGCTCCCCGAGGGGCAGGCCGCCCTCGAAGAGGTAGGTCCCGACGCCCCGCGTCGGGATGATCGCGTCGCCCCGGTTCGTGTAGGTCACGACGACGTCGCCGATCGTGCGGCCGATCTTCTCGAGCTCGCGCTCGAGCTCCGCCGCCGTCGCGCGGCCGTCGAAGGGTCGCGTCGCCAAGCCCGCGAAGCGCAGGACGATGTCGCCGTCGCCGACGCAGCTCAGCAGCTGGACCTCGTTGACCTGGCCCGACGTGAGCGGGTCGTCGCCGGACGCGCAGAGCCGCTCCTCGCACGCGGGCCCCGCGTAGTCGGCCCCGCAGACGCAGCCGTGGACCATGTGGGCGTCCCAGGGCGCCTCGTAGGCGAAGCGGCGGCTCTTGGAGTCGTAGTCGAAGCGCGCGTGGTCGTACATGCTCAGGCACTCGCCGTTGCCGCTGCACGCGAGGGGCAGCCCGTCGTTCGCCGCGCCCTGGCACGTCATGCGCTGGCACGCGCTGCCCTCGAAGCCCGACGCGCAGGCGCAGCGGCCCGTCTCGCGGTCGCAGTGGCCCCGGTTCGAGCACTCCGCCTCGGCGTGGGCCGTGTCGTCGGCCGTGGCGACGTCGGCCCAGGCCGCGCCGACGGGGCACAAGCGCTCGCTGCAGTCGCCGGCGGCGAAGCCCGGGTAGCAGACGCAGCGGCCGAAGCCGTCGCAGTCGCCGTGGCCGCTGCAGTAGGGCGGCTTCATCCCGTAGGGCGGGCAGCGGGCCTGGCCCGCGCCGAGCACGACGAGCGCGGCCCAGGCGCGGCCCATCTCGAACGGCACGATGGTGCACCGCCCTGCAACGACGTATTCTCGTATCCGCCGCGGCCGGAGCTGCCCCGCGTTTTGGTGACCGTCGTCCTCGCGCGGGGCGCTTTCGTCGTCCATGCCGTCGCCGGCCCGGGCCCTCGCGGCGCTGGTGTCCTTCGCGGCGTCGGCGTCGTCCCAGGACATGCGCGGGAACTGCGTCGGCTGCGGCGACGAGCACCGCAAGTGCGAGTTCCAGTGCCTCCTGCCGAGCTACCGGGCGAACACGGAGCTCGCCTGGCCCTACAGCCAGCCCCAGAAGGGCGCGGAGCTCTCGTCGTGCCTCACGGTCTGCGGCAAGACGCGCGAGTCCTGCTCCGAGGCGTCGGAGTCGACGTCCTGCCTCTCGTGCGCGCAGCGGTGCGCGTCGACGTACGAGGCCGAGATGCTCGCGTGCCTCCAGAAGATCGACGCGACGACGACGCTGACCTTCGGGACGAACCTGGACGCCTGCAGCGTCGCGAGCTCGTCGACGCACGACGCCTGCGCCGAGAAGTGCCACGGCAGCGACGCGTACTACGGGTGGACGCCCGAGGCCGAGGAGGGCTACGCGTCGACGTCCAAGTTCACGATCCCGGGCTACCGCGCGGCGCTCAAGGCGTCCCAGGCCGCGCCCGTCGCCGAGGAGGCGCGGGTCATGGAGGCGCCGCCGACGGCGCCGACGGACCTCGCCGCGCGCGCGCAGGGCGCGGCCGCGGCCGGCGACCAGTGGGTCCTCGCGGCGTCGGGCGCCCTCGGCGTCGCCCTCTTCGCCGCCGGCGCCGTCGTCGAGCGCACGCAGGCCGCCCGGGACCGCGCGTAGCGAGCCGGGGCGGGCCTTTCCCCCTAACATCCTTTTCGAATTTCTACGACTCTTCGAGCGCGCCCCCGCTTCGCCACCGCAACCCCGCGGACCAGGAACGACACAATACTCACAAGCGACGCGGCCGAGCGCCTCAGAAGCCGACGCTCCGCAGGTAGGCCGCGAGCTTCTCGACGGCGACGTTCGCGCCGCCCGCGGTCTGCCCGAGGTTCTCGTCGAAGGAGCCGATGACGACGCACTGGGCGCCCGTCGCGAGGCAGCAGCCGCCCTTGGGCCGCTTGCCGTAGACGACCGTGCCGCCGTCCTGCCCCGGGCCCATGCGGACGATCATGTACTTGACGCGGTCGTAGCGGAGGCCCGCGGCGTGGCGCGCGCCGCGGCCGAAGGACGCGGCGATGTCGGCCTCGTTGAGTCTTTGTTCCGCGTCCTCGCCGGCGTCGTTCGTGAGCGTCGCCGTGTAGGTGCGCGGGCCGAAGTCGGGCGACGTGCCCCAGACGCGGCCGTCCCGCGCGTCGAGCACCGAGTAGCCGTCGCAGTGCGCGCCGAGGCACTCCTTGACGAAGGCGTTCCAGCCCTCGTCGCCCATGAGCGCCGCTAGGCTGCTGTTTTACGACGCGTGACGCCGCTGCTCTAACTGTGGGCTGCCCATGCTGCCGGCCTCACCGCTGGCCTCAGGACTTTCTGCGGCGGCCGTGCCGGCACGATGTCGACAGCGACACAAATCCGCTCGCGCCCCGCACCGGTGCGCCGAGCCGAATCGCGTCAAAGCGCCCCGGCCGCGTGCCACGCCCAATCACCGACGCGACCATGTCGATGCGCCTCGCGCTGAAGGCGAGCCTCGCGCAGGAGGCCGTCGACGAGAAGACGAAGCAGGCCGCGGCGCGCAAGGCGAAGAAGGACGCCAAGGCCGCGGCGAAGGAGCAGGCCGCCGCCGACGCGCGCGCGCGGTTGGCGGAGGAGGCGGCGAGCAGCGCGGCGGCGGAGGCGGCGGAGGAGGCGACCTGGGACGAGGCGACGCGCGACGTGCGGCGGCGCGTCGGCGCGCGGCTCGCCGAGGTTTTGGCGACGGCGGAGATCGCGGACCTCAAGCTCAAGAGCCTGCGGAAGCAGCTCGAGGGCGAGCTCGGCGTCGAGCTCAGCGGCGAGGAGCACAAGGCCTGGTTCAAGGCCAAGGTCACGGCCCTCGTCGAGGCGAAGACGGCCGCCGCGGATTTGGCCGCGGGCCGCAAGCCCGGCGACCTGGCCGACGACGAGGAGGACCCGCGGCACCCCGTGCTCAGCGACGAGATGGCCGCCGTCGTCGGCGTCGGCCGCGCGAACCACTTCCGCCTCGTCAAGCTCCTCTGGAAGTACATCAAGAAGCACGACCTCCAGAACCCGGCGAACAAGAACGAGATCGTCTGCGACGACGCGCTCAAGGCCGTCTTCAAGAAGGACAAGGTCACGTCCTTCGGCATGTCCAAGCTCCTCTCCGCGCACTACTTCAAGGACGACGCGCCCGCGCCCAAGAAGCGCAAGAGCGCGCGCGACGACGGCGCCGACGACGCCGACGACGGCGCCGCCGCCGCGCCCGCGCCCAAGAAGCCCAAGAAGAAGCCCGCCGCGGCCTCGAGCGCCGAGTACAAGGGCTCCCGGGAGATGGCCGACTTCTGCGGCGTGCGTCCCCCCCGCGTCCGCGCGCCGCCGCGCGAAACCCCCGACCGCCGTTTTTCGCAGGTCGAGACGAACAACCGGTTCACGATCACGAAGATCGTCTGGGCCCACATCAAGGAGCACGGGCTCCAGAAGGAGGGCGACAAGCGCACGATCATCTGCGACGAGACGCTCAAGGGCCTCTTCCAGGTCGACGAGTTCAACCAGTTCCAGATGGCCAAGCTCATCGGCACGCACTTCTCCTAGCCGCCCCGGAAAAGCCGGGGTCAAGCGAGAGGCCCCGAAATTAAGTTGTGATCCCCGATGTCGCGGCGTGGGGAACGTGTCGGCGGGACGGCGTCCGACGTGTAGGAGGCCTCGTAGGCCTCGCCCGACGATCTTGACGACGTCGAGTAAGTCGTCGAGTCCCTCGTCGGGAGTTCGAGGGTGCGTCCTGTCCGCCTGGTAATTTCCACACTTTGAGCGACACGCCGCGTCGGTGAAGAACACTGAAGGGGTCGGCGAAGAGCGCTCAGACCTCCGCGGCCCTCGAGAGGGGTCGCCCCCCATAAACAAAAAATGCTCCTGCACACCCTCATGCTCGCCGCGACCGCCGCGCCGGTCCTCGCCGTCTGCGAGGTCTCGGCGTGGTCCGACTGGTCGATTTGCGAGCCAAAGTCCGTGTTCACGGGGTGCGACTACGCCGCGGGCCCGCCCGGGTGGCGCGCGCCGCCCGAGAGCGCGAAGAAGACGTCGGGGACCGCGGCGCCGGCGTCGGCGCCCGACAACGCGGCCTACGTCGCGGAGATGATGGAGGCGATGAAGCGCCAGGGCGAGGCCGCGGCGCGCGCGTCCGATGAGCAGGCCGCCGCCCCGGCGAACGCGGAGCGCCTCGGCCCCGCGGCCTGCGAGGCCGGCGACGCCGGGGGCTTCGGGTGTTCGAACGTGGACCTCGAGAGCTGGACGCCCATCGCCGAGCTCGGCGCCCTGGAGGCGAGTTACTACGGCAAGAACACGAACGACAACTGGGGCTGGACCGCGAAGGACGGCCGCGAGTGGGCGCTCCAGTGCACGAACCTGTGTGGAAATCAACCACTGGTTTGGGGGGTCCCCACCAAGCTTCAGAACTCTCTATCTCAATCAAATCGAAGTCGATTCGGCTGATTTTTGGACGAATCGATTGCTCTCATCGAGTTCTCGAAGCACAGCGAAAGAGTCTGGTCCAAATCGGTCGATTACGCGCACATTGAAGTCGGGTTGAAGATTTGATTTCCACACAGGCACGAACTACGGCGTCGCGTTCCTCGACCTCGGCTGCCCCGCCTGCGACCCGCCGCTGGCCGCCGCGGAGGCCGTCGAGGGCTTCGTCATGACCGGCGGCACCGACTCGGGCGGGTCCATCTGGCGCGACGTCAAGGTCTACGACCACTACGCGATCATCGTCTCCGAGACGCGCAAGCACGGCCTGCAGGTCTTCGACCTCGAGCGGCTGGACCCGTCCCACGCCCGCCACGACAAGGACGGCGACGGCTTTTATGAACCGGACGCGCTCTTCGCCGACGTCGGCGGCGCGCACAACGTCGTCGTCAACGAGGAGACGGCGCGCGCCTACGTCGTCGGCGTCTATAGCCCCCAGGGCTACGGGTACCTCTGCAACGGGGGCATGTTCGGCGTCGACCTCCGCGACCCCGCGCATCCGACGTCGCTCGGCTGCATCTTCAGAAACGCCTATGTTCACGACGCGCAGTGCGTCGTCTACCGGGGCCCGGACGCCGAGCACTTCGGCCGCGAGATCTGCTTCTTGTTCACGGGCAACGACGTGCGCGTCGTCGACGTCACGGACGCGAGCGACGGCGGGGGCGACGTCACGCTGTCGAAGCTCGGCTACGAGGGCGTGCGGTACGCGCACCAGGGCTGGCTCACGTGCGACCACACGTCGGTCTTCGTCGACGACGAGCTCGACGAGGGCGGCGCGCGAGGGACGAAGACCTACGTGCTCGACGTCTCGGACCTCGACGCGCCGCTCCTCCGCTTCGTCCACGCGGCGGACATCGGCGTCATCGACCACAACCAGTACGTCAACGGCGCGTTCCTCTATCAGGCCAACTACGCCGGCGGCCTGCGCGTCCTCGACATCTCCGACGCGGAGCTCGGCGGCGACGCGGCCAAGGCGACGGGGCGGCCGGCGCTGGCCGAGGTCGCCTATTTCGACGTCCTCCCGGACCGGGACACGGCGTCGTTCCTCGGCTCGTGGAACGTGCACCCCTTCTTCGCGAGCGGCCGCGTCGTCGTCAACGACGTCCAGGCGGGCACGGCCATCGTGAAGCCCACGGGGCTCACGGTCGAGACGCGGGCGCGGAGTGTGACGGCCCGGGACGCCGGCGACGTCTGCCCGAACCTGTTCCAGGAGCGCTCCTGCGCCGCGCCGCCGGCCGACGCGTGCGCGGGGCTCGAAAAAGGGAAATGCACGAAGGCCGCGACCTGCGAGTACAAGAAGCGGACGTGCCGCGCCAAGGCCGACGCGTGCGCGGGGCTGTCCCGGAAGCGGTGCAAAAAAACGTCGGGCTGCCGGTACAAGCGGAAGCGGTGCCGAACCTTCGACTGCGCGGCGCTCGAGAAGAAGAAGTGCAAGAAGGACGAATCGACCTGCAAGTGGAGGCGCAAGAAAAAGAAGTGCGCGGCAAAGTGACGGGGCTCCGTAAGCCGAGCACTCTTTCTCGTACGCGGGGGTATCGGCGCGCGCGGGGAGGGCGTGTCGGGGTCGAGAGGACCCCCGGCCAAGCCCACGGTTGATCGATCGGGGACACGCAGCCCCTAAAAAATTTGTCGATGGAGCGCGCGGCGCTGCTGATCCTCGCTTTGGCGCTGCCCGCGTGCCGCGGCGGCGGCCACAGCCTGCTCTGCCCCCACGTGACGGCGACGCTGACGCTCGACTGGACGGGCATGCTCGACGCGGGCAAGACGGAGGCGCGCATCCGCAGCGACATGGCCGAGGCCAGCGCCATGGTCTCCGAGGTCGGCGCCGTGGGCCCGCACCCGACCATCGACGGCGCGGCCCGCTGCGAGGCCGCCGACGTCGTCGCGGAGGGCGACGCGTACTACGGCTACGTGTCCGTCTGCCGCTACTGCCTGCCGTCCGGGTCCTACGAGCTCGTCACGAAGGACGCCTGGGGCGACGGCTGGGGCGACGGCGTCTTCCACCTCGCCCTCGAGGGCTGCGACGCCCTCGAGGGGACCCAGGCCAAGGGGCCGAAGCAGTGCAGCCCGCGGAACGGCCACGAATCGTGCAACGCGACGAGCCGCGTGGCCTTCGAGGCGCACCACCACCCGTCGCCGGCGCCGACGTTCCAGCGCGACACCTTCGAGTTCACGGCCTTTCTCGACTTTTCCGGGGCGACGGCGGACCGCTTCGCCGACGCGCGCGTCGCCGTCCGGAGCTTCTCGCGCGCCTACGGCGCCCAGACCGCGTCGGGCCTCCTCGCGCCGAAGCGCCTCTACGACCCGCAGCCCGCCGACGGGTCCTCGGACCGGAGCCGCGCGCCGGGCGACGCCGTCGCGGACCTGCCCTGCGACGTCGAGGCCTGGTGGGGCTTCGACGCGGTCTTGGATTCGGGCGCCGCCGCGTCGTCGGCGCTCGCGGCGGACTACGCCCTGCCCCCGGGCGACTACGCGCTGCTGGTCGCCGGCGGCGACTGGGGCGGCGGCGCCGCAAACCTCGCCGACGTCGCGGGCTACGCGGTCTACGCCGCGGGCGCGCCGGCCGACGGTTTCGCGTCGTTCAACTTCACGGTGTCGCACGACTACCCGACGGCGAGCCCGACCTGGGCGCCGGGGCCCGTCCACCTGGACCTGAACCTGAACTGGACGCGCTCCTACGAGCTCGCCATCGTCGAGGTCTACCGCGTCGACGGGCTCTCCATGGCCGCGCCCGCGCCGACGTCGGCGCGGCCGTCGCCGCGGCCGTCGCCCGCGCCGTCGCGCTTCCCGACGGCGCGGCCGTCCCCGGCGCCGACGACCTTGTCGCCGACGACTTGGGCACCGACGACGCGCGCGCCGTCGCCGGCCCCGACGAACTATTCCAGCGGCGCGCCGACCGCGGCGAACGCGACAAGGGCACCGTCCTCGCCGCCGCCGCCCGCGCCGACGTCCGGCGCGCCGTCGCCGCCGCCGTCGGCCGCGCCGTCGTCGTCGACGCCGACGCCGCGGCCCACGCACCACCGCCGGGCCACGGCGCCGCCGACGGCCGCGGCCACGTTCGCGCCGTCGCCGAAACCCACGAAGCTCTCGTCCGCGCTCGCGCCCGACGCCTGGCTCACGCCCCTGGCGACGGCGACGTACTACGACGACGTCGAGGGCCACCCGCTCGACGACGAGTACAGCCTCCAGCCGCGCGCGGGCGCCGCGGAGACGTTCCGCTACGACGTGCACGCCTACGACGTGCTCCTGCTCCGCCTCTACTGCTGGGCGGCGGGCTGGAAGGGCGGCCGCGTGACTCTCACGCGGTCCGCCGACGCGCACGTTTTGGTGGATTCGACGGCCGAGGGCTGCGGCACGCCCGCGCACCCGACCTTCGTCGACGTGTTGGTGGACTCGGGCGACCTCGCGGTGCCGTCGGCCGCGCCGTCGCCCGCGCCGACGTCGGCGCCGTCGCCGGAGCCGTCCTACGCGCCCTCGGCCGCGCCGTCGCCGGAGCCCAGTGCCGCGCCCGCGCCGCGGCCCACGCGGCGGCCGACGGCCAAGCCCACGCGCGGCGCGACGGACGCGCCCTCGGCGGCGCCGTCCGCGCGGCCGAGCCCCCGGCCGACGCCCGCGCCGCGGCCCACGCCGCGGCCCTCGCCGTCGCCGACCGCGAGCCACGCCCGCGTCCGGAGGAATTTCCGGAGATTTGAAACATTTGAATCCGTCGTCTCGGGTCGCCTCTCCGGAGCCGCGCCGCGCCCGCAGGTCACGCCTGGCTCCCCGACGGCCGCGCCGGTCGTCCCGACGCCCGGGCCGTCGCCCGAGCCCACGCCCGAGCCCACGCCCGAGCCCAGCCCCGAGCCCACGCGCGAAGCCGCGTCCCGTGGGCCCCTTCGCGCCGGAGGCGACGCGCGCAGGCCCGAGCCGACGCCCGAGCCGTCGCCCGAGCCGACGCCCGAGCCGACGCCCGAGCCGACGGCCGCCGCGCCGGACCCGACGCCGCGCCCGACGCCGCGCCCGACGCCGCGCCCGACGGCGTCCGCCGCCGCCGCCGCCCCCGACGACGACGACGACGACGACTCGGCGACGAACAGCGCGTCCGCCGAGGCCGTCGTCGTCGTCGCGGCCATCGCCTTCGTCGCGCTCATCGCGTGCTCCTGTGTGGAATTCAAATCTTCAACCCGACTTCAATGTGAGCGTAATCGAACGATTTGGACCAGACTCTCTCGCTGTGCTTCGAGAACTCGACGAGAGCAATCGATCCGTCCAAAAATCAGCCGAATCGACTTCGATTTGATTGAGCTAGAGAATTCTGAAGTTTGGTCAGGACCACCCAAACCAGTGGTTGAATTCGGCACAGGCGTGCTCTGCGATCGGCCTCGCGGGCGCGGTGCTCTGGAAGCACCACAAGGCGGCCCAGGACCGCCACCCGACCTTCGAGGACATCGCGCGCGCCATCGAGGAGGCGCGCAACCCCATGCGTCGCGCGAACCGCGCGGGCCCGCGGCTCGACGAGGAGAGCCTGGCGCGGGGCCGGCGTCGAGTTCTTTTTTTTGAGGGTCCTCGTTCGAGTTGCGCTCCGCGAGCAGCCGCGCTCCGAGAGATGTTGCGTTCCGAGAGCAGCCGCGCTCCGAGAGGGGGCACGCTCCGCGAGCGGCCTCCAGAATCGCCCGCGTTTTCAGGTCGGCTTCGTCGAGCGCCGCGACGAGACCGGCGCCGCGGGCGACTTCGCGCCCTACGCCGACGACGCGCCGGCGCCGGCCGGCGCCGTCGAGCTCCCGCCCTACCAGCCCCCGGCGGACCAGGAGGACCTCCTGGGCATCAAGGGCGACGAGGACGACGTCGCCGACCTCGACGCGCCCGAGCTCGCCGCGCCGCCGCGCCTCCGCCCGCCGCCCGCGGACCAGCGCCGCGCCGGCCGCGCCGGGGGCAAGGAGGAGGACTGGCTGAGCGTGGCCCTGTAAAGTGAGCCTCGAGGCGGTCCTCGCTTTGGGGGGTTTGGGCCAGCTGCCCCGGCCCGCCGACCTCCGCCGGGGCGGCGGCGTTGTTCGGCGGGAATTCAAACGGAAGTATTCTGGCCACCTGGCGAGAAACCCACGCGTTCATATCGCCAGCTGACTCTATTCTCAACATCGACTTAAGCAACTTGAACCGACTGAACCTCCCACAGTCCATTCGTCCTAGATTTTGTGGACCGCTGACGCCTGGGCGTTGACGTCAACAATGTTCGTCTTTGAAAAGTCGTCGAAGGTTGCGCGCGCCTACCGCGCCGGACGCGACGGCCCGGGATCCCGAAACCCCTCGCCAGATCCAAGCCCGCGGGCCCCGCCCCTCTCCCATGAACGCGCTCCTCCGGGCCTCCCAGGACCCGGCCTCCCCGGCTCAGTCGGCGCCCGCGGCGCCGACCCCCGAGAATTTGTTCTGTGACGCGATGTCCCCTGCGCTGGCCCAATCGACGTCGTCGGCCGGGGCCGAGCCCCTGCGCGAGGCCGCGCGGCCGTCGGCGGCGTCTAGGCCGTCGGCGTCCGGCGCGCCCCGGTCGGCCGGGCGGGTCCTGAGCACGGGGCGGTGGACGGCCGAGGAGCACGAGGAGTTCATCAAGTGCCTCGCGATCTACGGCCGCGAGTGGAAGAAGGTCAGCGAGCGCATCACGACGCGCACGGCGGCCCAGATCCGGAGCCACGCCCAGAAGTACTTCAAGAAGATCCAGTCCGGCAACGCGGGCGAGCCGGACGGCGGCGAGGGCGCGGCCGCGGCGCCGCCGCCGGCCGCGCCCGCGGCGGCCCCGGCGCCCGAGGTCGAGGCGCCCATCTCGAGCCACGGCGCCCTGAGCGCCATCGACGACATGCTGCGCCAGCTCCGCAAGAAGCGCATCGCGCTCTGCGACGTCGCCGCCGCCGACGCGCGGTCCGCGAACGTTCCCCGGTGCTCGCCCGACGGGTCGCCGGCCCTCTCCCCCGCGCCGTCCGAGGACGACGAGGCCGCGGCGCCCAACGCGGAGAACGCGGCGCCGCCCGCCGACGACGCGACGGCCGTGTCCTGCGAGGACCGGTCGCCGCCGCCGGCGTACCGCGTGCTCGACGAGGGCTCCGCGGAGGCGCGGCCGCCCGTCCGGCCGCGGCCCCCGGCGCCCGGCGAGGCCCTCCGCCTCGCGCGGAAGCGCGCCGCCGAGGAGCCCGCCGCCGGCGCGGACCCGAAGCTCCTCCGCCGCCGCGTGACGTGCGAGGACCTCCAGGGCCTCGAGCACCGCGAGCTCATCGCGCTCGAGATGCTCTGCTCGCGGAGCTCCCTGTCCATGCGCCGCGCCGACGCCGAGGACCGGAGCTCCCTGTCCATGCGCCGCGCCGACGCCGAGGACCGCCCGCCGCCGCTCGCGTCCTGCTAGCGGCGCCGGCGGGCCGACCCCCGGCAGTCTCCCGCTCTCCGGCCTCTCTCTCGAGGACCGCCGCCCGGGCCGCCGCAGCGCGGCCCGGCGCGCGGGCCGCCCATCCCCGTGTACACACCGCAACGGAAAATCGCGCCTCCCTGACTATAGTATAACACGAGTATAATCTGATGGCTGAATTTCGACTATGACAGGTGGCTATACGGAGAGCGGCAGCGCTGGCGGGCGTTCGTCGCGGCTCGACCGCCAGAACGCGAGAATGTTCCAGAAGATCTCGTTGGGAAGCCGGTTGCTCGGCCCGCGCGGCGACTTCGTTGCCGAGGGGCCAAAGAGGCGCCCGAAAATCTCTATCTCCGCCGAGGTGAGCGCATGACACGCTTCGCGGTTTGCAAACGTGACGGTGGAGCACGGCGCCGCGCGGCCGCGATCGCAGAGCGACCGGAGGCGCACGAGCTCGATGCGCGGGGCTCGCAGATATTTTTGCCAGCCACCGTCGAGCTTCACGGCCGCGAGGAAGTCTGCCGATTTCAGGAGGTCATGTGTGCGGTAATGACCTGGGAGGCCCTCAAACGTTGCCAAACGGCGTGCATTGGCCTCGGCGTCATTATCATTCCCGTCTTTCGCAAATATGTTGGCCCCGCGACGCACGAGCAGATGCAATAACGCGAGCTTGAAGACAGCTGCATGGATCGGCCTCAATCCCATGTCGGTCTGAGCCTCGATGTCGGCCCCGCGGTCGAGTAGCAGAGCCACCTCGTCGGGATACTGGCCAAAGTGGAGGGGGGTCTCGGACGCGTCCGAGATTGCGTTCAGGTCAGCGCCGTGGTCCAACAAAAGTTTTACAAGCTGAGATCGGTCAAATCGCCTCCCTCCACCAGGAGCGAGGGAGAAATGCAGCAGTGACCAGCGATTTACAGATCCTTCGACGTCCTCGTTCAGGTCACGCTCCCCCGATGTGAGCCAAGAATTTGTGATGTCGATGTTTCCATCTACGGCAGCTTGACGAACGTATCGTGGGATCATTTTGCGCACGCCCCGGTCGTCGCCACTCGACTCTCGTCAGTCTCAAATCGTCGCTGATTTTTATGCCTCCCCACGCCTCCCGTCCCCCAGCCCACCCCCCGACGCCTCAAAAGACCCAACAAAATACCACGCGACGATGACCGTAAAAACCATCACGACACGCAGCACGCGCCGTAGCGGCACGTCGCCGCGCGGCACCGCGTCGTCGCGGGCGCGGCGTCGCGCGCGGCGCGCGCGGCGACCGCGGCCTCGGCCTTGGGCGCCATGTCGACCCAGGCCTCGGGGAGCGTGTCCTTGGCCAGGCCGACGAGCTCCTCGGGCCGCCACCACGCGCGGCGCTCGGGCCGGCGCACGAGGCGGAGCCGGCCCCGAGGCACGGGCCCGTCGACGTGCTCGACGAAGAAGCGGTCCGGCGGCCGCGCGCGGACGACGACGCTGTCGAGCCAGGAGCCGGGCACGGACGTGCCTGAAGATCGCGGCGCGGGGGTCGCGGCGAGGCCCCCGGAGGCGGCGCGGACGCCGGGCGCGCGCCGCGGCAGTAGACCTCGACGACGTCGCCGCGCCGCAGGGGCGACCGCGTGCCCTCGGACACGGGCCAGCGCAGGCAGCTCCGGTCCACGACCTCGTCCCACCTACGAGCGTCGCGTTCGCGGCCGCCCCGCGACGACGACGACGGAACGCGCTCGTCGGGCCACCCCGGGTAGTGGACCGTGAACGCGTCGCCCTCGAGCACGACGCAGGACCACCAGGAGAGGCCCGTGTAGACCTTGCCGAGCTCGAGCTCGAAGCTCCCGTCCCACGCGACCTCGAGGCCTAAAACCGCGGCGCGCTCGTAAAAGAACAAACGTCTCTCGAGAGCAACGGACGCCGGAGGACGCGCAGTCGCCGGGCTTCGGATGGCGGAGCCGCTGGCCGAACTTCTCGAGGGACGTGCCCAGCGTCTCGTCGCACTGGAGGCCGCTGGGCGTCGCGAAGCGCGCCGCGTAGAGCTGGCTCCAGACGACCTCGTCGCGCGCGAGGCTCCGCAGGCGGCCGCGGCACGTCGCGGCCACGGCCAGCGTCTCCCGGCAGTCTAGGTAGAAGAAGATCTGCCACCAGAGCTCGTCGTGGAGCAGCTCCGCCGTCGAACTTTCGATGCCATCCATCGTGCTTCGCGTCCAGGGGCAGGGTCGGCCTCAAACTGGGGCAGCCCTGCCTTATGGAGAGTTATTTTGGTAAGATGGAACTGTGACATCATGCGAGCCATCGCGCTCGCCATAGCGCTCGCCATCGCGCTCGCCGGCGTCGCGACGACCGCGGCCGCCGCGTCGCTCTTCGACGTGTCGGCCCAGTGCAGCCACGCGGCGGTCACGGCGCCGGCCTGCCTGCACAACTCGACGCTCTACGCCTACCGGGGCGACCCGCCGAAGAACAGCGACGCCGAGGTCGACAACTGCGCGGCTTGCGTCTGCGCCCTGCCGGACCAGGACGAGTTCGCGGCGCGCCAGGGCGAGAGCTACGCGCCGTCCTGGGGCGCGTGCTGCGACGGCTGGGCGGGGACGGACTGCGGCGTCTGCGAAACGGACGCGGCCTGCGGCGCGGGGTCGCGCTGCGCCGCGGGGTCGCTCGTGCCGACGGCCGCGGAGCTCGAAGCCGGGAAGCGCTACTCCTGCGCGCCCTGCGGCTACGGCGCGTCGAACGGCTTCTGCCTCTACGCGGACCTGCCGGGCGTGTCCTTCGACATGGTCCTCCGCGGCGCGACCGCGGACGTGGCCATGCGCATCGGCCGCGACCAGCGTCTTGTGACGACGGTCGAGAGATTTGACGATGTTCGAGAGATTTGGGCTGGACGCCGTGGGCGCCGACGGTCGGACCGCTCTCGGGAAACACGACGAATCATCGGTAGGCCGCTACACGGACACGGCCGTCAAGTTCGAGACGCAGCACGCGTACCAGTACGCGCAGATGTTCGGCGGCGAGCTCGCCGGCTGCGAGGTCTTCGAGGAGCCCTGCGCGTGGGACCTCGGCGCGGCCTGCGTGACCGTGCGCTGCGCGTCGGGCGACGTCGACTGCCCGCCCGCGGGCCTCGACGAGTGCCCGGGCCACGTCTACGACCCCTGCAAGTTCAAGTACGTCTGCGAGGGCGACTGCGTCGGGGACCGGCGTCGTACTTCGACAAAGTTTCCGGTCGGAAGAAGAGCACGCAGGTCGACGTCGTCAACGGCTGCTGCGTCAAGGGCGACGGCGACGACGACGACCTGCGCCGGGGGAAGAGCTACCGCACGCGGCAGCGCTTCTGCTGCGCCGGCGCCTCGAGCGACGAGTGCAAAGCCACGGAGGTCTTCTGGAACGGCCCCGCGACGACGCTGTCCTGCGAGGCGGCGCCCGTCGCGGGCATGCCCGCCGGCGCGCGGCGCTGCTACCTCAACCAGGACCACCTCGGGCTCCTCGATGGGTTGCCTTTCGCTTGCCACGTGGGCAACTGCGTCGCCGACGGCGACGCCGACGGCGAGGCGCCGATCGCGATCGCCTACCGCGGCTTCGACGGCGCGCCGCAGGCGCGGTCGAGGCCGCAGGTCTACGGCGTCCTCGCCTGCGCGCTGGCGCTCGTCGTCGCGGCGTTCCTGGGGACGGCCGTCCCCCGCGCCCCGAAGCCGTCGAACGCGCCGCCGAGCACCGGCGCGCCGGCGCTCGCGTGGCGCGACGTCGCCTACGCCGCCAAGAACGCGAAGATCCTCGCGGGCGTCTCGGGCTTCGCGGCCGCGGGCGAGGTCACGGCGATTCTCGGACCGAGCGGCGCGGGCCGGCGTCGGCGCGTCGGCGCCTCCGTACCCCTGTGACCCGCGCGCGCTCGTAGGCGCGGGCAAGACGACGCTGCTGCGATGCGTCGGCGGCCGGCTCGATTGCGGCGGCGCCGTCGCGGTCGGCGACCGGGACCTGGCGCCCGCGGAGCTGCGGCGGGCCGTCGCGTTCGTGCCCCAGGACGACGACGGCCTCGTCGAATGGCTCACGGTCGCCGAGCACCTCGCATACCTGAGCATCCTGCGCAGGGCCGCCCCGGGCCGCCGCGACGCCCTCCTCGACGGCCTGGGCCTCCGGGACTGCGCGGACCGCCGCATCGGCGCGCGGCCGGCCGTCGGCGGCGACGGCGGCGGCGCCGACGGCGGCCGGGGCGTCTCCGGCGGCGAGGCGCGGCGCGTCAGCGTGGCCGCGGCGTTGCTCGGCGACCCGCTGGCCCTCCTCCTCGACGAGCCGACGAGCCGCCTCGACGGCGCGACGGCGCTGGGCCTCGCTCGGACGCTCGGCGCCGCCGCGGCGGGCTCCTACGGCGGCGGCGCGCCCGTCGTCGTCCTCGCGTCGTTCCACCAGCCGCGGCGGCGCGCGTTCGAGGACTGCTTCGGGCGCGTGCTGGTGCTCTGCGGCGGCCGCGTCGCCTTCGCCGGGACGGCGGGCCGCGCCGCGGAACTCGGGCGGGCGCTCGGCGGCGCCGCGAACCCCGCGGACGCGCTGGTAGACGCCGCGGGGCGGCTCCACCGCGAGGGCGACGACGCGCCCGCGCCGGAGCCCTTCGACGCGGCGCGCCTCTTCCGGCCCGTGGCCGCGCCGCGCCAGGTCCTCGTGCTCGCGTCGCGGCGGCTCGTGATCGCGCGGCGCGCGCCGGCGCTCGCGCTCGCAAATTTCTTCGGCGCGGGCGCGTGCGGCGTCGCGGTCGGCGCCATCGCCGGCGACCTCGCCCACGACCTCGGCGGCGTCCAGCGGCGCCTGGGCCTCATTTTTTTTTCGCTCCTGGCGCTCCTGCTCCTCTCGCTCTCGGCGCTGCGGGCGTTCCGCGACGACGCGCGGTGCTCGGGCGACGAGCGCGCGGCGGCGCTCTACGCGGCGTCGTCCCGCTTTGTGGCCGCCGTCGCCGTCGACGCGGCGGTTTTGAGAGTTGCGCCGGCGCTGCTCCTCGCGGGCGTCGCCTACGGCGCCGCGGGCCTCCGGCCGCGCTGCGCGGGCGCGTGCGTCTTCCGCTACGCCGCGGCGCTCGCGCTCACGTCCGTCGCCGGCGCGCTGGCCTGCGTCGCCGTCGCCGCCGTCGGGCTCGGCGGCGACGCGTCGAGCGCCGTCGCGGCGACGGCCGTGCTCGCCATGGCGCTCTTCGGGGGGCTGGCCACGGACGTCGACTCCGAGGCGACGGGTCTGGCGACGGGCGCGTCGCGGATCGACCCGTTCTACTGGGCCTACCGCGCCGCGGTCGTGGGGGAATTCGCCGGCGCGCGCGACGCCGACGGCGTCGAGGAGCGCTACGTCATCGACACGCACGGCTGCGACCTCGGCTTCCCGGCCTTCGACGTGTCCGCGACGACGGTCCTCGAGACGCTGGACCTGCCGACGCGCGCGGCCGCCGCGGACGCCGCGGTCGCGAATTTGTGTCTGGTCGTCCTGGGGTTCCTCGGCGTCGCGTTCGTCGCCCAGGTCTTCGGCGACGCCGCGCGGCTGCCCGCGGCCTTCGCGGGCCGTCCGGCCGACGGGACGCGCCCGCAAAAGGTCGGGCGCGCGTCGTTCGCGGCCAAGGAGTGCCCCGAGCTCGCCGACGACGACGGCGACTCCGACGACGACGCGGCGGCGCTCGCCGTCGCGCCCGCGCACGTCGGCTGCGAGGACGTCGCGTACGCCCTCAAAGACGCTACCCGGATCCTCGAGCGCTGCGAGTTCTTCGCCGACGCGAAATCGTTCACGGGCCTCGTCGGCCCGTCGGGCGCGGGGAAGACGACGCTCCTCGAGATCGTCGCGGGCCGCCTCGCGGCGCCGCGCGGCGCGGCGCTCTCCGGCACCGTGCGGCTCCGCGGCGAGACGGCCGCCGGCGACGGCGCGCGCCGGCGCGCCGCGTCGACCTTCGCGGGCCAGGACGACGTCGGCGACGGCTGGCTCTCGCCGCGGGCGACGCTCGAGTTCCACGGCGCGCTCCGCCTGCCGCGGGCCTGGGCGCGCGAGCGGAAGCGGCGGCGCGCGGGCCGGCTCCTGGACCGCCTCGGCTTCGACGGCCGCGCGAGGGACGCGGCGCTCCGCGACTGCAGCGGCGGCGCGAGGCGGCGCGTCGGTCTCGGCGTCGCGCTGCTGCGGCCCAAGGCGGCGCTCTTCGCGGACGAGCCGACGACGGGGCTCGACGCCGCGTCCGCGCTCCGCGTCGCGGCGCTGCTCCGGCGCTGCGCGGGCCGCGGCTTCACGGTCATCGCGGTCCTGCACCAGCCGCGCGCCGAGATCGTCGACGCGCTCGACGCCGTGCTCCTATTGCACCGGGGCCGCGTCGCGTTCGCAGGGCCGCCGAAGGACGTGCTCGAGAGGTTCCGCGCGCCGGGCGGCAACGCCGTGGACCTGCTGCTCGACAACCTCAAGGGCGACGGCGACCTCGCCCTGCGGAGAAGGGAAGACGACGACGCGGCCGTGGAGATCCTCGTCGACGGCGGCGGCGGCGGGCCCGCGGCCGCGGAGGACGTCATCTCCGAGCCGCCGCCCTCGCTCGCGCCGCCGGGGCTCGCCGGCCAGTGCGCCGTGCTCTGCCGCCGCGAGCTCCGGGACGCGCGGCGGGACCCCGCGGGCGTTCTGTCGCACGCGGCGCCCATGGCGCTCCTCGGCGGCCTCGTCGCGCTCGCCTACGGCGACCTGCCGTCGCGCAACGACTCGTCGGCGGGCATCGTCGACCGCTACGGCCTCGCGTTCCTGTTGGTGAGCGCGGTGGCGCTGTTTTCCCTCTCCGCCGCTCCGAAGGCGCGGCGGGCCGCGCTTCGGGCGCGGCGCGACCGCGACAGCCACGGCGCGGCGCCGGCCTTCGTGGCCGCGGCGTGGGTCGGCGACGCGCTCGTGCTGCGATTGGTCCCGCCTCTCATCCTCGGCGTCGCGGCGGTGTCGACGCGGTGCGCGGCGGCGAGCGGCCGGGAGCTGTCGCTCGTCGCCGCGCTGCTCCAGCTCCACTCTGTGTGGAATTCAAATCTTCAACCCGACTTCAATGTGAGCGTATTCGAATGTTTTGACCCGAGCACTTCCGCTGTGCTTCGAGAACTCGATGAGAGCAATCGATCCGTCCAAAAATCAGCCGAATCGACTTCGATTTGACCGAGCTAGAGAATTCTGAAGTTTGGCCCCGACGTCCCAGCTCACTGGTTGATTTGCACACAGGCTCCACTACGCGCTCGCGGCCGCGGGGCGCTTCCTCGGGGCCGCGGCGCCGTCGGACGGCGCGGCGACGGCGGCCCACGCCGTCGTCGTGCTGCTCGCGCTGCTCCTCAGCGGCTTCTTCGCGCCGCCGGCCTTCGCGCCGCGCGGCTGGGACGCCGCGGCCGCGGCGTTCCCGCCCGGCGCCGCGGCCTACGAGGCCGTCGCCGTGGCCCTCTTCGCCGGCGTCGACGACCTCTTCGTGACGTCGAAGCTGGGGAGCTCGGACGTCAAGGTCGGGCCCTTCGGCGGGTCCGAGATCCTCGACTGCTACGGCTACGGCGGGAGGAGCGACGCGAAGCGCGACCACGCCGTGCTCCTGCTCGCGGGGCTCGTCGCCGACGCCGCGACGCTCGGCGCGTTCCGCGTAAGGATGCTGTGATATTAGGACGAGTCCAGCAGCTTCTTCAGCTCGCCGAAGGTGGCGAACTGGATCGCCGCGCCGGGCCCCGCGCGGAACAGGTAGGGCGCGAGGCCCGCGTAGAGCCGGCGGACCCCGCCCGCGGCGACGAGCCCCCGCGCGGCGCCGACGTAGGTGTCGTAGCGCCCCATCTGGAGCTGGCGGCGCACCGTGTCGTTGGGGTAGAGCAGCACGCCCGCGGCGACGCCCGCCGCGGCGCCGCAGGCGAAGTTGGCCCACCAGACGTCCGCGCCGACGGCCCTGCGCGTCGCGTCGAAGATGCCGAACCGCGCGGCCTCGTGGAACGTGCCCCCGACCATCGTCGGCCGCACGCCGACGTAAAAGGCCGCGACGCCGCGCGTGCGCAGCGTGTGCGATATGGCCTCCGAGGCGCCGCGCTGGCCGCCGTCCGCGGACGTCGCCGAGAGCATGGTCCGCAGCACGTCCAGGGGGTACGTGATCGCGACGGCCGTGAGGCCCGCGAGGCCGCCGGCCGCGGCGCCGACGGGCACGACGTCGCCGGGGAGCGCCGCCAGCAGGCGCGTGTAGTAGTCGTTGCAGCCGAAGACGATGGCCTTGGAGGGAAAGGTGCGCACGCACGCGATGCCGTTGCCGCGCCAGAGGCCCCGCGCGCCCTCGTCGGCTATAATGGCCGCGGCGAGCGCGCCCGCGGACTGGCGCCGCGCCGCCGTCGCCACCTGGGCCGCGATGCGCACGCGCTCCAGCGGCGCGACGGTCGTCTTCGCGACGCAGCCGGCGATGCCGCCGGCCGCGAAGCGGCCGGGGTCGGGCCGCTCGCGGCCCGTGGCGTGCGCGCTCGGCCCCGGGTTGAGCTGCTCCTGGCCCATGGCCCGCGCGCTCGGCAGCGCATCCGAGGCCATGGTTGCGTGTGGCGGCGGCTATCGCAATGGCATGCTGAATCGATCACGAAGTGTGGCTGGGTTGAATAGAATGCCGAGTTTGTGTTGCTGTTGAAGTTTTTGAGTTATTGGCTCTGCGCGCAAGACGACGGTGCCGGCTTTCAGATGCAACAAGAATTTTGCAAATCGGTGGCCATGGCGCCGAGATAGAGCTTGCCAAAGGTGCCCATCACCACTGGCGGAGCCCTCTTTACCATCGATTTTCTCGAAAGCGTATCAAGCCATTCGACTCGGGATCTTAAACAACCCAGCCACAAGTGCGAACGATCGAATCGACTGGGTAGCTGCCTTCACGTTGACCCACGGTTGCACCTTTTAAAACGCGTCGTCCGGGTCGACGACGTAGCGGGAGAGGACCGGCGCGGCGTCGAGGATCTTGTTGCGCTTGAGGACGAGGTCGTCGATCTGGGGCGGGATGCGCTGGCGGAACATCTGCTTGAGCGCGCTGTCCTCCGCGAGGGGCTTCCGGGGCAGCGCGAGGTCCGCGGCGGATTTGCTCCGGTGCTTCCTGCCCGGCGTCTCGGGCTTGTGGAAGCCCGGCCGCGCGAGGCCCGCGACGGCGCCCGGCGGGGGTAGCGTCGAGGGGAACTTGAGCTCGCCCGTCGCGAATTTCGCGACGAACGACGACTCCGCGGACGCGAAGGACCGGTGCCGCTCGCGGTCCCGGGCCACGGCCGACGGCCGGAGCTTGCGCGGGCTCGACGCCGTCGCCGTCGTCGCGGACCGCGAGTCCGTCTCGAGGTCCACGGCCGACGTCGCGCCCGTCGCGGCCGTCGCCGGGCCGACGTCGCCCAAACTCGAGCCGTCGTCGTGCTCGCGCTCGGAGCCGCGGCTCCCGAGCTCGACGCCCACGTCCACGAGGGCCTCGATGCGCCGCTTGTCCACGAGGCGCGCGAGCTTCTGCTGCGCCTTGCGGAAGTCGCGGTCGAGGCGGCTCGCCGTGTGCTGGCTCTTGTCGTCGACGTCGAGGAACTTGTCGCCCGCGCGGTGGCACGACGGCCCCGTGGAGATGGGCGTCGTGTAGGTCTTGGCGAGCGTCGGCCGCGTCTGCACCGTGATTCGACCGCCGCACTCGCGCCGCTTGGGCCAGTGGCCGCCGCGGACGACGTCCTCGGCCTCGCTGAGCTCGTCGTCGTCGCCGCTCTGGCCGCCGAAGCGCGCCGCGCCCGGCCGCCGCTTCTCGGGCCGCGCGACGCGGATCTTGAGCACGGGCTGGGGCCGCGGCTTGACCTCCTTCTGGGGCGCGACGGCCTCCGCGGCGACGTCGCGGAGGTACCGCGTCTCCTCCGTCCGCTGCTTCGCGATGAGGCACGTGAGGAAGTTCTTCACGTCGAGGTCGCAGTCGGGCCGCGAGTTCGCCGTGAAGTAGTGGCGGCTGAGCTGCGTGCTCACCACCGACGCCTTGCGCTCGCGCGGCGGCACGCGGCTGAGCTCGACCTGGGCAGGAAAAGGGTGCGAAATTCTCAATTTCAAAGGCTCCTTTCTCGGCCGATTTCCACTCGTTTCGGCTGATTTTTGGACGAGCGATCATCTCTCGGAGCGCTCTCGACGCGTGGATGTTTTTTCCGGAACGCGCGCGCGCGAAACACTCACATTGAAGCGACATTGAATCACCCTTTTCCTGCCCTGAGCTCGACCGTCGGCGGCGGCTGCACCAAAAGCTGCGGCGGCGGCTTCGTGATCTCGACGACCTCCTCCTCGGAGAAGTTCTCGAACCAGAGGTCGAAGCGCGTGATGGCGTCGGACGTGGGCATCTCGACGATGCACGTGACGTCCTGGGGCTGCTTGAACTCGGACAGGTAGCGCCGCGCGTCGCGCTTCTTCGACACGTTGAAGAGGTCCGCGGGGCCGATGATGGCCTCGACGAGGGCGAACAAGGTCGCCGCGTACTCCTGGGTCGTGAACCCGTCGATCCAGTGGCCCAGGAGCTCGAGCATGGAGTCCGTGAAGACGTCGTAGTCGACGCCCTGCTCGTCCTCGACCATGTGGTCGCTCTCGATGTCCGGCTCGCTCGCGAGCTCGTCGTAGTAGGAGTCGCTCTCCGACGGCGCGCTCTCGGACGTCGGCGGCGACCGGTGCTCCTCCTTCGTGTCGTCGAAGAGCGCGAGCGCCATGCCTGGGCAGCACACGAGTGATTCAACGTCGCTTCAACGTGGGTGTTCCGCGCGCGCGCGTTCCGGAAAACACATCCACGCTTCGAGACCGTTCCGAGAGATGATCGCTCGTCCAAAACTCAGCCGAAACGAGTGGAAAATGGCCGAGATCGGAGCCTTTGAAGTTGGGAAGTTCGCTCTCTTGTGCTGCCCTGCGCCATGCCGACGGCGTCCGTCGAGTAGTGGGGGTTCGGCTCGTCGTCGACGGAGTCGTCGCCGCCGACGTCCTCCGGGTCGACGGGCCACTCGTTCTCCGACCGCGCGACGTCGCGCTCCCAGTCCGCCTTCGCGGACGCGAACGCCTCGTCGGCGTCCATGAGGTTCGGCAGCAGCGCGTAGTGGAGCAGGTAGTTGAAGCGCTCGTAGGCGTAGCGGCTCAACAGACCCGCCCGCGTCTTCGCCATGGCCCCGGACCGCCACAGGAACTCCATGACCGTCTCGAAGTCCTCCGAGCTCTTGACGACCGCCGGCTTGAGCGCCTCGGCCTTTTTCGGTTTTTCGGACATCATGGCCTGCATGGCGTGGGCCTGCATCTGCATGTAGCGCGTGCGCTCGTGGGCCGTGAGCTCCATGCTGTTCTCGCCCTCGGTCATGTACTGGGCCCAGCGGAAGCGCATGATCGCGCGCGCGTGCGGGTCCCGGAGCCGCGCGTGCCGCATCTCCAGCGGGCCCTCGCGGCCCGTGACCGTGCGCATCTTGCGCCAGTGCTTCTTGTTCCGCCGCACGAGCATGGACGCGCGCGTCTTGCGCCGCGTGAAGCCCTCGCTCGACGTCTCGATGCCATCGTCGAGGAGCGTCGGGCTGAGCTTCGTCAGGTGCGCCGCCAAGCCGCCGACGCTGGGGATGGACGTCGGCGGCAGGTTCCGGTCAAAGGTGATGCGCTTGGTCTTGCGGATGCGCCGCCCCGTGTACCCGAAGTTGAGCGCGCCGCCGCCGCCCATGGTTGCGAGAGAGCACACCCTCGGGCCTAGAGGCGCGTTGTTGCCCCTGCGGATACGTGAAGTTAGAAAGCGAGCGTAGCGAGCAACCTCAATTAAACGAGTGGCCGATAGCTCGCGAAGCGAGCTTGCCGGCCGTAGGCCGGCTTGTCTATATTCTATTTTGTAATGTATAGTATGAAACTTTTAATGAGTGGTTTAAAGCGAGCGCAGCGAGCAACCTCAATCAAACGAGTGGCCGATAGCTCGCGAAGCGAGCTTGCCGGCCGTAGGCCGGCTTGTGTGGATTTATTCGGCGACCGGGGTACCTTACTTCACTCCGAAGTTCGGGAAGGCCACAGACACTGGACTCGACTTTGGCACGGAGCCGGCAGCGAACATCTAAAGGCGCGCTGCAACGCTGCTTTAACAGATCCCGCAGCAATGGCGCAATGGCGAACGCCGCGCCAGGCGCCCGGCGCGCCCAACCGACCAACCGCCGACGCGCACCTCGCGGCCCTCCTGGCGTCGCCGCGGGAGGCGCCGCTGGCGGTCTACTCGTCGCGCGTCGTCATCGAGGCGCCCGAGGACTGGGGCCACGACGTCGTCGCCGCCACGGTCGTCGTCGAGGGCGGCCGCGTCGCCGCGGTGCTCCCCGGCCGCCGGGCGGCCGCGCCCGGCTTCGTCGACGTCGACCCGCTCGTCGTGCTCCCGGGCCTCGTCGACGTCGTCGGCGGCGCGTCGTCGGGCCCGCTCGACGCCGCGGCCTGCGCCGCCACGGCCGTCGCCGGCGGCTTCGCCGCCTTCGCGGTCGCGTCGCCGGAGACGGTCCACGGCGCGACGGACTGCGACTACGCGAGCTGCGGGCCGCTCGGGTCCTCCCTGGCGACGGCCGCCCTCACGGACTTTGGCCGCGGCGCCACGACGACGCGCGACGCCTGGCGCGCGGGCGCGACGGCCGGCGTCGTCGTCTGCGACTGCGTGCGGCTGAGCGAAGAGGAGCGGGACCTCGCGAGCCCCTTCTGCCGCCACGAGCCCGAGGCGCGGCTCCGCGCGCCGAGCCCGCTCGCGCGGCTGCCGCTCTGCGCCGTGGACCAGGACCACGGCCGCGCGCGCGCGCCGTCCGTGGAGCGCCACGCGGCGAAGACGCCGCACGACGGGCCCTGGGTCGGCGCGCTGCTCGAGGCGGAGCTGCGGAGCTACGCGTTCGTGTCGTCGCCGAAGACCGACAGCCAGAGCTCGTCGCCGGGCGAGGGCAAGCGGGGCCTCGACTTTTCGGGCGCGGCGGCGTCGCCGCCGAAGCGGCCGCGCGGCCGCGGCGTCGACAGCCCGTCGCGGGGCTCCCTCGGGCCGTCGCCGCCGGCCGACGACCTCGCGCTCATGGCGTCGGCGCTGCGCCTGGAGACGGCGACGGCCGGCGGCGTCGTCGTGCCGTCGCCGTCCTTCGGGCGCCTCGTGCGGTCCGTCGAGGCCTTCGAGGAACCCTCTTCCGCGCTCCGGGGCCGGCGGCCGGCGGAGGCGCGGCCCGCGTCGCCGCGGCTCTCGCGGCTCCGGCCGGGGCCCGTCGCGGTCTACAAGGACGCGGACGCGCTGACGCGGCGCGCGATCCGCCGCGACTACAGCCTGCTGACGCGCGCGCACCCGTCCGAGGCGCAGGCGCGGGGGCTCCGGTGGGTCCTGGGCTGCGGCGGGGGCGCCGACATCCACGTCGCGGCCGTCGGCGCGGACCAGACGCTGCGCATGGTGCGGCGCGCGAAGGGAAACGCGGAGAACGACGTCCGGGTGACCGCCGCGACGACGGGGCTGCACGCCTTGCTCAGCGCCGACGACGTCAGGCCCGGCGCGACGCTCTACAAGGTGCGGCCGCCCATCCGCCACACGGGCCACGGCCGCGCGCTCTGGGGCGCGCTCGACGACGGCGCGCTCGACTGCGTCCACAGCGGCTTCGACCCCGTCGCGCCGCACCTCAAGTGCGCTTTCCGCGGCGACTTCGCGCGCGCGTCGCCGGGCACCTGCGCCTTCGCGAACGCGGACGTGCTCGTCGCGCTCTGGGCGCGGCTCGCGGAGCGCGGCGTCGCCGGCAAGGACGCGCTGGGGCGGGTGGCGTCGTGGCTCGCGCGGAACCCGGCGGACGCGCTCCGCCTGGCCGGCAAGGGCCGCATCGCGCCGGGCCGCGACGCGGACCTCCTGCTCTTCGACGCGGACGGCGCCCACGAGGCGCCGCGCGGCCGGACCGGCCCGGGCATCTACGACGCGTGCCCGAAGCGCGGCAACGTCGCGGCCGTCGTCGTCCGCGGGCGCGTCGTCTTCGCGCGCGGCCGGCGCCGCGACGCCAAGGTCGGGCGCAGGCTGGGGTAAGAGGCTGCGGTGTGTTTTGGTGCAGACAGCGGCGAGCGAGCTGGGACAAGTGCCGGGGCGCCGGCGCCGCGCGTTTTATGTGAAGCGATTCTTGAAGTCGATCCGGAGAGCAAAACTCGCGCCAAGCCGGAGTGCATCCAAACGCGCCGTCGTCGTGGCCTCGTGCACCCACACCCGACGCGTCGTCGTCCGCGTAGAGCTACAGCATCGCGACGCCGCGCCGTCGCGCGACATCATGGGCAAGGTCAAGATTCCCGAGCACCTCGTCAAGGCCGAGGCCTTCGCGGGCACGCTCCTCGCGAAGCCGAAGGCGCCGACGAACGCGGACGTGACGAAGATGTTCCGTTTGATCAAGGAGTGGCCGACGCAGCAGCGGCCGAACGTCGCGCCCGGCGGCTACAGCAACCCGGTCGTCGAGGGCATGGTCCTGGGCCTCTGCCCGAACCGGTCCGGCGGCTGCTCCGTCGCGCAGGCGAGCCAGCAGTGCCCGCAGCTCACCAAGGTCGTCACGCGGTGGGCCGCGGCGACGCTCCCCGACGCCAAGTTCCGCTACGGTTCCATCCAGGTCAACTACAACTACCGCGCGCGGAAGCACATCGACCAGAACAACCTCGGCCCGTCGTTCATCACGTCGCTCGGCGACCACACGGGCGGCGAGCTCTGGACGGGCGACCGCGGCGTCCTCGACTGCCACGGCTGCTGGAAGCTCTTCGACGGCAACACGGAGCACATGACGCAGCCCTACGAGGGCCGGGACCGCTACTCCTTCATCCTCTTCACGCCGGACAAGTACAACCGCCTGACGTCCGCCGTCTGCAAGACGGCGAAGGACCTCGGCGTGACCGCGGCGACGACGGACGGCGCGGACGACGCCTACTTCTCGAACTTCCGCGACCTCGGCGACGTCGACGAGGACGCGCACGTCGCCTTCACGGAGCAGCACCACGCGGAGAACCCGCCGTCCTTCGGGTCCGGCGCGCTGTCCGTCGAGACGAACGGCTACGCCGCGGGGCGCGGCTGGGGCTGGATCGCGTGGCAGACGGACAAGCTCGGCAAGGACAAGGTCCACGTCGAGAAGTTCAAGAAGAACGCGACGGGCATCCACGTCGTCGAGTTGGAGGTCGCGCCGCCGGCGAAGCCGCACCACGTCGTCACCTTCGACCTCGTCGAGGTCCACCGCTTCAACCTCTACCAGGACACGGACCGGGAGACGGCGCGCTTCGCCAAGTGGGTCGACAAGCTGCCGGCGAACCGCGTCGTCGGCGTCTGCATCACGGACACGGCCATGGCGAAGACGCGGCCGCTGTCGAAGCAGGTCTACGACACGTTCCGCCTCCTCGGCGCGCCGGACTCGCTCACGCTCATCGGCTACCGCGAGCCCTTCGCATTCCTCGGCTGGAAGGGCGCGCCCAAGGGCGCCGCGGCCCTCGCCCAGGACGCGAAGAAGCAGTCCAAGGAGCTCCTCCGCCTCGACGCGGTCCTCGCCACCGACGCGGCCGGCCGCCTCTCGATGACGCACACGAGCTCACAGCTCAAGCTCCTCGAGAAGCTCGACGAGGCCGCGGACCGCGAGAACACGGCGCCGCCCAAGAAGAAGGCGAAGAGCGCGTAAAGGGAGCTGCAAGCGGGTTGGAGTCGTGCGAGGGTAGCTCAGTGAAGTGATCAAAACTCGGATTCTGATAGCCTGGATTTAAAAGTCAACATTTTTGTTGAACTTCAGCACTTTTGTTGAAGTTAATTCTTGCGATTTCTTGACCCGAACCAGCGACCGCGCGCAAAAAGTCTTCGCAAACGTGCAATCAACGCGTGAGTATCATCAAGCTTGCTTTGATACGACCATTTAACCAATTTTGGCCGTGATTTCAGCCCGCGGACCTCCGCGACACCGCGCCCGCGCGCGCGGTCGACGCACAGCCTCTATGGAGGACTAATGACTCTGGCTCCGCCGGCCGGAATTCGATGATTGATCTTTATTAATTAATTTCCTATGGGCGTGTCTAGATGTACGTTGATCACTTCACTGGGGTAGCTACAGTAAAATTTCCACAAGTTCGGCGAGCCTTGGCAGACTACTACACGCACCTCGCGCAGGTCGACGAGACGCCACGCCACGTCCAGGCTCTCGAGGCCCTAAAGCGCCCGCGAGAGGTGCCCTTTGAACTGAACCCCTCGACAATCGATGGTGATGCGATGGCTGGTGCCCTTGGTGGCGCTCGATTTGATGCCGGGAGCGAGCGAAACGTTGGAATGCGACGCGTCCGGATGGCTCGACGCCGAAGGCATGAATAGGATGACCGCTTCGGGCGAGACTTCGATCGTGCGCTTCGACCGGCCGCCCTGCGCCGTCTGCGCGGAGCTCGACCCCCTGTTTGAAATTATGCGGACGCACTTCCCCGGCCGCGTGTGGCGCGTCGACTGCGCCGCGGCGCCCGGTCTCTGCGCGCCGGTCGACGGAGATCTCCGAGGGCCGGAGATCCGCGCGTGGACGGGCGAGGCGTTCGCGGCGTACGGCGGCGAGCGCAGCGCCGAGGCGCTCGTCGCGTGGGCGAAGCTCGTCCTCGCGCCGCCGCCGAAGACGGAGAATTTCGCCGCCGCGGACTTCGATCCCCGCGGCGACGACGACGCCGCCGCGACGCTCGCGCTGGAGCCGGGGCGGCTGCAGGCCTGGCCGGGGCGCCCGCTGCCCACGCGGGTCTTCGTTCCCCGAACGAAGGCCGGCAAGCGCCCGATCCTCGTGTACCTCCACGGCACGCCGCACCCGGGCGCCCGCTTCGACGATCCCGGCGGCGGGGGGGGATCGTCGCTTCTCCGAGCGAAAGGTTTCGTCGCGAAGCTCGCGACGAACGCGACCTTCGCCGCGAAATTTCCCTTCGTCGCGATCGTGCCGTGCTCGGGCTGCCACGCCGACGGCACGTACGCGCCGCGCCCGCGCGGCGGTCCGCCGGCCGCGGGAAGCTACGGCTGGGTCCCCGACAACTTCGCGCGGATCGACGCGATCGTCGCCGCGGCCGCGCGCCACCTCGGCGGCGACCCCGCGCGCGTGCTGCTCACGGGCCAGTCGTACGGCGGCCGCGGCGTCTGGGCCTACGCGGCGGCGCGGCCCTCGACCTTCGCCGCCGTCGCGCCGATCTGCGCGTCCAGCGGCCCGACGGCGCCGCTCGTCGCGGGGCTCTGCTGCGGCGACGCCGCCTGCTGCCCGCACGTCTGGGCCTTCCACGGGGCGAACGACGTCCGCGCCGACGTCGCGAACACGGACGCGTGGGTCGAGGCGCTCCGCGCGGACCCGCGGCGCCCGCCGTCCCAGGAGGTCCGCTACGCGCGCTACGACCCGGCGCCGCCCCTCGACGGGCCGTGGGAGGGCCACGGCGCCGACGGTCTCGCCTACGACGACGACGACTTCTGGGCCTGGCTCGCCGCCCGCGAGTGCCCCGTGTGCGCCGCGGACGGGCCCTTCGCCGGCGTCGGGTAAGGAGATCCATCCGGAGGACACGCACAGGGGGCGTTCTTAGGGATGATGTTCAGAGATGCGCGCCGAGGACGGCCGCGAGCGCCGACTTGCGGTCGAAGGGCGCCGCGGCGTGCCAGGCGTCGAGGAGCTCGTCGCCGAGGCCGTCCCAGGACTGGACGGCGCCCGGCGCCGCGGCGACGATGTAGATCTCGTCCGGGTCGCGCGAGAAGCGGACGCAGCCCTTGGCGGAGTCGCGGCCGTCGAACATGGCGTTGCAGGTGGCGACGAGCTCGAGGGCCTCGGACCGGAAGTCGCCGAAGGACGACGGCGAGGTCTGCGACGACGTCGAGCTCCAGGACCCCCGCCGCGAGTAGGAGCCGTCGCCCGCGGGCTCCGTCGCCCAGTGCCGGGGCTGCTGCCCCGCGGCGTCCGGGCTCCAGGGCACGTAGTGCGTGCGCGCCGCGAAGGCGTGCGCGAACTCGCCCGTGGAGAAGTAGATCGTGGGCACGAGGCCGTAGGGCGGCGGCGCGAGGGGCAGCTTAGCGTTCTTGTTCTTGCGGGGGCGGTAGCGGCGCTTCTTCTTCTTCTTGAGCGGCAGGGGCTGCGGTTCCATCGGTGTCGCGGTCGCGTCCGACGTTTCGGGCGGCGCGAGCATGGACATGCGTGCTGGCGGGGCAGCCTTTGCTCGCTGCGATGCACGTGCCGCGCGAGAGAGCTGGTGATCGAGCGCTTCCACAAAAATGTGTGTTCGAAGGTCTGATGGAGTCGGCAACGTTGGCGGCATGAACGACCAGTTTAGCACGCTCTTATTGGCTGTGGCAACTGAGACGCCCATTCTTAACCTTCGGCGCCGCATCCTCTCGCCCGCGCCCCCGCTCCGCACCCGCTCGCGCCCCCAGCCCTCGAACCACCTCATCATGGACCCGCGCACGGCCACGGACTACAGCCTCGCGTCCCCGCTCGACGTCGACGAGGACGGCTCCTTCACGATCAACCAGCTGAAGCGGGGGTCCTCCGACGCGCCCTTCGAGCGCTTCTCCGAGACCGTGCGCGAGTACGTCGCCCTCTTCCTCTCCTCGACCTTCCTCATCGCCTTCATGGCCTTTGTGATCGCGATCTGCGCCATGGACAAGGTCAACAAGATGGGCGGCGGCGGCCCGCACGGCCCCGACGACCACTGGAAGATGCGATGCCAAAACCTGGGCACCGCGACCTACGGCGACGACGTCTTCTCCTACGGCGGCCACCACTACCAGGTCGTCGGCGGCCACTGGGCGAAGCTGACCTGGCGCATGGCCGAGATGGACGCCTGGAGCCGCTGCTACAAGGGCAAGGTCGGCAAGTTGGCCATGGTCAACTCCGCGGAGGAGAACGAGATGCTCGTGGCCAAGCTCCACGCGCACGGCGGCTACTCGTCGGTCGGGGGGGGCGACGCCGCCTGGCTCGGCGGCGCGGACCTCGAGACCGAGGGCACGTGGCAGTGGCTCGGCGATTCGGGGTCCTACGCGGGCGAGACGTTCCTGAAGGGCAACGTGCCTTACAAGGGCGCCTACAACAACTTCCGGGCCGGCGAGCCCAACAACAACGGCGAGGAGGACTGCCTCAAGATGGACCCCGACGGCCAGTGGGTCGACGACTCCTGCTACAAGCAGTACCAGTACTTCTTCGTCGAGTTCGAGAAGTAGGGGCTCCCGCGTGTGCATTTTAAAATCCGAAGCCACTCTAGGGCCGCTTCGCCTTGTTCCCGTCGGCGCGCTCCGGCGAGACCTCCCGCGCCGCCGCGTCGGCGAGCTGGTCCTGCGACTTGCGCAGGGACGGGTGGAGCTTGGACATCTTCGGCGGCTCGTAGTCGCGGTACCACCCGAAGGCGATGTCCCAGAACATGGTGTACTGGCCGTAGTTGGACCGGGGCCAGCGGTGGTGGACGTCGTGGTTGCGCACGTCGTAGAAGTAGGGGATGCGCAGCGCGAGGCGCGTGTGGTTCAGCGACGCCAGCACCCCCCCCACGACGATGAACGTCAGCACCGCGGCGACGTGGCAGGGCACGAGCCAGACCACAAAGTAGTGGTTGTACTCGCCCACGAGGAACTCGAAGGGGTGGACGTTGATCGCGTCGTAGTTGCCGCGCGTCGGCGAGATCTGGCGGTGGTGGTGCTTGTGCACGTATTTGTAGAGCGTCGGCCAGTGGAGCAGCCAGTGGAAGGTCGCGTAGGTCAGGTCGTAGATGAAGAAGAAGGCCGCGAGGGCGCCGACCGTGTTGAGGAACGTGAGCTCCGACGGGGCCCACTTGACGTGGTCCGCCGTGAGCACGAGCTGCGCGAGGTGGTATACGAAGACGACGGTCAGCGCCTTGTTGCACCCGATGAAGGCCTTGTCGACGGTCTCCAGCTCGTCGAGGTGCATGTTCGGGTTGTAGGGGAGCGGCTTCTTCGTCTCGTCGCGCTTCAGGACGACCTCGACGCCCTCGCTCACGAGGTGGCTCAGCAGTTCCATGCCCCCGGAGATGAGCAGCGCGAAGACGACCATGGCGGCGTAGGCCGGCGTCTCGGCGTGCGTCTCCGGGTCCACGTGCCAGAACGGCGACCACGCCGGCATCGTCGCGTTGTTCATGATTCGGGGCCGCGCGACGACGAAACAAGGCCGCAGGCAGTGGGCCAAACCACGCCAGTCGACGCTGCTCGATCAACCTGCTCAGGGATACGTCGAGTTGGCCGCTCGAACCGCCCGGGCGCAACCGCGTTGATCGGCGCCGGCACCAGCTCGCGCGGCGCGGCATGGACCCCTTCCCCGTCCACTCGCTGGCCCTCGAGGCGCTCCAGCGCGACCATGACCGGGCGCGTCGCCCCGCGTCCCCCAAAAACAGCAGCCCCGGTTTCGGAACGCGCGCGCCGTAGGTCATGGGCCGGCGCCAGCGCAACGAGGAGCGGACGAAGCGGTTCCAGGAGCACCGCGTGACGCGGGGCGTCGACGTCGCGACGCTGGACATGCAGGTTAAGGACAACCAGCGGAAGAAGGACGACGACGCCGACCTCGACAAGCAGTACGCGGACATGGCGGCCAAGGTGTCGCTCATCGTCGAGGAGCGGCGCCTCGCGGACGAGGAGGAGCGCCTCGGCGAGCTGCGGCGCCTCAAGGAGGACTGGGACGAGCACGCCGCCCTGCCGAAGAACAACTCCGTGAAGATCGCCGCGCCCATCGACATGGACACCGCGGGCTTGGCCTCGGCGCAGCGGCTCCTCGGCGAGGACCGCGACGCGGGCAAGCGCAAGTCGCGCCAGGCGGCGCAGATGCGGTCCTGGACCCTGGAGCAGATGGAGCTCAAGAAGCAGGGCCAGCGCGTCCTCGACGACGAGGACGAGCGCTTCGCCGCGTGGGAGAAGCACGTCCTCGCGCAGCGGACGAAGATCGAGCGGGAGCAGCGCGTCGAGGCCAAGATGGCGGAGCAGGACCTGCGCGCCTACCGCGGCGTCCAGGCCGCCGAGCGCCGGGGCAAGGAGGCGGACCAGCGCGCCAACGAGGCGAAGATGGACGCCGACGAGATCGAGCGGAATCTCGCGGACCCCGTGCTCGCGGAGTCGCGGTCGCTCCTCGGCGACGGCCGCGTCCGCACGGACCACTTCCGCGGCTTCACCAAGGGCCAGATCAAGCGGGTCTACAAGGAGAACGAGGCCATCCAGAAGTACCGCGACGACGCCGCCCTCGCGCGCAAGGCCGACGACGCGGCCTACGACGACGACGTCGCGAACGTCCAGACGCTCGTGACGGCCGCGGACTACCAGGTCCAGGAGGCGAAGCGCCACGAGCTCATGATGCTCAAGGAGGACCTCGAGAAGCAGCGCTTCGTCGAGCGCCAGCGCAAGGTCGACGAGCGCGAGGAGGCCTTCGGCAGCATCGGCGAGGGCGTCCTCTCGGGCTTCGGGAGCTCCTACCGGTGAGCACCGGCCACCCCCGCGTCTCTCTGCCCCCGATGCCGGGTAAGGCGCCATCCACCAAAAATGCTTACGCGTCGGGCGCGAGGAGCGGGCCCGCGAGGTCGTCCCGGGCGACGCGCGCGCGCGACGTCGTCAGCGCGAGGCCGAGGCCCGAGGCCAAGACGATCGCGGCGCCGGCGGAGAAGGGCCGCGCGACGGCGCCCGCGGCCGTCGCCGCCGGGTCGTAGAGCCGCGGCCCGAGGAGGCAGCCCAGCGCGCCGCCGACGTAGCCGCAGAGCTGGCACGCGGCCTGGACGATGCCCTGGTCCTCGCGCGCGACGTCCGCGCCGATGACGGCGGAAGACGCCGTCGTGACGACGCCGAGGCCCGCGCCCAGGCACGACAGCGTGCCCCAGAGCGCGCCCGGCCACTTCGGCGCGCCAAAACCCGTCGCCGCGACGGACGCCGCGAGGAGGCCGTTGCCCGCGACGAGCGCCGCGTCCGTCGAGTAGTCCCGGAGCGCGCCGCCCATCAAAAATCCGAGCGCCGCGCCGACCTGCTGCGCGAAGACGACGAGGCTCAGCGTCTCCTGCTCGTAGCCCAGATTGGAAATGCCCCAGGACGTGACGACGCTCAGGGGAGTAAGTAAACCCATTGTCGTCAGCGCGAAGGCCGCGACGACGCGCCGGAGCCTCCGCGACCGCGCGACGATCGCCAAACCGCGGACGCCGAGGCGGCACCGCGCCTTCGCCGGCGCCGCGGGCAGCGTCTCGCGGAGCACCGCCGTCGACGCGAGGCACGCCAGCAGCGCGACGCCCGCCGCCGCGAAGTAGCAGAACGAGTAGTCCTCGAGGTCGAGGCCGAGGACGAAGAACCCGGAGCCGTACGCGAGCACCGTCCCCAGCCCCCAGCCGCACCACTTGATCGCGAACACGACGCTCTGCGAGCCCTGGTCCTTCGGCGCCAGGTCGCTCGCCGACGCCGACATGGCCGCCGTCGTGCCCGACGTCGACGCCATGAGCACGTACGCGACCAGCGAGACGGCGACGGCCGCGCCGCGGTCGCCGCGGTCGCCGAGCCTCGCGGCCGCGCCCAGAATCGCCAGCCCCAGGCTCAGGCCCGCCAGGCTCCGCGTCGCGACGTACTTGCGGCCCACGGCGTCGATGGAGGGCGCCCAGCAGAGCATCGCGACGCAGTTGCCCGCGACGACGAGCGACATCGCGAGGCCCGAGAGCTTCGCGCCGCGCGCGAGCACGACGTCGCGGTCGCCGCAGTGCGCGCTCCCGGACCAGGCGTCGTCGTCGCCGTCGTCGCCGCAGAAGGTCAGGCTGCGCAAATAGGGGGCGTGCGTCGTCGCCACGGCGAAGGCGAAGAGGCCCTCGTCGCAGAGGGAGATGCCCACGACGCCTTTGAGGCGCGCGGCGGCGCTCCGAAGCGTGAGCGGCGGCGACGCGTCGGCGACGTCGGAGTAAGGAAGGACGCGAGGCTGGAACCCGGGCTCCATGGTGCGCGAGGCGCTGACGACGGGCTTCACCACACTGGTGAAGCTTTCGCAGCAAGGCGGGTGCAATTTGCCTTCAACAAATTGGTCAACATCGTCAACTCGATGGAGAGCCCACGAGCCTCGATTTGATCGCAGCCCTCGACGATAAGACGCAGCCCTCGATCGAGGTAGCCCACTGATTGGCAGCCCGAAGCATCGAGAGAGCAGCCCATTCATGGCCATCGACGAGGCGCTGCAAGTCCGCGATGCCTTGTCGCAGTCCACGGCCTCCGGCGACGCCATCGTCGCCGTCTACAAGGATGCCGTGGCGTCGCTGGAGGCGCGCGTCGCCGGCGCGGCGCCCGCCGCCGCGGCGAAGCGACGGAAGCCCAAGAAGCCGCGCGGCGCCTGGGGCGCGCACCCGCCCATGGTCTGGTTCTGCGACCGGCGGCCCGCGCGCTTCGCGTCGGCGCGTCGCGTCGTCGTCGCCGGCAGGAGCGGCGCCATCGTGCGCGAGACCGAGGACCTCGCGAGCGCCGTCGTCGTCGTGCTGCCGCGGGGCGTCGAGGCCTCGGCCGTCGGGTCCGCCGTCGTCGGCGGCGGCGAGCGCCTCGAGCTGTCGGCGCCCGTCGCGGGCTGGGCGTCGCGGAAAGTATTGCGGGACTGCGGCGCGAGCGACGGCCCGCGGACGACGGTCTGGCGGCCCGGGGGCGACGACGTGTCGGACGGCGAGACGCCCGGGGAGGAAGCGCCCTGGGTCGCGGGCCGCGACTTCTTCGAGATCGGCGACGCGGACGGCGGGTTTCTCGGGAGGAAGGGCGTCGTCGGCACGCGCTTCGACGGCGAGAACGCAAGGGCCGCGGTCTACGGCCTGTCGCGCCGCGTCTTCGACGGTCGCCGAACCCCGCGACACGAGGCCGTCGCCGGCGTGCCCGGCGCCGTCTTCGCGCGCGGCGTGCTCTCCGCCGCGGAGTGCCGCCGGCTCGCGGCCGCGTGCTCGGCCATGGGCTTCGAAGGGGACGCGGGCGTGGGCGCGCGCGTCTTCGCGGCGGACGCGCGCGCCGTCGACGAGCTCTCCGCGCGCCTCGCGCCCGTGCTCCCGGCGACCGTCGACGGCGGCGCCTACCGCGGCGTCTCGGCGCTGCTCCGGGCCTACCGGTACCGCGGCGGCGGGTCGATGCGCGCGCACTACGACGACGCGTCGCCGCTCCGGTCGCTGGACGGCGGCGCGCTCGTCGACGGCGACGCGACGTCGAAGCTCAGCGTGCTGCTCTACGTGGCCGCGCCGCCGCCGCCGCCGGACGGCGCGCTCCCGGGCGGCGCGACGCGGTTCCACGCGCCCGCGGGCGCCGTCGCGGTGCCGGCCGCCCGCGGCGCCGCGCTCTGCTTCCCGCACGCCGGCGCGGCGTCGCCCCTCCACGAGGGCATGCCCCTCGACCCCGGCACGGAGAAGCTCGTGCTGCGCGCCGACGCGTGCTACGGGTAAACAAGTGTAGGTTGACGGTGACTTGCACTTCTCAAGAGGTCTTGATTCTGCGCGACTTCTCGGGCTGGCCGCTTCCTGCGGCACGTCGAGCGCGTCGTTCGCAAGGAGCAGAGCGCGTTTCGCGACATCTCGTGCTCGAGCTACCTCGGCCTGCCTCCCTGCGGCGCGTCTTGCGCGACGTTCGCAGCGGCAGCATGCCCGAGTTCTACAAGCGGCCGCTGCCCGACTCGTGCGTCGCGTTCGACTCGAAAGAAGGCCGCGCCCACTTCGAGAGCGCGCTGTCCTCCGGCGGCCTCGAGAACTTCTTCGTGCTGGCTCCCCAGTTTCAAACGCAGAACGAGCCCGCCTTCTGCGGCCTCGCGACGCTGGCGATGGCGCTGAACGCGCTCCAGGTCGACCCGGGCCGCGTCTGGAAGGGCGTCTGGAGGTGGTACGACGAGAGCCTGTTGTCGTGCTGCAAGCCGCTCGTCGACGTCGAGAAGGAGGGCATCGTCCTCGAGGAGTTCGTGTGCCTCGCGCGATGCAACGGCCTGGAGGCGGCGCTCGCGCGGCCCGACGCCGGCGGCTTCCCCGTGGCCGCGTTCCGCGACGCCGTCGCGGACGCGTGCGCGCGGACCGACGTCGTCCTCGCCGCGAGCTACAGCCGGAAGACGCTCGGGCAGACGGGCGACGGCCACTTCTCCTGCGTCGGCGGCTACGACCGCGCCTCGGACGCGGTGCTCCTGTTGGACGTGGCCCGCTTCAAGTACCCGCCGCACTGGGTGCCGCTCCCGCTCCTCCTCGACGCGATGGGCCGGCCGGACGCGGCGACGGGCCGGCCGCGCGGCTGGATCCGGCTGACGCGCGCCGCCGAGGCGTGGGACTGCCCGGGCTGCGAGAGGACCAAGGCCGCGACGATCCTCGACCGCGTCACCGCGGGCGAGGCCGCGAAGCACACGGGCCTCTCCGCCGGCGCGCCGCGCGCCGAGCGCCCGTCGGCGCTCCGCCTCGCGGCCGCCGCCGTGCCGCTCGCGCTGATGGTCGCGTGGCGCGCCCGACGAGGCCGGTAAGGCGTGTGTGGTAGGCCTCGTGGTCAGGCGTGATCCGGACGGCGCATCCCTGTGCATCATCTTGCAGGCCGGCCTGCCGGCCTCCGGGGCATCGTCGGCGACGTTGCCACACCGATCACCGAGGCGGCCGCTCCGACCTCGACGCATCTCGCGACGTCCGTCGCGTGCGGCGCGGCGCGTCGTCCACCCTGGCGGAGAAGGTGTGCCCAGTGGCCGGGGGCTCCTTGGAAAACCGGCGCCGGCCCCGCGGCGCCAAGGGCGACCCGGCCTACGACCTGCTGAGCGTCGCCTTACGCCACGAGAAGAGCGGCATGGCGCCCCCGCTCTTCGGCACGTCGGCCGACGCGCGGTTCTGGCTCTGCCTCGACTGCTGCGGCCTGTCCTGCGCCTGCGCGTCGCAGGCCATCATCCTGAGCTCCATGTACGCCGTGTCCGGCGACTTGGCCGCGCACGGCGGCGGCGGGTGGGCGACGCCGCTGAACCTGGCGGCCTTCAACGCCGTCGGGCTGTTGGCGTCCGTGAGCCACCTGCGGGCCATGCTCAGCGACCCCGGCGCCGTGCCGAAGCGGGCGACGCCCCTCGCGCGCGACGAGGAGCGCGCGCGGCTCGCGGCGTCGGCGGCGAGCGGCTACCGGACGCGCGCCAAGGGCTGGTGCCACCGCTGCTGCAGCTACAAGCCGCCGCGGGCCCACCACGACAGCGTCACGAACCGCTGCATCGTGAAGATGGACCACTACTGCCCCTGGACGAACAACGCGATCGGCGTGCGGAACCACAAGTTCTTCATCCTCTTCATCCTCTACACGTTCCTCCTCTGCGCCTACGCGCTGCTGATCCTCTTCTCGCTGGCCATGGAGGCCGGCGGGCCCGCGGGGTCCGCGCGGAGCCGGCGGCGCCGGCGCCGCGGCGACGACGCGGCCGCCGCGGCCGCGGCCGCGCGGCTCCCCCCGAAGTTCGAGCTCGCGAAGCTGTCGACGATCGCCGTGACCTTCGCGGCGCTGCTCTTCGGCCTCTTCACGGCCTGCATGCTCGGCGACCAGTGGTCCGTGCTCCGCACGAACGTGGCCAAGATCGACCGGCTCAAGGGCGAGGAGACGGAGTGCGCGTCCGACGTCAACGAGGTCTTCGGCGGCCGGAGCCGCGGCTTCCGCGCCGACTGGCTCGTCCCGACGAAGCCCCTCTTCCCGCCGTCCGTCCACGACGAGGTCATGGGCTACCACGTCGCCAACGGCCTCGACGACGACCTCGAGGGCGGCGCGACGGGCGAGAACGGCCTCGGGCTCGAGGACGACGTCCGCGCGCTCCACGCGGACGAGAAGGTCGAGCTCCTCCTCGACGACCACATGCCCACGAGCGCGACGAAGTCGGCGGCCGACGAGGTCCGCTCGCGCGCCAAGCCGACCGTCGTCTAACCTCTTACAGCGCGCCTAGCGGCGGCTCCGGTCGCGGCTCCGGCTCCGGGACCAGCGGCTCCGGTCGTAGGTCCGGTCGTCGCGCCGGTCCCGCGACGGCGCGTCGCGGCCGCGCGCGTCGCGGCCGTGGGTCCGGTCGTCGCGGCGGGGCGGCTCGGAGCTCCGGCCGTCGCGCCGGTCCCGCGGCGGCGCGGCGCGGCGCGCGTCGCGCGCGTCGAGCTCGCGGCGGTAGTCCGCGACCTGGCTCCGCCCAAAGTCGCCGGGCCCGTAGTGGCCCGGGTCCTCCGCGGGCGCGTTCGCCGCCTTGTGCCGGTCCCGGAGCTTCTTCGCCGCGCCGCCCTTGTACTGCATCGTGTAGCGGCTCCAGATCTTCGCCACGGACTGGGAGAAGTCGACGCGGATGCGCGAGTCGTCGATGAGCACGTTGTTCATCTTCTTGTAGGCCTCGACGCAGGCCTTCTCCTCTTCAAAGGCGATGAACGCGAAGTTGAGGCTGTCGCCCGTCTTCCAGTCCCTCACGATGTCGCAGGACTCGATCTTGCCGAAGCGGCTGAAGATGATCTCGAGGTCCGCGTCCTCCGTGACCTTGTTGAGCTTGGCGATGAAGAGCTCCGTCTTGGGAACTTCCACGTCCGCGTGCGGCAGGTCGCCGATCATCTCGAGCACCTCGGCCTGGGACTTGGCCTTCTTCTCCGCGTCGCGCGCCGCGCGCTCGCCGGGCGTCAGGCCGTCCTCGGGCTCGCGCGACGCCGCGCCGTAGGCGACGCGCGCCGTGAGGACCTCGCGTTCCGGGATCTCGCGCGTCGGCGACGGCGGCGGCCGGTAGTCCGGCGGCGGCGGGAACGAGTGTTCGAAGGGGTCCTCGAGGACGTGCGTGTGGAGCACGCGCACGTCCTCCCAGGGCCGCCCGTTGCCGTCGAGGTAGAGCGCGCCGAGCTTCTGGAGCACGTCCATGCCCTCGGCGACCTCGCCGACGGGCACGTGGCCGCCCGCGTCGAGGTGCTCGAGGTCGTCGCCGCGCAGCGTGAAGAAGAACTGGGACCCGTAGAACTTGTCCTCGCCGCTCGCGCCGCCGGCGCTGCCCATGGCCGCCGCGCAGAGCAGGCCCGCGCGGTCGTGCGGCCGCCGCGGTTGTCCGCGGCTCGGGCCCCAGGCCACGAAGCGGTCGCGCGGCGCCGCGGCGTCGCCCGCTCCGGCGACGTGCGCGCCGAAGGCGCAGCCGCCGCGGCCGCTCGCCGTCGGGTCGCCGGCCTGGGCCAGGCAGTTGGGCTGGACGTTGTAGAACAGGCAGCCGTGGTAGTACTTGGCCTCGCAGAGGCGCACGAGGTTCGCGCAGACCGACTTGGCCGCGTCGTCGCCGAAGAGGTCCACGACGACGTCGCCCACCGAGAGCTGGAACATGAGCGCCATGGGATGCGCAGTGGCGCGCAGACGACGAAGGCGAGGACGCGTCGACGAGCTCGGCGGCCGCGAGTGCCCCGCGGGCGCCGGAGTTGATGTCGGAGTTGACGCCCGGGTGGACCGAGCCGCCCTGAGTGGGGTCATGGCATGGGGGCTGCGCGCGCTGCTCATCACGACGTCTCTAGTGGCGACAGCCAAGGACCTGGCGCTTTCCGACGTACTGGTCGTGCACGCGCTGCCGGGCGCGACCCGATGGATCCGCGGCGAGCGCTACGTCGGCGCCATCAGCGACGAAGAGGAGGCCGCGCTGAAGGAGGGAATATTAGACGAGCTTCTAATGGAGAGGCAAACGATGGTGACGGCGGTGGAAGCTGATGGAAGCACGACATTTCTTTGGAAGGAGGAGGAGGTCGAGCGATACATGGAACAAAGACGCGCGGATCCCAGTCCGGGGGCGTGGGCGCGCTTTAGGTACAACGAGACCGCGTTGCCCGGTCATCACTACGTGCCAGGTCATCACTACGTGCTCATCTTGCAGATGGCGACTTACTCTCGGCTCAGAGCGAAGGTTGCGGCGCCTCCCCCGGAAGCCGCCCGCCGAGGCGCCCCCGTCGAGGCGCCGTTGGCGGTTCGGGAGAAGCTTGCCGTTGATCGCATACTCCTGTGGGGGGGTCGACTGGTCGTGCTTGCGACCATGGGCACCTTGTACGTCATGGGCTTCGACGTCTAGCCCGCGGGCAGAACCGGCTCCCCCGGGGCGCGCGGCGCGTAAGCGTAGCCTATCGGCGGAAGGCCACTAGTGAAGGCGGGCGCCCAATTGAGTTACGTCCGCGGCGAGAACGACAGCGCGGGCCGGTCCTCGGGCGGCGCCGGCGGCGGCCGCGGCGCGTCGACGTCCTCGTCGACGACGTCGAGCCCCCCGCGGGCGAGGAACGCGTCCCACTTCGCGTCCGCGGCGGCGCCGTGGAGGACGGGCGCGAAGAGCTGGAAGACGAAGCAGCGCGCGTCGAGGGCGTAGGAGTACGAATCCAAAAGCCCCGTCGCGCCGCGGAGCAGGTCGAGGTCGCCGCCGAGGACCGGGTCCGCGCGGAAGCGGCGCTTGAGGCGCGCGACGCGGTCCGACGTCTGCTTCGCGGAGACGCGGCTCACGAGCGCGCCGACGTCGTCGAGCACGGTCGCGCCGTCCTCGGGCGCGAAGTCGTCGGGGAGCTGGCTGAGGTCGCAGTCGCCGAAGGCGTCGATCTGGCTCAGCTTCGGCGGCGCGTCCGTCGCCCAGCCGCCCAGGCTCGCGTAGTGGTCGCGGTCGCCCGGGTCGTCGCCGTGCCTGCGCCGCGTCCGCTTCGCCGCGCGCTTCTCGTCGCGCGTGATGCCCCCGAACAGGAGGCTCAGCTTCGTCGGCAGCACGGCCACGGGCGCCTCGCCGCCGCGCTCCGCGGCGACGGACGACGGCTGCGGCGCGTCCCAGCCCAGGTGGCGCAGCGCCGCGGCGCAGGAGGCGTCGTCGCGGTCCTCCAGATGCCGCGGGTCGCGCCTCTCCCGGCCCCGCGTCAGCTTCGACGCGGCCGCCATGCGAAAGAGGCAGTGGAGCGCCGGGAGCCTCAGCCGCGGCCTCTCGAGGTCCCGCGCGACCTTCGTCAGGAACGCCGCGAGGCGCCGCGCGGCCGCGACGTCCGGCGGCGGCGGCGGGTCCGCGTATTTCCGCGCGTACTTGCGCGCGACGGCCTTGGCGACCTCGCGCGGCGCGGGGCCGTCGTGCGCGGACCGGAGCGTCGCCGGCCCCATCCACGCCTCCGCGGCCTCCCGGCCCTCGGCGTCGACGCGGGGCGCCTCGCGGCGGAGCGCGGCCCTGCGCCGGAGCTCCGCGAGGTAGCCCGTCGCCGGCTCCCGCAGCGGGTCGACGAGCTCGTCGTCGTCGCTCGAGTCCCAGCCGCTCGACGAATCGCCGTCGGAGCCCGACTTGACCTTTTTCCTCGTTTTTTGCGCCGGCGCCGGCGCGTCGCCGCCCGCCTCCGCGCGGAGCAGCGCGGCCCAGCCGCGGGGCGTCGACCCCAGGAAGCCCAGGTCGACGAGCGCCGCGTGGGCGGCGGCCTCGGAGCCGCCGCGCGCCGCCGCGAGCGCCTTCGCGGGCGCGCCGCGGCGCTCGAGCGCCTCGACGCCGCCGTCCGTCTTCGCCAGTTCGCCGTAGAGGTGGGGCTCGAGGTCCGGCCCGAAGGGGTGCGCGTCCAACGCCAGCGCGAACTCGACGCCGAGCACCCAGAGGCCGCCGGCGTCGTCGCGCTCGAGTAGCCACGTCGCGGCGCGCCCGGGCGCGCACACGGACCACTCGCCGCCGCCGCCGACGGCGCCCAGGGCCTCCGCGGCCTCCAGCACGCTCGCGGTCGCCTCGTCCGCGTCGTCGCCGCCCGCGTAGAGGACGCCGTCGTCGAGGCCCACGGCCGCCGCGCCGACGCGGAGCGACGCGAGGAGCGCGTCGCGGGGCCCGCACCGGAGCCGGCTCGGCCGGCCCTCGGCGTCGACGAGAGTCGCCACCACGCGCACCCGCCCGTGGGGCAGGTCCCCGGCCGCGCCGTGCAGCGGCAGCAGCTCCGACGCGAGGTCGCAGTACGCGTCGCACGTACCGTAGCGGTCCTCGGCCTGGTCCTTGGCGCCGTAGTCGCGGCGGGGCCGCACGAGCACCTCGCAGCCCCAGGGGAGGGTCGCCACGCCCTCGAGGTCCAGGGGCTCGCGCGCGGCCGCCGTCATCTCCGCGCCGGAGAGCTCGTCGACCCTCGGGCGCGCCGCGCCGGGCAGGTCGCCGTCGCGGCAGACGCCGAGGCCGTCGAGGAACGCGGGCCGGTAGGCGCCCCGCTCCCGGAAGGCGCGGTGGGGCCTCGGCCGCGTGCCCGCGCCCGCGCCGGCCTGCGCGGCGGCGACGCGGACGACGGCCGCGGCCGCGAGCGGCGCGCGGCCGCGCGCGGCGACGATCGCCGCGCGCCGCGCCGGCGGCGGCGCGGCGACGTCGCCCGCGTCGTCGTCCGCCGGCGCGAAGGGGGCCGCGGACGCGCCGGGCGCCGCGGGGCCGTAGGCCGCGAGCGCCGCGAGTTCCCGGCGGGCCGCGCGCGCCGCGTACGCCGCGGAGCCGCCGCGCTCCCAGGCGTCCAAAAGCTCGTCGTCGTCGGCGCCGCCCGCGTCCGGCGCGCCCGCGCCCCGCAGCCGCAGCGCGAGGCGCGCCGCGGCGCCGGACCCCGCGCCGAGGACCGCGAGCCCCGGCGCGAGGTGCGCGACGACCGCGAGGCGCCGCGGCGCGAGCGCGCAGGCCTCGTCGAGCACGGCGACGGCGGCCGCGCGCGCGTCGTCGTGCACGCGGCGCCGCGCCTCGCCCTCGTCGTCGGACGTCGACGCGTCCGACGAGTCGTCGTCGTCGACGTGGAAGCAGTCCGGGCTCCGCTCGATCTGCGACGGCCGCGGCCGCCGCGGCGTCGCCGGCGCGGACCGGGGCACGCTCGGCCGCCGCGCGGCCGCGAGCCCGCAGAGCACGGCGACCTCCCAGTCCTCGGCGAAGGCGTCGCGCGTCGCCGCCGCGAGCCGCGCGCGGAGCAGGCCCACGAGGAACGCGCGGAGGTCCGTGCTCCCCGTCCGCAGCGCGTCCTCGAGGAGGTCGCGCGCGGCGCGGCCGAGGCAGTGGCCGTGGTCCGGGAGCGCCGTCGCCGCGTCGTGGAGCTTCGCGGCCTCGGCCGTCGACACGCTCCGCTTCCGCGACGGCAGCGCGGGCGTCGCCGGCGCGGGCGGCGGCTGCGACCCGGACCGCTTCCGCGCGCCGATGTCCGCCAGCATGCGCGAGAAGAGGTTCCGCTTTTTCTTCCGCTGCGACGCCGTCGCGTCCGACGACGCCTCCGTGTCGCTGGGCCGCGCGTCCGACGGCCGCGCCGGCGCGTCCTCCGCGGCGGGGTCGGGCGGGAGCGCGTCGTAGTCCAGTTCCCCCAAGACCAACCGCGCGAGCGCCTCCTTGGACGCCGCGAGCCCGCGGAGCCGGTCCAGGAGGGGCCCCGGGGGCACGACGCGCGCGCCCTCGGGCGTCGCCGCGGCCCGGAGGAGCATGGCGACCATCTCGCGCGCGAGGCCCCGGCGGATCGCGTCGCCGTCGAAGACGTCCGTCCGCGGCGCCGACGACCCGCGCCGCGGCGGCGCGGGCGTCGCCGGCGACGACGCGCCGGGCGCGAGGCTCGCGCGGTCCTCGTCCGCGTGCTCGCTGAGCCGGCCGAGGCCCGACGGCGACGGCAGGCGGAACGGCGCGTGGCTCGGCGACCGCACCCGCGGCGGCTCGCCGAGCGCCTCGCTCGACGCCCGCCGGAAGAGGCCCCCCACGTAGGCGCTCGCGGACGAGGACGCGCGGCTCCGGGGCGCCGCGCGGCCCTCGGCGGCGGCGACGAGCTCGACGGCGACGGACTGGAGGAACTGGCCCCGCCGGTCCTTGAGCAGGAACGTCGCGACGTCGTTGGGCCGCGAGCCCGGCCGCCCGAAGTCGCCGGCCCGCAGCAGCGTCGTGTAGAGGCGCCCTGCGACGCGGCCGTAGAACAAGCGGTCCGGCGTCCACGCGAGGTTCGCCTGCGTGGACATCAACCGCCGGTTCGGGACGTCCCGACCAAACTTCAGAACTCTCTATCTCGGTCAAATCGAAGTCGATTCGGCTGATTTTTGGACGAATCGATCGCTCTCAAAAAGTTCTCGAAGCACAGAGCCGAAGAGTTTCTGTCGAACCTTTCGCATACGCGCACATTGAAGTCGTGTTGAAGATTTGATGTGCACGCCGAGGTTCGCGTGCGTCGCCTTCTCCGGCTCGTCCGTGTCGCAGCGGAAGAAGCCGCCGAGCCGCCGCGCGAACTTGGTCCGCAGCGCCTCCGCGAGCCGCCCGCGCTCGACGCGCACGTCGTCGTCGTCGAGCGACGAGCCGCGGCGGAGCACGTCGACGACGTCCTCGACCTTCTCCCAGTCCCAGTCGCGCCAGTCCTTCGTCGCCAGCACCTTGGACTCGGCGAGGAGTTTGGCGAACTTCTTCTCGTCGACGTGGAGCGACGGCGCCAGGGCGTGCTCGAGCACGAGCTTCGCCGCGCCGGATAAGGGGTCGCCGTCGTCGCTGTCGTCGCTCCGGTCGGCGTCGCCGGCGTAGCGCCGCCGGTCGAGCTTGCCCGAGACCGAGTTCGGCGCGCCCTCGGGCGCGACGGGCGGCCCCTCGGGCGGGTAGGATCCCGCGGAGACGCGGTGGGGCAGGTCGGCCTTGGATTTCACGGCGTGGGCCTCGAGGAGGCTCCGGTCGAGTCTCGCGGCGGCCGCGGCGACGCGCGCCTCGAGGGGCTCGCGCGGCGGCGCGTCGGGCTTCGACGCGTAGGTCGCCCACAGAGCGTCCGGGTCGTGCTTCAGGTCGCCCCAGGGCCGCAGCGCGGACCGCCGCATGGCCGCGGCCGTCAGCACGTCCGGCGCGCACGCGCGGCGGCCCGGCGGCGGCCGCGCCTGGAAGCTGTCCTTGAGGTCGCCCGCCTCGTCGACGCCGCCCGTCGGCGGCGGCGCGCGGAAGAGGCGCTCCCGCCGCTTCTCGCCGCGCAATGTCCGCGACACGCGCGCCGGCGCGTCGGCGTCGCGCTCGAGGCGCCAGAGCAGCGAGTCGCAGGCCGCGGCGGCCGCGGGCTCGTCCGCCACGGCCGCGCGCAGGTGCAGGGGGTCCCGCGCGGCCCAGTGCTCGTAGGTCGCCCGCGGGAGCACGTGGCGGCTCGCGCGCGCCAGCGCCGTCCACAGATCCTGGGCCGCCGTCGCCACCGCGAAGCGGTCCGGCGCGACCGCGAGCTCGCCGAGCCGCGCCTGCGCGGGCGCCGAATCTTCAACCCGACTTCAATGTGCGCGCCATCGAACGGATTGGACCGGACTCTTCATCTCTTTGTCGCGAGCTCGACGAGAGCAAACAACTCGTCGAAAAATCAGCCAAAACGACGTCGATTTGACCGAGCGAGAGAGTTCTGAAGAAGTTTGGTCGGGACCCCCCTTCGCCGGTCGTCGGTTTCCGCGCCGAGCCGCGCGACGACGCCCGAGAAGTGGAGCGCCGCGAGGCCCTGGGCGACCGACGGCGCGAGCACGCAACCCGGCGACCACTTGCGCCGGCACGCGAGCTCCTCGGCGGCGACGACGAGCGGCGCGACGACCTCGCCGACCGTCTCCAGCAGAGCCGCCTGCAGCGCGGGCGCCGCGTGCGGGTCCCCCAGAGGCCGCGCGAATGCCGCGAGGCCCGCGGCCTCGCTGGCGAGCAGGGGCAGCCCCGCCGGCGACCGCAGCAGCGCGTGCAGACAGCGCCGGCCCGCGCCGCGCCCCGCGGCGACCTTGACGTCCGCGGCGCGACTCTCCGCGTCGTAGACCGCGCCCTCGTCGTCGTCGTCCGCGGCCGCGCCCCGGCCGCCCTCGGGGAACATGTCCGTGAAGGGCCGCAGCAGGGACACGAGAACCTCGGCCCGCCGGCGCTTCCGCGCCTTGAAGCTCTCGGGCCCGCCGGGCGAGTAGCCGCCGCGGCTCTTCGGCGCGGAGGCGAGGTCCGCGAGCGACAGCGCGCACCGCTCGCCGACGGCCGCCGGCAGGGACGGATCGAGGGCCGCGTCGGCGAGGGCGCGGCTCCCCGCCGCGCGGTCGAAGCCCTCGGCGTTGCGCAGGGCCGCGTCGCAGAGGGCCAGCGCGGCCGCCGCGCGGACGGCCGGCGGCTCCGCGCGGCCGCCGAGCAGCGCCACGAGCGACGCCGCGGGCGTCTTGTGGGCGAAGCCGCCGGCGGCGTAGAGCGCCGCGAGGCAGCGCGCGGCGGCGACGCGCTCGACGCGCTGCGCGCGGCCGTCGGCCGCGCCGCCGCCGCGGCCGCCGCGGTACCGCGCGCCCTCGGCCGCCGCGGCCGCGAAGAGCGGCAGCGCCGCGGCCGCGGCGAGCGCCGCGTCGCCCTCGGATTGCACGCGGCCCCGCAGCGCGTCGAAGACGGCGCCGCGCGCGAGCGCGCCGCCGCTCAGGAGCAGGCCGCGGCGGATCGCGGCGCAGAGCGCGAACGTCGCCGGGCTGCCCCGCCGCGGCGCCGCCGCGCGCCGGATCGACCGCCACGACGCGCCGGGCACCTGGCGCAGCACGGCGATCAGCGCTGCGTCGGCGTCGTCCTTTTCTTCGCCAATGGCGTCGCTGGTGGCTGCCTCGGCCATTGCTCGATGGCAGCCCGGAGCCTTTGGCAGGAGGGGAATAGCAACCACTGCGGCGGCGATCCGTTGAGCTTTGGTTTACTCTCGGCTCGCTGTATGTGTTTGGTTCCGCTCATCGGCTCGCTGTATGTATTTGGTTCCGCTGATTTCGGGCCGAGAAGCGCCGAGACGGCATGGACGCATTAAATTTAGTCGAGCGCGCCTACCACCGCGCGCGCCCCCCCGCGTGCAAGATCGCTGGGACTGCGCATAGCGCACACATCGGGGCTGCCATCCGCGAAGGAGCGGCAGCGTTTGGATTGCGACTCGCTGAGAACGCAAGCGGCTTCGGGCGACCGATTTGACGGACGCGATGCCCCTCCCCCGGCCCGTGAGCGGCCCGGGCAGCCCCGCGCAGCAGCAGGGATCGTCCGCCATCGACCCGCGAGCGCCCTGCCACAAGGGTTGGCCCCGCGGACCCGAGGAAGTCGATCTGACATGTTCGCGCTGAAACCGCGTCGCGCGCGCCCGCACGCCCGCGCGCGCGGTGTCGCACGTCGTCCGAGCCAAGTCAGCAACTGAGCAGCCCGAGGGTATCAGACATGTACCCCGAGCCTCCGAGCCAGCCAGCACGCTGCCCAGAGCCCAAAATGGGCTGCCTTTCGGCTCGCAGAGCATGCCGAAATGCTCGAACTTCGCGCAGCGATTCCGGACGACGGTCAGGGTGTCCATGGTCACGGAGCACGTTTCCGAGCACACCAGAGGCACGTCTGCCGCGATCCGTAGCCCGTGACCATGGACAGCCGGCCGCGCGCGCGCCGGCAAATGCCAAAGAGAGGCTCTCCCTGCTTCTCCCCTCATGCCTTTGGCTCTTTGTTGTTGAGGACAACATGCCTGCTTCGCCACAAAGGTGAAGTGGAAGTGTCCACACGCCTCGTCTAATGGCCACCGCAGTCGCCATGCGCCGCGCCGTCGCCAGCAAAACGGCCCTGGTCGGCGCGCGCCGCCGCGCCAGCGCCGCCGCCGAGAAGCTCCGGTCCCAGCTCAAGGTGCCAATCATCGGCGCGCCGCTGTTCATCGTCAGCAACCCCGACTTGGTCGTCGAGCAGTGCAAGGCCGGCGTCGTCGGGTCCTTCCCGGCCCTGAACGCCCGCGGCTCCGACAGCGCCTTGGACGACTGGATGTGCGACATCAAGGCGCGCCTCGACGACAGCGAACACCCGGCGCCGTTCGCCTGCAACCAGATCGTGCACCGGTCCAACGACCGGTTGATGCGGGACATGGAGACCATCGTCAAGCACGAGGTGCCCATCGTCATCACCTCGTTGGGCGCGCGGGAGGACATCAACGACGCCGTGCACTCCTACGGCGGCGTCGTCTTCCACGACGTCGTCAACGACTTCTTCGCGAAGAAGGCCGTGTCCAAGGGCGCGGACGGCCTCGTCGCCGTGGCCTGGGGCGCGGGCGGCCACGCGGGCACGGCCTCCCCCTTCGCCCTCGTGGACGAGATCCGCCGCTGGTTCGACGGGCCGCTGGCGTTGAGCGGCGCGCTGGGCAGCGGCCGCGGCGTCGCCGCGGCGCTCGCCGCGGGCGCGGACTTTGGCTACGTCGGCTCGGCCTTCATCGCGACGGACGAGGCGAACGCGTCGGAGGCCTACAAGGGCGCCATCGTCGACGGCGCGTCCGACGACATCGTCTACTCGAACCTCTTCACGGGCGTCCACGGCAACTACCTCAAGCCGTCCGTGCGCGCCGCGGGCCTCGACCCGGACGACCTCCCGGAGAGCGACCCGACGAAGATGAACTTCGGCGGCGACTCGGCCAAGGCCTGGAAGGACATCTGGGGCTGCGGCCAGGGCATCGCGCCCGTCCAAACCGTCGAGCCCGCCGCGGCCGTCGTCGGCCGCTTCGCCGCGGAGTTCGAGGCCGCGCGCGCGGCGCTCGCGGCCGCGTGAGCTCCCTAGTCTTACGCCGCTCGTCGCTGGATCTGGACGGCTACTGGATAGGCGAAGTCCGGGTTCGGCGCGAACTCGTCGCCGGCGAAGGCGTAGGAGAGGAGGTGCGTCCGGAGCCACTCGCGGAGCGCGCCGCGGAGGTGGGGCGCGAGCTTGTCCACGGCGTCGCGGAACATGTCGTTGGAGACGATGACGCCGCGGTGGCGCCGCGCGTACTCGATCTGGTACGAGTCGTCGTAGTCCTGGGACGGCGTCGCGAAGAGGACGCCGTCGCGCTCGAGGCCCGCGAGGTACGCGACGTCGTCGGGCAGCTCCGGGGCGCGCGCCGTGCGGATGCCCAACTCGTGCGCGCGGCGCTTCGCGGCGACCTTCTCCGCGTCGAGCATGTACTCGGGCAGGAACGCCGCGAAGCGGCAGTTTCCCGCGAAGCGCGACTCGAGGTGCGCGAGGCAGAGCGCGATGCCCCGGCAGGAGAACCTGCCCCGCGCGCCGTGGCGCATGGCGACGTTCGCGACGTCGACGACGAAGAGGAGCCGGTCCGCGGCCGGCGCGAGGGACGCGGGCGGCATTGGCGCCATGGACGCGAGGCGCACGCCCGCGGCGGGCTCGGCGTGCGCGGGCCGCCGCTGCGCCGACGCGGGCGGCGGCGGCGGCGGCCGCGCGCGCGGGCTCCGGTCGCGGCGCGGCGGCTTCTTCTTCTTCGGCGGCGCGTCGGCGTCGTAGAGCTTCTTGGGGGGAGGCGCCTCGGCCTCGACGGGCGCCGCGGGCGCGGGCGGCGGCGGCGGCGCGGGGGCCGGCGGCTCCGCGTCGCCGCCGATGTCGAGCAGCTTCAGGACGTCGCCCAGCGGCGCGGCGCCGCCCGCCGCCGCCGGCGCGACGAAGCCGCCCGATCCGTCCCGCGCGAGCGCGCCATCCGCGCAGAGCGCGGCCGCGCGTTCCGCGACGCGCCGGCACCGCTCGCCGTGGGCCGCGGCGCCGGCGAGGACGGCCGCCCGCAGCGCGGCGACGTCGTCGTCGGGCGCCGGCGGGCCCAGCGCGGCCGCGCCCGCGGACTCGAAGTCGTCGGCCAAAGCGCCGCCGCCGTCCGCCGCGCGCGGGGCCGCCCACGTCGCGTAGGCCGCCAGGGCCGCGACGTCGTCGCCGCCGCTCGTGGGGGTCCGCGCGAGCCGCCGGAGCCCGACGAGCGCTGTTGAGTCGCCGCGCTCGTCCGGCGGCCCGTCGAGGAACGCGGCGACGAGCGCCGCGTACGCGTCGGCCGCCGCGGCCGCCGCGTCGCCGCCCGCGGCCGCGTCGGCGGCGAGCGCGGCGCCGAGGACGCAGCGCGCCGCGACGCTCCGATAGGACTCGTCGGCGCCGCCGGCCGCCGCGCGCCGCGCGGCCGCCGCGGCCGCCGCGCCGTGGCGCCGGACCGACGCGGCGACGCCGCCCGCGCCGGACGCGCCGCCCGCGGCGACGGCGGCGCCGCAGGCGACGTGGTGCTCGCACTCGTCCAGGGCGCCGCGCGCCGTGCGCTCGAAGCCCTCCTCGAGGCGCCGGCGGCACTCGCGCGCGAACGTCTCCAAACCGCCCTTGGCCGCGGGCCACGGCTCCGGCGCCGCGGCCGCGCGCGAGGCCCAGTGCGCGGCGGCGCCGAAGCGCTTCTCCGACGCGCAGAGCGTCGCGAGCATGTAGGCGCAGCGGCCGCTGCCCCCGCGGAGCCGCAGCGCGCGCCGGTAGAGCGCCGCGGCCGTGCCCCGCGCCGCCGACGCCGCGTGCGCCTCGCGGTAGCGCTCCAGGTCGCCGAGCGCCATGAGCACGCCGTGCGCCGCCGCGGCCGCCGGGCCGCCGGCGCCGTCCCGCAAAATCCACTCGAGCCGCGGCGCGAAGGCGCGCTGCGCGCCGTCGACGGCCGCGGCGACGGCGCGCCTCGCGGCCGGGTCCGGCCGCGGCCGCTTCGCGGCGCGCAGCAGCGGCTCGAGCGTGAGCCGCTGCGCCGCCCAGGCCGCCTTCGCCGCGCTCCGCGCCGCCGACGCGTCGCGCGCGTCGCCGACGAGGCGCAGCCGCCCGTCGCGCACGGCCGTCGCCAGCCGCAGGGCGCCGGCCTCGCTCGCCGACCCGCCGAGCGACGCCAGCCGCTTCTCGCCGCGCCGGCAGGCCTTGTCCAGCGCGCTCGCGCGGCCCGCCAGCGCATCCTCGACGTCCGCGGCGATGGCCGAGAGCTCGGAGTCCGAGACCGCGTCCATTTTTAGTTTTGACGACTCATAGACAACAGAGGCAATTCCCCAGATTGCAGTTCCAGGAGCACTTACTAAAGGGGGCAGCTGATTGATCCGGTGACTAATTTTGCCTCGCCCCTGCGATGGCGGCGGAAGCGTCCGCGCCGCTCTGGGGCACGGCGTCGGCGTCGCTGCTCCTCGCCGTCATCACGAAAAAGACGCTCGTCGGCTCGTCGATGCAGGAGTGGGAGCGCGGCCTCGTCGACGGCAGCCCCGTCCTCTTCCTCGCCTTCGGCGTCGGCTTCCTGTCGCTCGTCGCCCTCGTCGCGCGCCTCGCGGGCCTCGTGTCCAAGGCGAACGACGTCGAGGCCTTCCGGCTCCGCGGCAGCGATCCGCCGCCGGTCGCGTCGGACGCGAAGGCGCCGCCGCCGCCGCCGCCGGCCGCCGCGACCGCGCCGGCCGCCGCGCCGGCCGCCGCGGCGCGCGCGGAGGAGGACGCGGCGGCGGCGCGCGCGCGCGCGGCCGTCGGCGCCTGCCTCGCGGCGGGCGGCGCCGAGTCCACGGGCGGCGACGAGCCGCACGCGCTCGTCCTGGCCGCGGACCTCGCCGGCGTGGCGCCCGAGCGCGTCTTCGAGGCGTTCTGGGCCGACGGCAACGTCGTCGCGTCGGCGGCGTCGGGCGCCTTCGACGGCGGGAGCTTCGACAGCGACGGCGACGCGCCGCGGTCCTTCTATCCCTACTTCCTCGAGGCGTTCTGCGCCAACGAGGGCGCGCGAGCGACGCCGTGGACGCGGGCGGCGCCGCGCGAGCGGCGCGTCGACACGCGCCACCCGCTGACGACGTCCATCCGCATGCCGGGCCTGGCCCTGGCCATCCCGACCGTGAAGACGCAGCGCGCCTTCGTCGACCCGTCGCCGGACTGCGCGCTCGCGATCACCGAGAGCTCGCGCTTCGACGGGATCCCCTACGCCGCGGCGCTCCAGGTCGAGACGACCTGGCTCTTCTCCGGCGGGGGCGACGACACGACGGTCGCCGTCTTCTACCGCTGCGTCTTCCTGACGGAGGTGCTGTCGATCCCGCGCTGGATCCAGCGCTTCTGCGTCGCCAAGACGAAGGGCGAGCTCCAGGCGACGTACGCCAAGTGGCTCGGCGCCGCCGCGGGCTGCCTGGAACAGGCGCCCCTGTCGCCGTCGAAGCCGCGCGCGCGGTCCGGGTCGACGTTCACGGAGGACTCCGTCGACGACGCGGACGACCCGGCCGCGGGCCCGCGCGTCGCGCGGGCCGTGACGCCGCCCGCGCGGCGGCCGCCGCCGCCGCCGCCGCGCGCCGACGAGCCGCGGAGCCTCGACGCCCTCTTCTGCGGCGCGGCGGCCGCGAACCTGGGCCTCGGCCCCGCGGGCCCCGCGCCGCCGCGGCGGAGCGGCCTCGCGAAGCCGCGGCCCAAGGGCAAGGACCACGGCCCGTCGCCGGCGTCGTCGCCCGCGGCGCCCGGGCCGCCGCCGCCTCAGGCGCCGTCGCCGCTCGTCCTCCGCGAGGCGAAACCGTCGCCCGCGGTCGCGGCCGCGCGCGTCGACCCGGACGACGCGTGGGACGACGACGACCCCGCGCCGCCGGCCGACGGCGCCGCGCGGCCCTGGACGCGCTTCGAGCCCGACGACTGGGACAACGACGGCGACGACGACGAGCCCGCGGAGGAGGAGGTCAAGGCCGAGCCCACCGCCGCGCCGACGGAGGGCTAAACGTGGTCGCATCGCCGGGCTGGCGTGGCCTCGCGTCACTCGCTGCGGCTTAGGCGGGCGGCCGACCGGGAGCCTACCGGGGTGTGGAGTTTTCACGAGCCTACATTGAGGCCCCCTTCACCAAATCTCCCGAATCCTCGTGTTGCCGCGGCGCTCATCATCCAATTCGACGACACAGCCTGGGCAGCCTTGGGGCCGGCTCTCCGCGTGTGAGAGTCGGGCTCCGGTGGGGGACACGTCGGGCGCGGCGTGCTCCGCAAGGGTGGCCATGGCGCCGCCAGGCATTGGCCGGTTGCTCATGGGCGTCGGCGCGGCCCTGAGCCTGGGGTCGCTCCTGCTCGGGGCCGTGGGCCCCGTCGCCGAGACGGCGCCGCGGCCAAACCTGGCGGCGTCGGCGTCCGCGCCCGCGGCGGCGTCGAGCGGCGCCGGCGCCCACGGGTCGAGCTTCGTCTACGACCCGGCCGCGCCGCTCGACTTTTTGATGGACGAGCGCAACGACCTGCCGCCGAGCGTGCAGTCGTTTTTAGACGAGGCGCCCGTCGACGGCAACGCCGCGAGCCACCGGAAGCGCCTCGCCCAGCTCCCGAGCAAGCTCGACGTGACGATCCGCAACGCCTACACGCGGAGCAGCCCCATCCAGACGGGCGAGTACGCGTACCCGTGGACCTATTTGGCGGAGCCGTACCGCGCGCACGCGCTGACGATGGCCGACGGCCACCCCGAGGCCACGTTCTACAAGTGGATCGTCGACGGCCACACGCAGGGCTACGGGACCTCCGTCGACGCGCTGTGGACGTCCGCGGGCTGGAAGTCCGTCGTGCTGGTCGAGAAGGTCAACGGCACGACGTCGTGCGTGCTCGCGGCCAAGGTCATGGTCAAGTACACGCGGCGGGAGATCCGGAGCCTGAGCGACCAGGACCGCGAGGCCTTCTTTCAGGCGGCCCAGGTCATGCAGCGCGTGCCGACGGAGGTCGGCCAGCGGCTCTTCGGGTCCGACTACAAGTCGAAGGACTACTTCAACCGCGTCCACCTCTACTACGGCGGCACGGCGGACTGCGACCACTGG